CCAGTTCACTGGGTTTAGTGCTGTTTAAAAACTTTGCTTGGGACGCAGCTTGATGCTTTGGCTCGGTTGCCTTGGCTACATTTTGATTTACTTGTTTCGTTACCTGATCAGCTATCGATTGTATCTGCTTTTTTAACGACTTAAAATCACTCATTATTTTAGTTTCAGTTTTAATATAAAAAGACTTTAAAATAAATGCATTCGTTTCACTTGTTTCAAAATGAGCAGACGTTTAAATTAGAAGACGTCGTAGATAATTTAAACGGTCAAAAATCTGTACGCGTAAAAAGGGTGATGTTTAACCCCGGATATTTTAATATTTCCAGCGCCACGGAGATTGATTGGTTTACGCAAATAGATGGGAGACCCGCTGAAAGACCTGATGATGGTATAAGACCCGAACTGGTTAACCCAGATGTAGAAGTAAGAACAGATAGAGATTTTATTGCGCAATTGGTACCCGAGTACCCCTACGACTTTTTAATTAACGACGAAAATACTTTCAATAGAGTTATAAACGATCTTATAGAAGCGTACGAAGAAGATAGACTAGACTCTGCTTTAGAATCGATCCGAGAAGAAATGGGTCAAATTGTAGATGGTATAAGAATTTTAAGCTTTAAAAGACAAGACAAAACACTAACCGAAGAACAAAGCAATACGCTTAAATTTTTAATAACACTTATAGCAGAAAGAAGAAGCTTCATCTTTGAAGGTAAAAAGATAGCGCTAGAATATATCCAAGGTATAATAAGCGAACCTAGGGTAAGAATTATTAGACAAACTGGTGTGACAATACGTGGGAGTCTTGTCGTGTCTGGTGATAATTTAGATTTTATTTCTCCGAGTCTTTTAGCGCCGTTACCAGCTGGAGTCACCGGTTCGGTCACCATACCACCAGGGTGGTACGACGTCGATTGGTTCGATTTCATTTTAAATTATATACCCGGGGTAAGTTTTCGAATATTAAGAGAATCTAAAAAGGTGACGTTGGTGGTAACCGACGTCAATCTCAAATTGCGCTTAAACAGAGAAGTCTCTCGATTACTCAATTTACCCAAAGGAAGACTGATACCCAAAGTGGTATATGTGGGGTCTTACGACGTTAATCCGTTTAAATTTTTGTTTATTCGCTGCCCGCAATTAAGTACGAGTGAAAACTTTTTTGATGGTCGTCCGTCCGACATTTTAAAAATCGTACCCGTGGGTACGCGCAAACCCGAGCCTGATAGAGTCGAGGATTTCAAGAAACTTAAAAACGGTATAATCGACAAACTGACATTTTCAATCATTGGTGAAAAAGGACAGATCATCAACAACAAGGGTGTGAGTATCATGATAGAGTTGGAGATCTTTTAATTTTAAAATCTTTTTATATTAAAAACATGAGTGTAGATGGTAAGGTGCTATACCCCGATATTTCTGGAGATGTACTCCGATTAAATAGTAACGAAGAAACAAAAGTATACAGACTAAAAAAGATTGAAGAGATTCGATCTTTAATCTTAAAAGAGAGAGACCACCGAGAGCACACTTATAAAAAAATAAAGAGAGTGATCGACACTATTAATTACGTAGAGATAGGATTAGGAGGATTGGGGGCTATAGCGGGGGCTGTCGGTATTCCCGCTCTCTTGGGTGTTATATCAGCCCCCGTTGGATTGGTGCTAGAAGGAACGTTTATAGGCGCTTTTGGTGTAGATATTCTGCTTAGAATCGCGTCTAAGCGATTATCCGCCAAGCTAAAAAAGCACGACCAGATTAAGATATTAGCGGACTCCAAACTTAATACGATTGAAGAATACGTGTCTCAAGCCATCAACGACGGAGATATATCACACGAAGAGTTCTTATTGATTACGAGAGAGCTCGCAAAATTTAACGAGCTTAAGCAAAAAATTAGAACAAAGACCAGCACAAAGCTTCAAAAAATTAAAAACGATACAGACTTTGAAAAAGAAGTTAAAAAACGGGTAGACGAACGGCTGGCAAAAGAAAAAAAATCTCTTATCGAAAAACTTACAAGTTCAAATTCACGGTAAATAAACATTATGAAAGCGAACCACCGAGTTATACCTCTATTTCACCTCTTAGGGCTACGCCCTCGGCCCCGCCTTTATTGTAGTGGTCATCGTATATTTTTAGTGCTTTATTAAATTGATTTTGAGTCACTTTAAATAAATCTCTAACTCGTTCTTTGTCTAATCCAACGACGTGATGATAACACGCCGCTATTAATGACCGTTTGACGCAACCGTTCCCCCTCAATGTTTTGTAATTAACGAGCTCGTTATATTTATTGATTGTTTCTTGGACATCTTCTAAGTCTTGCTCTGGACAAACAGACAAAACAAGTTTCTCCACAGTTTTTCTTTTGTTTCTCTTTAAAGTTGACCAATTGATACGATCTTCTTGCGCATTTTCTGCCGAAAAATCAAAGTAACGTGAAACTATTTCACCGCACGTTTCACAAACTAAAAAACCATTCTCGATGAGTATATGATGATCGCACTTATCCCCAAGTTGTGTCATCTCAAAGTATTCCATCTATTTAATAAAAACCGATATTATTTTTTATTCATTTTTCAAATACTCGTCGGTCTAAACATATTACTCTCCATTTTTATATTAAAAAACAGCTCCTCACCTTTTACAGGGTAAGGAGCTAATTTTTTTCTTTCTCTCACTCTCTCCGTTAGATTTATTTTTTTTATTTTTTTTTTTCTTGAGATCGGGGATTTCCCATTGGCCCTGTACTACCCACAGACCTATGACAAAGTCTGGTACCCAGACTTCTCATTAATGGCCCTGTACTACCCACAGACCTATGACAAAGTCCAGCACCCCCGCCTCCCTTACTACTTGTATTTTCCCTTTAAATATGATCTCAATATGATTTAAAGCAAATCTTGAATTTGTAAGTGTCATTTTTAGGCAACCTGTCAATAAAGACATTTTTGTGAATTTGTGATTGTTAATGTTTAACGTGAAGTGAATTACTTTTCAACGGGATAAATAGGAAAAAACAAGGTAGAGGTGTGATTTCCTACGAAGCTTGGGGGAGTATTTTAAAACAAGTTGAAAATTAAAAAAACACAAATCAACTTCGCCCCAGATCAAATCAATACCCTACAGTTTATATCTTGTTTCTCTGCCAGTTTATTGTTCATATAAGAACGGGTGGGGAAAACCTCAAATGCACCGACGAACAAGAAAGAATCCATGACAGTGCTTCAACAACGGGATATCCATACAGAACGAGATTTTTGCATGTCATCATCTCCTCATCGTAAGTCGACTTGGCGAGATAATTTATCTCGACAAGTTGTCATTTCGACTTCAGGAAGTCGACTTAGCGAGATATTTCATCTGGACAAGTCGTCATCTCGACTTCGAGAAGTCAACTTGGCGAGATAATGCATCTGGACAAGTCGTTATCTCGACTTCGGAAAGTCGACTTGACGAAATAATACATCTGGACAAGTCGTCATGTCGACTTATGGAAGTCGACTTGGAGAGATAATGCATCTAGACAAGTCACCAAGTCGACTTCGGTAAGTCGACTTGGTGAGATAAAACATCTGGACAAGTCGTCAAGTCGACTTCGGTAAGTCGACTCAGCGATACAATTATGTGATTAAGTCGCCTTACTCTCGGCGATATGTCAACATGACGTGATAAATTATCTGAGTAATAAAGAAGTGGATGGCACTCATGGAACGCCGTAGACGCCTCATAAGTCCGACGCCTCATAATCCGACGCCTCATAAGTCCGACGCCTCATAGCTCCGACGCCTTGAACGCTTCGTTTTTCCGTCGTCGGACTTATGAGGGGTCGGACTTATGATACGGCCCCATATTTTGGTTTAGTCGTAAACGCAATTTCCGATTTTCTGCTTGTAGAAATTCGGAAATTTAGTTTGGTCGTAAACGCTCTTTCTGATTTTCTGCGCGTTGAAATTCGGAAATTTGGTTTGTCCACTTTTGGACCGTCTGTGTACAAGAAAATAAAAAAAATCAACATTTTTGATAATAGAAAAATACAAATTCAGAAAGAGGACATCATTTCAACCATAATTCTGTTTTAGTTCTAGCAGATTTTGAGAAAATGGGTTGTCCACTTTTGGTCCTCCATAGTACGTTCCTCATTATTTTTGCCTCAGTAGGTCACATTATGGACTTTTGCTGTAATTTTCAGTAATGAACAATATGAGGGGTTAGTATAATAGATCAAATATTGTTACACTGACATGTTTGAAGTTTTGTGTTCAAAAATGCTGGAAAAACCAAGAAAAACTAAAATTTTCAAGTAGTCTGGTTCCCTGACTCCACTAAAGATGATATGGATCAATTCATAGATGCTGGAAAACTGTAAGGTAAGGGAACCAGTCTAGCTGGCCTGCACCCGTTCATGAACATGTAACCAATAGCAAGCAAAATTTGGACTGAAAAAATGGTAAATTTGGAGCAGTAGTTGAAAAATATTTAGGTTTTTCCAACGGTGGTCGGCCGACCACCGTTGGAAATTTACAATAAAATACCACTTTTCTTGAAAATGACTCCACACCAGGTGCCATAATTTTACAAGATGCGTAAGACCGTAATTTACCAACATCCTGGTAAGGTATTTCGTAAAAATTTGGTATTTTGTTTTTTTCGATGTTTGCAAATGTTGTATATTCCCTTTAATGGTTAATACCGCCCACTAATTCTATAGGGCGCCCTCAATACTTTTACTTCGCAGGAAAACAATTTCGTTCTCATTGTTTGGACTGTGTTCGATCCCGCTGTATCGACCACGCACGGTCGCGTACGCGAAAGTGACTAACGAAAAGTGACGGACGCACATATGCGGGGACGAGGATGCTTCCGGGTAATTAAGCACGGCCCTGGAACAATAATTTAGTCTGCAAAGAATAAGCTTGTGTTGGTCAGTTCTTCTTCTAACGATGCTGGTTAGATCATAGTACCAAATACATCGACAGTGGAAGCATTGACAAGTTTGAAGTTGTAATATGTCACAAGATATAGGCCTAAGTGGTCAAGATCATCAATCGTCGGTCGATGTGGCAGGCGGAATTGTTGAACAGCCTGGAAGTAATGCCGGAGTTCTAGATGAAGTGAAACTGGACGAAGTCAAATGTAAGATCAGAATGAGAATCGGGTTCCTTGTTAATATTTGTCAGTTCATAAAATGTTGATGAAAGTCGTAACTAATAATACTAGTAATTATTACATGTATTATATAATGATAGGTGGTCATGGTGGTAAAACCGCATATATCATGGAACTTTCTGTCATCAGAAAATCAACCCAGCTATAGTATGACTGCTAAAATAGCACAAAATCGTTAAATTCGGTACCTTCAGAGGTCTAGTTATCCAAAAATCATGGTATTTCGTCAAAGAATGGAGTTGGTCATTGCAAATTATACGTAATAAAAAAAAATACCGGTTTTTGTAGGCATGACAAATATTTAAAATTTTATAAGAACAATACTTCAAAAATGATTGAAGTGGTACCAAGAAAGTTTTTAGAAACTAGGCCTACATCATTTCCTGTATAGGATTATAGCCGGATTATATAGTTAACAAGGTCAACTGTCCAGAAAAGGGATTTACCTGTAATTTGCTAGAAAAAATTCTGAATTTTACTGAATTTTTAAAAACCATTTTCCAACTTTGTGATCAGTCATCACAAACACTTTAAAAGCCCCCCCCCCTCAAAAAACAACAACAACAACAAAGAGACATCACAGTTTTTGTAAGAACTTGTATACGCATGCATGTATAAAGACCCATTTATTAATACAAGTACATGTACAGTGGACAAAAGTACCAATATGTAGAAATCTATGTCAATGATTGGCTGAGTGAAATGACATCATCCCAGGAGGTGTGGCCAATCACAGTGACTGTTTCGCATTGTGGGGAGCTGGCCAGTCCAGCTAATATATGTGGGCTGCCATGCATGGCATGGATACCAGTGAAACAGCACCGGTAACCAAGTGGGATGATGCAAGATAAACTAAGTGCCTGTGGTCATGTCACAGCCAGAGGGAAATAAATTAAGGGTTTTAAAATGACACACGATTTACAATAATGAAATGAGATAAGGCAAGCCTAGTAAAGCTGACCGATTTCACGAAACTCGTCTTATCTTAGGACTCATCTTAGGATTTAAGATGATTCCCTGCTCCAAGATTGATCATAGCTAAGACTCATCCTAAAACCGATTTCACCAAACCCATCTTAAGCAAGATGCATCAAAACTACCAACTTGATGACTGTTTCATGTTTCTTTTTACCGCTTGATGAAACAGTCGTTGAAAAGAACCTTGCAAAACCAACTTCCCGCGCGCTTGCATAGAACATGAACTTTCGCATTTTGATAACACTATCGGTCGAAGGAGCCCGGAGTGCATGCATGAGTCGCGTGAGTCTGGTCTGGTGCCACCTCAGAAAATGGCTGTTGCCAAATTAGCACTGCCCTACCGGTAGTTCCTCTGTTCACCAGCCGACAACCAGGCTATTAACCACAAGTGACATTGAGTGAGGGGGAGTGAGTCAGACAAGGTACCGGTCAGTTACTGGCAGTCAGTCATTGACACAGTCAGAGGACAGAAGGTTGGCCCTTAGTTAGGATCCTTACGATTGCCAAAAGCTTTTAACATACTGGATTGCTGGTCCTACATTTATTTTGAAACATCAACGTTGATTGTGTAGGCTATCTCTTTCCAAAAGGTTTTGCTTCCAAAAGATTAAGTAAACACAATTCTGTTTTATCTGATGTGATTGGATGATAATACTATAACTTATTTTATTTGCTTGAAGACCCTGGAAGGAAACAACAAACGGTACCAACCACACTTTCTCTTTAATTAAGAAGCATGCTTTGAAGTTAAGGATGTTTAGGTGAATGCTGTGAATTATCAGGCCCTTGAAGCAATGACTTTCAAACTTAATAATCAATAGATTGTTTGCACTGCAGCTATAATGGATGTGTTCACTGTTTATGAATTAACAAATCAAAACATACAGGGTGAGTAAAAACAAAAACAAAAAACCCAAAGGGCAGGACCAATTTTTGAATGAAATTTTGCCTGTAGCACTTTCAAAATCTAGGATATGAAAGCCCAGTCATTAAGCTTTCTTTTAACACAAGAATCATTGAAATCACTCATGTACAAACACTGTTTTAAAGTTCTGTCCATGGATCACACAAAAATTTGGTTCTTTCAGCAAAATGAAAACAATTCTCATAGGGATGCATGTGAATTGTTTTCGTTTTGCTGAAAGAACACTTACCCTTTTTTGTGATCCGTGGACAGAACTTTAAAATGGTAAAATTCCATAACTTAAAAAGTAAATGAGTGATTTGAATGATTCTTGTAATAAAAGAACTTAGCTTAATGACTGGGCTTTCATATCCTAGATTTTGAAAGTGCTACAGGCAAAACTTTATTCAAAAATTGGTCCCGCCATTTGGGTGTTTTTTTTTTACTCGCCCTGTAATGTCAGCTGACTGCAATCAACCTATGCAGCTGATGTATCTTATTGACATTCTTGATAGCTTGATTGACATTCCCACGCCACCGGTACCTTTGCAGACATTGCCCCTAGTGTAGTGTTCTTGTAATGAGCGTTTTGGGTGACATACTGAGGTTTCATTGAAAATCCAATAGGCCAATCGAGCGGTGGCTGTGAGAGTGACACATCAAATTGCTTTTCTGTCATTGCCTCCTTCAGGCTACATGAATCATGTTCACATACACTGTGTAATTGATATGATGGGCTCGCATTGGCACACATGTACAGTAGGTGCATTGAAGAGTCTATCTATTCTTTGTTTGAGTCAAATAAATTCAGTCCAGTTTGCAATTTTCCTTTAAAAATTTAGAATTACTTCAACTGCTATGGAGCAAAAGCCCATATTGTTTATAAAAGTAATCTGTAAAATTTGCTATTTGAAATACTGTCTTGCATTTTGCGATGGGAATCAAGGCATATGCCTATTGCTCACTGCAGGCATTCAGATCAACGCACCAGAAAATGTATGTAGCGGTACTTTGTACACAAACTTCAAAATGTATGTATATTTGTGGAAAAGAAGTGTCCTCAAAAAGTATTGAAATGGAGCAATTTCTAGATGAAGGCCTTTTCGGATGAGGAGGTTTGCATATTGTGCAGTAGGCAGCAATGTTTGGTCTGCTGTACTATGTACCATAAGGCTGAAAGTTCAAATTTATGCACTGCGTTTTTGCAGCAGAGCACTCATGGACAAAAATAAACAGTGAGGACAATATTCTCTAGACTGCATACACTATGCATACATACACGCATTGCCATGCATCAGTGCATTTCATATTCCACAATGCTTGATGGATGCATTGCAAGTCCAATAGACTGCTGTACAACTGATCTACACTAAGCCTACAGTCAGCAATGGCATTTACATTGAGTGTATTAGTGTCACATATGTTGCAGATATGAGAGTTCACAGTTATTCATGTGTGAAGCGACTGACAGTTTTTACATTACTTTAGAACTAAAGCAGAACGCCGTGGAAGATATGTATGAACATACAATACGCAATTGTCAATTTTTCCGTTAGGCTTTTACAACTGACATGGATGGAATTTGAAAGTTTGCAAATAGATGTAAAAACAGAATAGACTGCCATTTTAATGAAAAATGTGATGGCAATCTTGTTTGGTTTGAAAACATAGTATCAAGTGAGCACCATCGATATTTTCAATAATCAATATATATATCGGAAATCCAACATCGAGATATTCGATAATATCAATTATCCCATGTAAAAGTTAAAGAAGATAAAGATGACACTTTGATTAAAAAAAAAAAATCTTAAGTTCCAATTTTCCATGGCTTTCTCTGGAGCATATTGCTCAAACTTTTTAAAACAAATCTCAGCACTGACAGTTTGTCCAGAATCGGTGCTTTCTTTTGAGGTTTTACATTGGGGGAAACCGCGAATTCCAGCGATCGCAGAGCACAAAGCGACGCCGCTTGGCATTTCGCCATGTTTTTATTTTGAGTCACAAGCACAATTTGCCGCCGAGTTTTAGTTCATTTTACAGCAAACGTTGAACACAAAGTAATAGCACAAATAGGAAAAATTAATTTTGACGATAATCTGATGCTTTTTCGATATTTTCGATATATGATTCCTCAATATCAAAAATTTTGATATTTCGATATGATTAAAAAATTGCTATTGGAGATATCGATATCAAAATAATATCGAATAATCAAGTAATATCGATATATAGACGGTGCATAATATTAAGTGCAAATGTTTTTACATGTAGTCCTCGTGATAAATTAAATATACACTGTTACTTGTTGGAAACTAATACATTTTGTACACAAATACCGGTAGGTAATTAAACAATGATCATGTCATCCAATATTGCAGGTCTCTTCGTTCTTGCATATTTTTTTTCTAGAGATCGGAATATACAGCGTTACAACTATGTAAACATGCTACCGTACTGGATCTGCAGTAGACATACATGTATGTACAGTGTGTGTCACAGTCACACAGAGCTGTGTGAAAACTCAAAATGCAGTGGCTCAGGTTCACCATACACGCACCACCCATATACGGTCCATTTAACACTGCAAAATTGACAACTAAAAGATTCCTTTTAATTCTCAAAGAAAACCCGATGTGAAAGGTGTCTAAAATATACGGTATCTTAGCCATGGATCCACTGGGGCCATTTATAAGGCCAACACAAATAATAGTTCTGCTTCCGGTTACCCTACCTACCCTATTTTGACAGCCCCTACCCTAAGTTTTTGGGGGGAAAATGAGGAAAAAACCCCGAAAATCATTCTACCTTTTACCCTTGACTACACACAGACACCTCCATACATGCCATATGATCGTACACAAAAAAATTGCCAAAAAAATTTCTTTCCTACATTTGCACCTACCTACCCTATTTTCAAATGCCATGTAATTGGAGGCACAAGTGGCTTTTTTTTTGGCTAACTGAAAGGATGGGGACTCAGACTTCATGCGAAAAACAGAAGCGAAGCAATTCATGATGTCAACAACTGAAGTTTCATTGTGATGTTCGCCGTAACCCTACCATATTTGCTTCACCCTGAATATTTTTGTGCGTGTGAGGGAGATGTACATTTTTAATATTTGTTCTTGCCGTGTACAGACATAACTTTAGAAGACAGATACATGTACAAGCATACTGACAACCATCAACAGTTTTGTTCTATTGTGTGAAAAAAAGCCCTTCCTTAACAGATGTGTGATACACTATAGGTTGGAGAAATTGATCCATAGCTGTTATTGCATAACATTTTAGAAGACAAATTATGAAATATATCAGAAATAATTTAATTAAGGATCTTTCTGCACAGGTCTAGTGGACACTGAATGGCGTACATTCAACCCTCTCTGGCTGGCAAATTCAACAAAGCCAACCCAGCAGTCAAATATATCAAGTGACTGTTTTAAACAGTTGCGTGCTCCCTTCTCACATAAAGCAGGATTGACTGGTTGTGATCGTTATGACACTTGAGCACTTGACACAGCTAGCTATGCTTTGGCTGCAGAAGATTGATAAGCCAGTTGTGCCTACCAGTAATCACCTGCTTTTGTCTGTTGATGGAATTTGACTAGTCACATTGCCTACTGGAAATATGATCTAAGTGTTGGTGACTAGCCTGTGTAAAAGGTGGGGAAGTGGAATGGTTTTTTGACTGTCTGTGACTGATCAAACAAAAGGAGGATTTTTAACGTGATGTGGAAATGGGCCACCCTTGTTTTCCTGCCAACTATAGCTGAAAATTCCCCTTTAACCCTAACTCCCTAGTGTCTTTTACTAAGAACTGGACCAAGTCCATCAAAATCCATCAATCACTGTGCTTCCAATACAAAATGAATGTATGACATAATGGAATCCACCACTGATGCACTGGTTGACATTGATGGACTTAATATACATGGATTTATGGAAGATAGGCAAAATCAATCGGATACCCCTAGCACTGCTTCAGGCCTTCAGGCCCAAGTCCATCATACTCCATCAATATTTAGCCATACCAGGCCTACTGTACCAAATCCCCCAAAATCCACCAAAAATGGGGGGATGGATTTTGATGGAGTTGGGGTTATTTAGGTTTTAAGGTTAGCTGGGAGTATACATGTAGCCTCAAGCTTGTGCACATGCCTAAATTTACATGTCAGGATTCGGTGCTTAGGGAGTAAGCATAGAATATCTTTGCTAGTGTTGTAACCACAGTCTGGTGATCATATGCATAGAATTTCATGGTTAGCGCTTAGCAGAGCCTTGAAATTGGCTCATGGTCAGAGCAATCTGCAATGCTGTGACTACACTTAGCAGTACACTGTATCATGGATTTCTTGTAATGTATAAGCAGTTTAGCACTTTTAATTTACATTATGGCATTTTACCTGTATGCTTAATGCACATGTATTTAACTGTAAAACTGTTTTTTACAGCTGAAAATTCCTTCAAACGAAGCTTCTCTCTTAAAAATGATTATGCAAATTACAAATTTGGCAAAGAAATTGCAAATCCTTGGATGTCTCAATAGATAGGTGTGCCCAAGAAACGCAGGCTCTATTCCTTCTGGCCACTGTGCAATCCCGTCAGATGAATGAGGCAGGGTAATAGCCCGTGCGCTCTGCATTGTGAGCTCTGTCATGCGTGGAGCACTAGCAGGCATCAACTGGCGATGACTGGCGATGAGGCAATACAGGGAATCAGGACACAGTGCAGTAAATTGCGCGCTGAGAAGAAAAGAGTGATTTATGTGTAATAAGAAGTCATGTGAAAGGAGGCGTGTGTGCTTACTCTGGATCTCTGTACATACTCTTATGGTAGGTCGCTTTTCTTCCTTACATGTTCTTCTGCTGTTGGGGTAGGTTTTTCTTGTGTTCCAAGCTATTCTGCTGTGCATTTTAAAAAAAAATTTAATGAGAAGCCTTTTGGTTGTGTGTTGCTAGTGGGATGGAACTGATGACTGTACCATATGGTTGCAAATTGTGTACAAGTTTATGGGCTGAGGAGTTTGCAGTGTCAAAGTCAGAGATGTTGATGAGGAAATTTGCCGTTCAGATTGAAGTGAATGAGAATTTTAATATTTGTCTCTATTTTTGTCCGGTGTTGAAGTTGTACCTTATTTGTGTAGACGAATTCCCCACCCTTTTCTGCTGCCTAATTTTGTACATGTCGAATAATATCATTGTAATGACAGAAAGTATAGGCCTGTAAATGTAGCATAAAGATCTTCCTTGAATTTAACTGACAGAAACAAATAGTTTTTCTATCCTGAGTTCTGTATTGAATTTATATTTTACATTCATATTCAGTTCAGTTTTTAACTGAGTCATATGTTAGTTTTTGTGTCATTCAGTCTTTGACTTCATGGTTTTATTGGAATGAATGAACCATTGGTAAAAAAAATGAAATTAATATGGAACTATACTTATAAACCAGTATACTTCAAAAAGCGGAGCCCAAACTGCAAAAAAAATAATTTCATATTTAAAAATATGTATCACCAAAAATAATAATGACTGGAAAGCCAATTTCATAAGCTACTTTTAGATGAAAACAATACTGAAATTGCTCAATCCGTTCAAAGAATATCACCATTTAAACGCAATGAGCCTACAACCTGTCTTGTCCAAAAAAAGCAGTTCATTGTGTGTTTTGACTGTTCGGAACAACAAAGACAATGACACAGAATACTTGTTTTAACAACTGTCACCAACTGTAGTACACAATATCTTTATTAACAACCCTGGGTAGGCAAACAATATGATTTATAAAAATCTACTTTTTTAAAAAGACGGGCATTCAAAAGGACTTTGTTGAATTTGTTAATGTTTAAACTGAGATTTTATCACTGGTGATGTTTGAAGACAATTGTGATGACGATTCTTACAGTGGCATTTTTTGGACGAGACAGGTTTTAGGGTCATTGTGTTTAAATGGTGATATTGTTTGAACGGATTGAGCAATTTCAGTAATTCTTTCATCTAAAAGTAGCTTATGAAATTGGCTTTCCAGTCATTATTATTTTTGGTGTAACATATTTTTTTAAATATTGAAATATAATTTTTGGGGTTTGGGGTCCGCTTTTTTTGACTCACCCTGTATTTTTAAATTCCAGTACTTGTGTCTTTTCATTTATGACTGTATACAAAAAGAATGTCATCTAAGTTTATAAAAGGATGTTAGACATAATGCATACATTTCTAATGAAGCGCTCTTTACCATTAATGTTTAACAGGTGTTATTTTAATTATTCATCAGGTTATTGAATAATTGCAAGTGCACTTTGTAGTATAATGAATATCGTCAGTTTGGTTTATGTAAAGTCATTTAGAGAAAAGTTGACCTAGAAAAATTCTTATTGTACACACAAATGCCTTAAGAAATTGAGCATGAAAAATGATATCATTTTATCATGCCATTTTTTTAAAATTTAAAATAAGCTGCTAAGTTTTTTTACATGATTTATATGAATTGTTTGCTGAAGCCATTATCTGGATCATGAGAGCATATAAAAATCATCTGCCTGCTGTGATGAATCGTTGTGCAGTTTGAAATACATCTATTAAATTCCTTCAGATTGTAGGGGATAATGCACATTGTTAATTTTAGGTCATAAATAATGATTGGAATAGAATGTTTGTGGTGTAATTGCACTCCCTCACTGCACAGATACAGAACTTTACTTTGTGAACATTAATTGTTAATTTTTTTTTTACTAGTTTTATCATGTTTTTCACCTTAGTTTTCCCCTAGGTACTGTACGTTGTACAACTTTCTTTGTTATGTTTGGAAAAGCTGGTAAAATGAAAGTCAATCTTCAGAAAATGAAGTAATGGCTAATTTTGTTTATCCCTTGAACTGTTTTAATCTAATGCCTTGTCTTTAGAACAGTACGTGTACATATATTTTGGGACATCTGCAATGAAAAATTAGATTTGGTCTATGGGCTTGGACATCTTTATTGCCATTGGGAAAATTCCTTTCATAACCTCACTTCATTTTGAGCACAGATATAATTAGTAGTGTCCCGTGTCACAAAACTATGCATTACTTCAATTTCGTTGTCATTGATGTAAAAAGCAGCCGTATACAATGTAAATTGCTGTGTGATCTAATACTTTGTGCCAAGATAAAATTTGACCCAAGTTTTATGCAATAAAACCCCCCAAAATTTAACTAAGTCAATATACATGTAGGTCATGGCAAAGCTTATTCGTGGCTACTTAATATGTAAAGCACCTCGATGAGATCAGTTCCCGTTGCTTAGGATAATAACAACATGCAGCATTTAACTACTCTCTCAAATATTCTAGTGTACATGCATTATACTTATGTGAACCTTTCTCTTTTTTTTCCATCATTTCCATTTCCATACAGATCATTCTCAGCTTTGATTAACGCCGCCTCATCACTAACCGCCATCGTCGCATCCTCAAAAACTGTCGCCTTAAACAAGACTGCATCCCAACTCCATGCATTTTCTTTAATCTTCTCGCACGCAAAGCCTTAGAGCCAATTTGAGCTCCGGAAATGGTTGCACTCGTTTAAAATACCCCGAAGTTCCAGAATAGTGCTTGTGCATTGGGGGTTAGAGGTGTATACCCTAAAGGAGATATTCTCCGATGGAGGAGGGCGAGGAGCTGGAACCAATCAGTTCAGGTACTTCCAAGAATCATGGAGGTGGGTCCTATACATGCGCTGCCCTAGCTGCCTCAAAGCTACAGGGAGGGTGGCAAGTCAGCTTCATGGGGGCAACAGATGCAGTAACGCTTCCCCCCCCCCCCTAGCCTTTGGCTTGGTGCCCATTAGAATATATCCCAGTAGTGGAAGTGGCCTTGACATGGGGAAAGTTGCCCTGCCTCTAGTCCAGTTCTAGGCCCAGTGTACCTAGTAGTGGTACTTGTGGCCCGTCATTAATGCCTCAGCTTATGCTTTATTGAAAATATTCTCTAGTGGAACACAACAGAGATATCAAAGTACAAAAACCTTTTGAATCTCCAATTGGCGAAGCTTAAAGTGACCATCTGTATCCTCAGCTTAAGCTTTATTGAAGGTATTCTCTAGTGGAACATGACAGATATCAAACTTCAAAAACCTTTTGTATCTCCAATTGCAGAGGCTTAAAGTGACCATCTGTATTTCTGTGATAAAGTATCGTGGAAGACAGAATACTACCTAGACATTTAAGATGTCCGTAGTTTCTGAGATCGTCATCATAAACACGGAAAGATGTCTTGACCCCTAAATGTTTTTTTTGTGATATCCTAGCTTGGAAAGACTTTTTGTCTGCAATTCTATCTCAGAAGACATCATTTAAAAATGAAAATTTATCAAGGAAACGTGGACTCACAGATAGTCACTTTAAGCTCCCGTATGTAGCGCCATCTGCATCTAGCTCTCCTAAGGTTTTCAAATGTTTCTGGCTCTACACAATGTACCTCTAGTTGATACTGTATGGAGCCCAATATTACTTGGGTCTGGTTGGTTTCAAAGCACGTTACTCTGTTTGCACCAAACTTGCTTATTAAACAATAAGCCTAAAGCCTGGTTCATACTTCTAATTGCTCATACTGTATGGAACCCAACATTACTTGGGTCTGGTTGGATTCAAAGTGTGTTACCCTGTACGCACCCAACGTGCTTATTAAACAATAAGCCTAAAGCCTGGTTCATACTCCTAGTTGCTCATACTGTATGGAACCCAACATTTTTTGGTCTGGTTGGTTTCAAAGCATGTTACTCTGTTTGCGCGAAAATTGCTTATTAAACAATAAGCCTAAAAAGCCTGGTTCATACATGTACTTCACACAAAAGCGAAGCATAATTTGTAACGTCGACAATACGTTTGAAGCACGACCACCATTGTTGACAATATGAATTTTGCTTTGCACTTGCTTTCGCGTGAAGTATGAACCGGGCTTCACACTGACCAAGAGCATGTCGTTTTCCAAAAGAGATATTGCTTTCAGTGTGGCAAATGTGCACAACTATGGGCAATGCACAGGAATGACCTTTGCCTGACATATCCCATGATTTTAGTACAGTGGCGGTTGACAATATGCGTGTCGAGGTTACTATTTTTCATTTTGACAGCTGCTCGTAATTACATGTACATTTACACGGTGCAAATTTTATGACACATTTTGTGAGGAATACGACACTCAATTATGAATGTTTGCCGTGCCACACAATTAACACAAGCTGAACTCTGTACATGTGCATGTTTGTCTGGGCCCATATGTTTTGTTTTCATTTGTTTCATTTTTGATTTATCATTTTTCCATTTGTGCCTAATTGTTTCAATTTGTTTTTTCTATTTTCCAGCGACTGCTTTGCTGGATCAGGACCAGCCCAAGAAAGTTAGCGGGAAAGCATGGGGACGAATTGGGGTAAGACACAAACTTAAATCTCTCTTAAATTTAAATTTCTCTTAAATGCAGTATATTGACCCAGTGCATATATTTATTTATTTATTTTTTGGACTAATATGTTATGAACATTTTTAAATGTCTGATTGAAACTACATGTCATTTGACCTTCTGTATGTATTACATGTAAAAGCTGATATACATTTACTAGTACAAATGTCACGATCAAACTTCCAACACTAGTCTGGTACCAAAAGAACCCATTATTGTAAAGGCACGTATGTAGGAACATTTGTAATAATTACCAGGACACGTACATATAATTTAATGAAAAAATCCTCGCTCAAAAGTCAAAGTGAAGATAGAACTAATACCAAATACCCTCTGAAATTGTTCTGCCTGAAATGGTATCATTCGGAAGAAAACAATTGTTGACAGTGTTTTTTTTTTACGTGCGTCAGCAACGTAATCCAGTTACGAGACCCAAAAATTGTACATATATGTTTTGTCTGTTTTTCCAAAATGTATAGTATCCATTAAGCTGAAACTTCACCAAGTTACAATGTAGTTGTTAATTGTTATGCACCCTTCTTAAGATTTTGAGCAATTTGAGTGTTTCAATCGAGAAAAAAAAATGCACAGTAAAGAAGTGATTCATAATGATGTACCTTTAAGTTTTCATTTTATTGACCATATGTACATGTAGATGTAAAATTGACATTTTCAAGTCTGTATATTTCCGAGAGATACTGGTATTTCACTCGGAAACAACCAGATAACAATTTTAATGTGACTTACCATTGAAATGGCAGACTGTTCTAAGTTATATTACAGCGCATACATGTAATTTGTAATTCAAATGAACTGTGCAAAACATACAGCGGGGTTTTCTTTCATTGCACTGTGGGGGTTGGATCTGGCAGACTACTTGACATTTTCAAGGAATGCCCTTGACTCCTTATCAGGTCCGAATATCAACAATTACAACCAACTTGCCACTGGCATCTTGGGTGTTTTTTTGAGGAAACGACAGATGAAATATCAGATCTGAAAAAATAAAAATGACACCTGTGGAACCCCCCCCCCCCCCCGGCAATTCCCGGTTTAAAAAAAGTTATCAAAAAATCTTATTAGGGCATCATGTAAAGAAAGATGCAAAGTCCGCAGCTACAGTTTGTTACATTATCCTTTTTGTGTGTCACTTATACGCCATTTTACTATTCTTAGAACAGTCTGGTTTTACCATAGGGCATCATTGTGCTGATATATACAGTAGTTGAAATACTATTTTGGTGGTTTAAACTTGAAAATAATTAATGGAAGACTATAATCTCCCAATTTTCAGACATACATGTAGTTAAAGTCATAGTTAAACTCGATTTGCAACTGAGAATATAACTGTTCTTTTTTAATAAATAATATATTATAAGTAACATAGTTGGATGATTATGTTTACGTTTAAATTATGTTTTGTCAATGAGAAACAGACATGAAAGCCCACAGTGCTTTCATTTATTTTGCTGCATTTTAGTCAATGTGCCTTTTAAAAACAAAAACACAAAATGACTTCAAAGTTTGATTCAAAGTGTTTCTTTTTTTAAGCAATTTGTCAGTGGCAAGGGGGAGTACCCAAAGAGTATTTTCTTCATCATTGGCACCGAGTTCTGCGAACGCTTCTCCTATTATGGAATGAAAGGTAATTGTTTTGTTCTAAAAAGTAGTAAAGTCTGTCCCGAGCCTACATGGCCCATCAGGCCGGCGTTTAACTCCGGTTTCAGTGGCATGAAACGACTGAGAATACTTCTATTCCCCCTGGACAGGATGCCAGTCCATCGCAGGTTACTCCCCAGCTAATGCCGGTACCCATTTATACTCCTGGGTGGAGAGAGGCAAGTGGGGATAAAGTGCCTTGCCCAAGGACACAACGTATGGCCAGCAGCTGGATTCGAACCCCTGACCCTCTAATCATGAGTTACGAACCCAAACTGCTAGGCCACACTTCCCCACTTGTTTTGTTCTGCTTTGAAAAATTCATTTTGATTTTTGGAAGGTGTTGCTTAGCCCATTAGTCCATGTACTGCTTCCAAACCCCCCATCACACTATTGTTGTTATGGATGATTTAGTGAACCAATACAATGTAGCACATGCGCTACTGGTTAATATCTAGAGCTGGTGATTTTTCATTGGAAGCATTTAAGTTTCCATAGTTCCTGTTCAACTGTTAGGAATCTGTGTTATATTCTTTGTGTGGAATAGTGTGTTTTATTCTTTGTATGGAACAGTGTGTTAATTACACTCATTGTGTGGAACATGTAGATGGTGTCAACTAAAAGGTCATCTGGAACAAAACATTGTACTTTTGTTGCCACGAGAAAATGTGTCATAAAGAGTACAGTAAGTTTTGTAGACATATTTCCTGTAATTTTTATTTGAAAGTCCCATTTATCAGTAAAGTTTAAAGTAGTCCCTTACCCCAACGTATCCAAATCTTCCAAAATCCTCTTTCAAAAATGGAGGATATTTTGCAGTATTGAGGCTGTATTTCGCAGGATTGAGGTTACATCCTAGCAAAATTCCTAGGGAGTTGTAAGTCCATGTAACCAGCATAAGGACCCCTTTTGATTGGATTCTTTAGACATATGACGCTATCAATCTTTAAAATATGATTTTATTCTAATGTAATAAGTCTGTATGCACTACACAAACCTGGGGGACCAAATTTATCATGATTAAAATGTAGTACAAAACTACATGTACTAGAGTACATGTAGAAGCTCAACAAGTTTTACTAGGTGATAGTTTCTTTCTCAACGGCCTGTACCAAAATTTTGAAATGGCCAAGTTGCATGGTGTACATGTAAGATAATTACCAGACAATTCTTCTTCCTTGTTTATATTATGCAGATGAAAATTTTACTCAGCAGATTGTAGAATGGGATGTCCAATGGAGCTTTAGTTTTGTTTACAATGATCAGTAGATCCTGCTTGACCAGCAGTCAAGCAATGTAGAAATGACGATTCACATCCATAGTTTTGCTTAAAAATGCCGGTAGGCTGTGTCCGAATTGCTTGGCTGTGGAAGCAGTTGAATCTACTTAAACTAAATAAATATTGGTAATGCTTATAGCGCTTTCCATCTTATCAACAATCTCAAAGCGCTTTACAATTATTCCCCCATTCATCAGGCCACGAGACCATGCGGCAGCCGATATCAGTGCACATTCGGTCCTATACCCTCACAGGTACCCATTCACACTCCTGGGTGGAGAGAGGCAATCGTAGTTAAGTGTCTTGCCCAAGGGCACAAACACAATGTTCCTGGCTGGGTTCGGACCCACGCACCATCGTACATGAGTCAAACACTGTAACCACTGGACCATGGCATTCTACTTCCCATAGATGCTTGAATTACTGTTGGGCTGCAGCAAACAAAGGACTAGAAGCAGCCCAAATATTTAACCCATAATATTCCCATTCCCCAACTCCATCCGAATCCATCCCCCCCCCCCCCCCCCCCCCCATTTTGGTGGATTTTGGGGAATTGTTCCTGCAGGCCCGGTTTGGCTAGTTATTGATGGAGTATGATGGATTTGGGTCTGGAGGCCTTGGAAGCAGTGTGATTGATGGATTTTGGCAGACTTGGTCCAGTAATAGTAAAAGACAGTAGGGAGTTAGGGTTAATGTACCTGTAGTTCTGAAGTCACCAAAATGATTCTTTCACTGTACACAAATACCCCTGAAATGTACATTACGATCATCCAGTGAATAATTTCCCCTACTTGAAGTCCTACTACGGGTATGTACAAAAGTGACTGATCTTTATTCTGTAAAATATTCCTTGTTTTCTGCTTTGTGTTGTAGCTATCCTGGTGCTGTACATGACCAACATCTTACTACTTGATGATGACCCAGCCACGGCCCTCTTCCATGCCTTTGCCATGCTGTGCTACTTCACTCCCATCTTTGGTGCTATGATCGCTGACGGATGGCTCGGCAAATACAGGTTAAAAATAGGGAGAAGTTGGGAAAAATCTGAGTCCTTGACATAGAGCTATATTAAATTACTAGAGCGCTAACTCCTCATTCTTGCGCGCGGAGACGCTTTGAAGCCGCTCTGGGCGCAGACATTTTGAATTTATGTGCGTGTTTGTAGAACGCAATCAAAATAAATGGATTGAATTTTAAAAGTGTACTCTAAATGCAACGCGCAAGGAGAAGATACGCAAACAACTTCAGCGTGTCATGACGGTTCAGCGTGTCAAAAACGTCTCGGCGAAAAGCATCTGCAGTGGAGGGACGCGCACACGTTGCACTGTTTGCGTAGAGCCAAATGAAACGCTCATTTGCTGATCGTGCGTTTCGGTTTTGGGCGTATCGGCTTCGATGACGCACCGGTATGGAATACAAATGCAGATATGCAAATAGCCGTACAAAAGCTGTACAAAATGTTGAGTTTTCCATAGGTTTGTGCTCAAACATGGATGCGCCCATCAGGCATTACTTTGTACATCCAGTTAGCGCTCTAGTAATTTGATATAGCTCTATGGTCCTTGACAAAGGCAAGTTGGATTTTCTTGAACATTTTGTATCATAAAACGGCCAACAGGTCCTTTCAGTATTTGCTTTTTGGTAATAAAACCCATGATTAAAGCGGCCATAATTGCACTGTGCAGTAATGCAGTACATGATGAATAAAGTCAATGCAGTAATAAGAGCATACGGTACACAGTGACGTTGCCCTGACCTGCTGACTGGCAGTCAACCGTTACATTTTTTGTAATGGAACATACTGGATAGTGCACTCTTCTGACATGAATTTTAATACGGTGCACCTCATTTAAATATCCCTTGAAATTTGGGGTTTGTCTGAATTTGACAAGGTTACAGTAAATTATTTGAGTGGAAATTTTACTTCGATATAGCAGCCATTTAGCTGGATAATTGTATATTTGTCTGCTGATCTCTTTTGCTAAAATATCCTTATTTTTCTCTTATCTGAGCCAGGTATATTGGCTTAGCTGGGGGGGGGGGGGGGTGTGCAGGGGGGGAGGGGGGTTGCAAGCACATTCTTTCCCCCTTGATAGCTAAGTTCCATTTTTTCCATTCAAATCAGTGTTTGGTTTGTGCCGAAGAGAGAAATTGTTAAGAAAAAATGTAATGCATCACTGATCACCGCAAAAACATTTCCAACCCTAGCCACCCCTTACTTAAAAAACATGGACTTTTCTTTTTTAGTTCTGGGACAACGTTGGCAACAATGCTATGAAAAAAAAAAATACTGGCCTATTTTCATTATAGCCTACATGTCTCTGAAACACCTTTACCCAGTGTCCACAAAATGCAAAGAGCCCTGCTTCCAGCATTGCCCTGTTTTGAAAGCATAGTTGCAGCATACAGCATGATCCGAATCCACTCAATTAAAAAAAAAAAGTCAGTCCATTATTCAGTTAAAAAATCATACCTCAGTTAGCCGTTAAACATATGGTATCTTCTGCAAAGATTGCAATTGTATTGTTAGAACGTCATAAAATCCAACACAAAAGTTCTCAATGATCTTGGACAACAGTGTTGAATTGTACATGTATTTATTTTCTGGTACCAAAGGGTCAAGTACCAAAGGGTCAAGTACTATCAATTGGTAATACACCTACACATGTACAAATACATGTTTATCACCTCTAGAACTAACAGTTAAAGAAAGAGCTAACTAAAAATCTGAGGTTCAAGGTCGGGTTTCTGATAACAATGAGAAGCCATTGTCTGGTACAGCAATGCCAGTACATACTTGTTTGGTACACAGAATAGTGTCTTTAGAGAGCGTCACAAAAGAAAAAAAGGTTTAGATTATTCACCTGTTTGAAATAAAATCACGAAGAATCTAAACCAAATTTACAATGGTTGTCACAGGTGAAACAATAATACACATACCTGTATTGAATAAAATTCATTCGTTTTATTGCATTAGTACATTAGGGGAGCATTACTCATTCTAAATGCAGTGCTCCGCAGTGCATGCATGTTATTGTTTGACCTCAAATCTAGCTTGTGATTAGAGATCAATTAGTGGGGTTAATCATAATATCGTGATCGTAAGCCTGAAAAACATTGATTCAAAACTAGAACGACACAGTTTTGTGACCAAAAAAAAAAAAAGAACGACTTGCGCCAATACCATTGATATTGATCCCTAAATTGAAATAGCAAAATAAGATTACTAGCTGAAATGATATGAAGTATGTGCTTGGGACTGGTTTGTAGTTGATTTCTGCTAAGCTTGAAAATAAGCTGAGCAATACTTCCTGTTTAGGTGCTCCATGAAATTAGGCTCTGGCAAAATTCAGCATTCGCATCGCACAAGATCTAGTACTATGGGGAATGTTATTCTGCCACGTCCCAAAACCGAATCTGGAGGGAAAACTTTCCAATATGGGGGTGCCCAAGCCTGGAATAACCTGCCAGCAAGGGTAAAAGATCCATTTCCCACAATTGTCCATTTTGACTCTGAAGTACCTGGGCTATTGATGATTTTGTGAAATTGATATTTTAATTTTGATAATCAAATAGGCAATAATGATGTCTGAGGGATTGAATAATTTGCCTATTGTTGGGCACTAGGTGCTGGATGAAATGACTTTTAATGTTTGTGGTAATTTCGTCTAATTGTTATGTACAATTTTGAAAGCTAAATTTAAAGCAATTTTTATGCTCTCCATTTAAAAAAAAACGTTTGTTTCATACTGTGCAATGAGAATATACATACATTTTATCAATTCCAATGTATGTTCAAATCATGTTTGATTGTATTATTACTCCTACTGGGACCCATGTGGGATCAGTCCTGATAAAAAGACTGATTGGGCCACCCAGTATAAAGAAGAAATAAATAAATAAATAAATACATTTGTAATTCGTCGTGTCAGTGCAAAAATGTTGTAACTGCCAAATTTGTCCAAATTCAGCTTTAATCATTAATAATATTATTATAAAGATTCCCCCATATAGATTTTATATTACAAGAGATCTTTATTGAAAAGGTCGTAAATCTAGATTACGAGCAAATTTGTGCAAGCAAAAAACGTATCTCAGCGAATTTATATGCAAAATGCCTGGGAATTATATGCATATGCCTGGGAATTATTAACACAGTTGAATTGGACAAGCTAAGCACAACCATACTGTTTAATTCTGAGATATTTTTAGGGATATCGTAAAAAAAAATCCAATTAAAGCTCTACGTGCCAGGCAAAATAAAAAAAAAAATTGTTTAGCGTCCCCACCTGCTTCCTTTTTGGAGGCGGCCGCCTCCTTTTTTTTTTTAACAGTGACATCATTTTGGCCTCTTTATCTCTTGCATCTAGCCCATATAAAGCTGTGATGTCATTTCCTGAGCCCAATAACGGCCATTTAAAAATAATTCTGGCGGCCATCTTGAAAAATAGCCCGGTTGGGCGGCCATTTTGGAGGGGGAAAAAAAGGGCCTCCCCCTTCCTTTTTTCCAAAAAGGCAGGACACTAAATGTGTTTTTTTTTTATTTCGCCTAATGCAATGGGGCCTTATTGTGTGTTCATGCAAAAACGTTGTATCTCGACAAGTTACGATGTTTTGACAAAAATTTTACATAGCACGTCGTCTCAAGCAAAAATATTGCATGTTGATCTCATTCATTTCAAAGTTCTTCATCCAAATCCAAAGTATTTAACATACTGGACATGTTTCTGACTAAATTATCTTTTTGAGGTTATACTTTATCTTTTCATTTAAGGAAACGCAAAATTTAACAAGCCATATCTCAAACCTAAAAACGCATTTTTCTCAAAACGACTCAAACTGAATTACAATGTTTTTGCGATGAAGCAAGAAATTTTACTTTCACTACTTATATGTACATCAATATGTTAGTAAATGTTTCTTTTTTCTTTGCAGGACGATCTTGTACGTCTCACTGATATACATGGTAGGGAATGTGATAATGTGCCTGACAGCTCTGCCTCCACAGACTACTGGATCTCCTGAACTGTAAGTCTATAGCTTGGTTAGGGGAACCAGACCAAGGCGCCAATTTCATAGAGCTGCTTAAGCACAACATTTGCTTAAGCACAAAAACGTCTTGCTTAATAAAATCAGGTTACCGGCCAAAACTCCATGCGATTGTTATGCTAAGTAAACAACAGCTAAATACCAGTCACAAGCAATGTACATCACATGGAGTTTGGCCGGTAACCTAATTTTACTAAGCAATGTTTTTTCGTGCTTAAGCAAATTTTCTGCTTAAGCAGCTCTATGAAATTGGGCACAGCAGTACCTGTACAAAGGCCATATCCGAATCAACTGGCTGTGGCTGGGAGTAACATACACTTCTATGGAAAGTGGCTGTAGCCACAAGCCAGTGGCTTCCATAGGCGCATGTGTTATTTTCAGCCGCAGCCACAACTTTCGGCCACAGCCTTTTCATTTTGATGGGCCTGTGCTGTGTTATCTTTATTCCTACTCTTTTAAGTTGTAAAAACAAATGTAGGGATTGTCCTCTAGATGGGCAATTCGTGAATAAGATGAAGTAGAGAGTCATTGTGTCTTTTTAATCTGGCATTAAATCATTTCGCACCAATAACTTTTCTGCCAGCAATGTATTCAATCAGTTTGCTGAGATAACATTAGTCCCAACCCCTTGAGCACTTTTACTAGAAAGTATCCTGGATTCGCCAAAATCCACCAATTTTGTCATGCAAAATATGTTGGTGTCCTAAGTCTGTCAGAATCCACCAGTGAGTTCATCAGAATCCACCAGTGTAGTACATATACCTCGTATACACCAAACATACAGCCAAGGAGTTAAACTGTTGAGATCCTGAATCCATCAAAGTCCCCCAATTGCTCAATATGGAGATATCCTGAATCCATCAAAATCCTGCAGTACCGCTAGGCGTACTATCCTGAAACCATCAAAATCCTCCAACTTTTTCAATAAAATATAATGGTTTATTTGGCAGGCTAGAAATGTGACATTAGTGCACTGTCTATACTGTGACAGGTTTTATTTTTTACAAAACAAAATTGTGCTTGATTGCTTGTGCGTGTCTTCCAAGTACATGCACAGTTGCATGTTCATTACATGGTACCGGCATTAAATTTAAAAAAAAAAAAAAAAAAAAAAATGAACTGACTATTTAATGGCTTAGAAGGTTTAAAAGTTCACAGAATACTTAAACAATTTAAAGTACTTTTTAATTGTGGTTCAGTAATTCATCAAGGTTTGGGACAAAAAAACGTGCCTTTTGCACAACCCCCCCTCCCAAAAAAAGAAAGAATTACACCCTATTAGTCTGTGAAATCATCAGCAACATTTCTAGTTTTGTAAACTTTCAAAGTTCCACATATATGCATTCCGCAGTAAGTGTAGTTATGATGGATGCATCAAAATACACGATGCAGTCTGTCAGTTATCCATCAACATTGCAATTAGACTTTATAATTATTTCTTTGACTGAAAAACACTTGAACTTCTGATAACCAAGAGCAATATGAATATTGGACGGTCTGTACCAGCAAATGTTTCATTGCATAATTACTCAGAGTTTGGATGAGGGTATTATTTTAATGTATTCACTGTCCCTGCAGCATTTGATGACAGGAACAAAAAGCATATTTGATGAAGACGAAACTTCAAGTACCTGACTGCTTCGAGCTGAATTTTTTGACAATTGTTTGTTTAAGGCAAAAAAAAAAATATTTGATGCGATCAAGCTACATGTACATGAGTCGTTTGTCGGGAACTTTCATTTGGAGATTCTGGCTAAAATAGGACCACTTCATCACATCACTTCATCACATCACTTCATCACATCTCTTGGTGTTCTGACTTCCACAATTTTTGAAGTAAAGATGGTATCAGCATGCGGTTTTCACAGCAGTAATGCTAAGTTTGTGGTCTTTTCAAATCTGTAAAAAAAAAAATGACCAGGGTCGAGAAACGACTGTGGTATGATTTTAGTTAGGCTCTAAAAAATTATTCAGTTGTAAGTTTGTTTTAGAAACTTTTTCAATTGTTTTTCTGTCTGTCATTTATACCTTTAAAGGTATTTTTTTAATTTAATTACCCTGTTTATTAACTCACACATAAACATTTGCAAAGGGAAGACTAATTGTTTTCAAAATAGGTTTATTTAAATTTTTTGACCAAAATAAAAGCACATTTATACACAAGATGAATGCTAGGCTCCATTATGTGATTGTTGGGGTGGCCAAAAACAAAAATCATTTTTTAGATATAAATATTTAATATTGAATGCTTGCTTAAATGTACACAGGACTGTAACTGGAGAATCTTTTGACAAATTTGACAAATCTAGTAGAAAAGAATTTGAGCAAGTTTAGGCCCCCCAAAAAAGTCTCCGGTTTCTGGTATGCGCGCTCGTCGCCATAGCCATGCGCGTCAGCAAAATGAACAAGTTTTTTTTCAATGTAAGATGATGTCTCAAAAGCGCCAAACTCACTGGTTTGACTGGAATCCTGCTGCTGCACAATTTTAATGCATTTTTAGATGGGGTTACGATCGAGTATAAGCTTTGTGTGGCCTTTCTGGACTCCCATATATTTTGCAATAAATTTAGTCTGGCACCATTTGCAGTCATCAGCCGACATTTGAAGAAACAAGGTAAAAAAAAAAAAAAAAAAAAAAAAAGCCACATCTAATTCTCTAAAAAGAAATAAAATTCAGGTCTGAATCCTGTGACACTAATAGATACATTCTACTGTCACTCTGATATGTATCTTTGGACTAATCTTGCTCAATTGATTTTTGTCTTATAGCATTGGTCCCCTATTCGGCCTCCTGTTAATAGCCGTGGGGACTGGCGGGATTAAGCCCTGCGTGTCGGCCTTCGGAGGGGATCAGTTCTCCGCTGATCAGGTAAGTAGCAGTTACCATGGAGATGTGAGAGATCCTGCCAATTTTCATGGCTCTGCTTTAATGCCGTAAGCACAAACAAAAATCCCACTGTAGAAGACAATTCTGCACGTAGTGTTTTACCTTGTAATTTCCCTCAATCAAAACTATGCCCTCTTTCCACAAAATTGATGCTGCTGATATTCAACTGCCATTTTGCCAGCTGTTATGAGTTCAAAATATAAGAATTGGTTTTCGTTTTCTTATATTAACTGCTGGAGAAATTGCTAAGCCTAACCACACATGCCGTAATTGGCCCCTATCGGCTGCACAGTGCCCAAACAAAGCGCGGGTAATTTTAATTCGCGTGCTCCCATGCTTGCAAGCACTGTGTGATCGGTATTCCCTGCCTTTTGTTTCAAGCAGTGTGACATCATCACGCAGCAATTTCCGCTCGCGTACTCTTTAAATTTTCAAACTGCATCATTTTCCATAAACCGTTGTGAATGTTGGACAATTTACAGTCTTTGGTAGCAAACAGGGTATCAAAATGTACATGTAGCTAACAACATTCCCCAAAGGTCTATATAAATGACATCATCATAAGACAATCAGATTCAATATTATGACCCATCCAATAAGTTCGGACTTTTTTTTTTTGCAGTGTCTAGCAACGGGTTCTTAACTATAATGTCATTAGGTTTCTGCAAGTGGTACATTTTCAAGGATTCATCATGTAAAGGGATTTTGCGGTTAACAAAGTCTTCAGAAATGTTGCTATTATAGGTTTTCCCGGCCAATTTCCTAAAATGTTCATTCACTTCTGAAAATCGGTCATTCTTTCCATCTGAATTTGAATGCACGTCTTTAATCCCATTTCAATTCAACAAAAGTTCAATCGTTTTCATTGTCCTCACATTCAGTTTCGAGAAACAAGACGACCAATTACGTTACCTGTCATTTACGCATGCATACCTTTTCTAAATTGACTTCAGGTACAGCTAATTTGATTGACGGTTAATGAAAATGAAACCCATAATTGTATCGGGTGCCAATGGCATTAAAGTAAAAGTGAAATAGAATGGTGAATGTTTGAAATTGCCTTCTAAAAGCAAAAAAGAAGTTTTGTAAATGAATCTGAATGGACATTAATTAAACGTGCTACTCAATCACTTAATTGATTGAACTAAAATGGAATCGAATGCTGTGGTAGCGAAAATGAATGACTGATTTTCAGAAGTGAATGAACATTTTAGGAAATTGGCCGGGAAAACCTATACTATCCATTTTTGCCTGAATGTGGACATTTCTGACATTTCATTCATAAAGGAGGAGTATATAGCCAAATTCTTCTCAGTCTTCTACTTTGCCATCAATGCCGGTAGTGTTTTATCGACTTTCATCACGCCTATACTACGTCACGATGTACAGTGCTTCGGCAACGACTGCTATGCTTTAGCCTTTGGAGTTCCAGCAGTGCTTATGTTTGTGTCTGTTTGTAAGTTAAAAACAAAGATGTAGAACTTTCTGCATCTGTTTATTTTAAATTATAGTCCAATCTGTTTAAATTCATAGTCCAGTATTATTCTAACTTATGTAATGGTCTCGTTCTTCATTTTAACTCAGTTTTTCTGTCACCTAAAATTGTTCCATTTGAATTAATATTTGTTTTAATTTTGTCACATGTTTGTTTCCAGACTCTCATTTATTCCTTTTTGGTGTCTTTCTGTTTTTGTAACAGTTATTTTCTTTAGCGGACGGTACTTCTACAAAGTGTATCCACCAACGGGCAATGTGGTATGGAAGGTCGTCAAGGCAACGTTTGTAAGTCCAAAAATCAAATTTTCAAACTTTTTTTGCAATTTATTTCTGCGTGCATGTACTGCCTTTATGTTTACTGTTAATCCCAGGTCCATTGTCCGCATGCAGTATCAAACACAAAGGCTTACATAAAAGGTAAATACCATTGTAGTTTACAGAAAAATAGTATTATACCTTTCAGTATAATGTTCATTTTCAGTTGGTTTTGTTTCAGTAGGCCTATTCTAAACTGTAGGCCTAACTACGCAACAGATTGAAAATGTACATATCGTCACTGCTTTCACGAACTGACACGCACGCGCTGTGTGCGCACACTTTTGTTAAGTTGCGCATGTGATTGTTTTGGTTTTCATGAACTGACACGCGGGCACTGTGGCGGAAATACATTTTGGGAAAACAATCCTTGGAAACGTGTGACACGACTTTGTCTTTGTACTTGTGGGGTGATAGAATCATGTAACGTAAAAACCTGCTAACTAGTGAAACGCAATCTTGACTTTAACAGATGCTTAGTTGGTTAGAAATTCAATAATTAAGACAGGTTTCAGTTTGTGAAAACAAAAATAACAACTCAAGACTTGCGTGTCAGTTTGTGAAAAAAAAAATTTACGCGTGACTAACGGTGTGCGCGTAACCAAGAAAACTCAGGATCCACAGGCAGCCTTCAAGCAGGATTTGCTCCACAGACAGCCTTTCTGTATTGTGCATCACGCAAAGTGACTTGTCTTATTTTTTCTCTTTCTCTTTAGCATGCCCTGAAGACGAGATTTAAGAACAGAGGAGGCGGAGTGAAGAAAGATCATTGGATGGATTGGGCGGAGGATGAATATGACGTAAGTCACAGATCAAACTCTTTCACTACAACATGAACAAATCTAATTCTTTTTGACTCTTAGTGTTTTCCCCTTCACCATCACAACCATCACAACTTTACAAGCATCGTATATGCTGACTTTAAATGGAAACCTTGCATAGGTGAGACTCGAACCCATCCCATCCTTGTTACAAGCGACAGAGGTGAACAACCTTACCACCTAGCTTGCCAGCAAATGCCCCTTACTGACCGTAAGGAATATTAATTCTTAAACTAAATTTAGTCTAATTTTAATCTGTGATTATATTTCAGGTGAACTTATTAATTGTACTTTCGTAAAAGTGTTTTTAATTCAGCCTGCATGCAGTTGTATGCATTTTTTTTTAATAAACCAGAAAGCAGGACCATTTTTTCTGAGATGCTAGAAGTGTAGCGGACTTCAAGATTATAGTTCAAATTACTGTGAAACATCATTCTTTGGTGCAAATGTTAGAATATCCTTCAGAGATCGAAGTACTAAAAAAAAGAATCCTGGTATGATAGCCCACATATTTACTACAAATTTTTGCTTGGGAAACAGATTTCTGTTCGTTTAGTAAGAATTCGCATTTCAGCCCTGTCTCAAATGACTTTACAGTAATTTTCTTGTTTTCTCGTCTCTCATGATCATTGTATCCCCTCTATGCCGCGTTCATCCCCCCTCAGTGCATTACCCCCCGATGTCTTTCTTTTCTTCCCCCTTGCGTCAGTCCAAACTCATCCAAGACATCAAGGATTTGTACCACGTCTTGAAGATATTCCTACCTCTGCCCATGTTCTGGGCGCTGTTTGATCAGCAAGGATCCAGATGGACTCTGCAGGCCGAACACATGGATGGCACATTGGTATGTTCGAGTTTGTAGTCTTCACTTTCGCTTTATCATTCTGTAAATTTCAGACAAAACTCTGGAGTCCTGTAATTCTAAACAGTTAGGGGGGGGGGGGAGGTAAAAACCCTGTCTATGACTCCAAAGCAAAAGAAAAGAATTCAAAGGATTTGAAGAACATAATACCAAGATTTTAAGCCTGTTTTAAATGTAGACATAATAAAACTGATTTAATTAAACTTACCTTTAACTAGGGCCAGTTCAATCTATAACTATTGGTTGACTAGTGGTAGATTCATGATGTATATTACACCTGCATGCTTATTTCAAAATGCAAATGTCTCTTATTGAACTCCTGTGTTAAAATAGAGTATATGATTTGTTGTTTGTGCATTTTCTTTTCGTTTGAAGCAGCAAAAGTCCTCAAAATCTAAAGAGGGGGTTTCGAAACTTACCTGATGAAGTTTTAGCTCAGTGAATGCTGCATATTCCAAGAAAACAATATTCTGTGATATCGATTTCAATTCCAAAGTTGCCGAGTCATGTTTTGAATTGCGTCCGAAATCTGCGTCCGGAACACATTCTCATTCAGCCGATTGCAGCTACGCGATGTAATGCACTGAACTGACGAATTATAGCAACTGCGCTCGCGTGTGCGTCGTGTCAGAGCTGCGTGCACCCATTCACGGCTTCTCCGAATTTAAACCAAACTGCTGACGGAATTTTCCAAGAAAGGGTCTTTATGCCAAAAAAAAATAAGTCCCGGTTTCTGGTATGGAGCTTGCCCAAAAAGTGGTGCGGCAACGCGGCTTTTTTTTTTTTTTACCAGATTTTTTTGTTTCAAATGTCGGCTGATAACTGCAAATGGTGCCCGACTAAACTTAGTGCAAATATATGGGAGTCCAGAGAGGCCACATAAAGCTTATTCTCGACCATAATCCAATCTAAAAACACGTTAAAATTGTGCAGCAGCAGGATTCCAGTCAAACCAGTGAGTTAGGCGGTTTTGAGACATCATCTTTCATTGAAAAAAAAACTTTTTCATTTTGCCGACGCGCATGGCTACGGCGACTCGCGCGCATACCAGAAACCGGAGACTTTTTTTTTTGGCCTGAGATGCATCTTTGGAATTGACCTTTTTTTATTGTTTTCTTCAAAATGACAGCATACAGGAACAATAATTTCACAGGGAGTTTAATGCCATTACTATCTTTTCAACAATGATTTCGTCAGTTACTTTTAGCGTAGCTGCAAATGATATGCTCTACCTTTAACATCCTCACAAAACTAGCATATCGGTCTTGGCGCCCTGATATACAAACATGTAGTGATACTTGCAGCTTTTGATAACCAGTATTGCAACCAACCACCGTAGGCTGGTCCTGAATTGTTTATTAGACTGATCCAACGTTTGTTGACTAGTGTGGGCTAGATGGAGACAAGTTGAGCTGTAATATTTAACTGGTTAATCAAATTTCACTCATAGAAACAATGGACAAGTGCCGTTAAGTGTCAGTCACTGTGCCAAGTATAACTTAGTAACGTATGGTGAATTAGGTTGCTCATCATTGCAGTTTTGATTGACAAAGATATTTCAGTGTTTGTGGTTTATTGCATTTTAGTCGCCCCAAAATTATTGCATTTAGTACATAAATATAGTCTTTAAAAATTCTAATCTTAAATACTTGATATCACCTTTGATGCTCAACACTTTCAATTTTTGATATAATTTTTTTTTGACAGGGTTCCATCCGAATCAAACCGGATCAGATGCAAGCCTTCAACCCAGTCCTGATAATCACTTTCATCCCGTTGAGTGAGATCTTACTCTACCCACTCCTACGTAAGCTCAAGATTCCCTTCCGTCCCTTACAGCGAATGACAGTTGGCATGCTACTGGGTGGGGCGGCATTCGTCGTTGCTGGCTTCAATCAATTAAGGATTGATGTGAGTAGAGATGGGTTTTTTTTTAGTGGCAGCCTGTGCTGGATCTGGATCGATAATGAAAGCTTGAAGCTCAGTCAACACTTGTTTAAATTTTTTCTTTGACAAGACCATGTGATGTTGGTGCTGGATGATATTTTTTATGACTTTGGGGATGAAGGGTTGCCAATTGGGAGAGGAATATTTTAGTGGTCTGAGGTCAAAGGTTGAGGTCACGATGGTGAGATTATATATACAAAATAATTCTTAGACAAGTTGATTTCTGACTTTGGATTGATGGCGTACAAAGGTCCATAGTTTTTCACATCAATAAAGTCATTTTGTTGGAAAAAAGATATGAAGCCTGTGAATGCTTTCCAATGGGTTGAGAACTTTTGCTACATTTGGATGTGTTAGTGTTACAATTTTGGGGTTTTAGTGGATCGGTTGGTTGTTAGTGTCTTGTTTTGTTTTGTTTTTCTCTGTAATCCTTGTTGTGCAAACCTTCAGCTTTCATGGAATTGTCTGCATACAAGTCTATTTTTCAATTTGCTGCTATTGTAAAAATTTTCAAATTGTGTGTACAATTGTTTGTACTGTGGCAGTGATCTGAATTCAGGCGATTCACAATGCAGTGCGCCACAAAGAGTTTGCCATGGAGAGTCCATTTTCCAGGTTTACGGTCGACAAAACTTGGCCCATTTGAATGAGTGTCAGTAGACAACTTGAGCTAATTTGTTAAGGATTGGGGCAAAGCATTCTGCCGCTTTACAAAAAAAAATCATACTGATAAAACTAAAAGAAAAGGGCAAACGGATACTCGAATCATACCCTTACATAACTACTGACCGGAAAAACGAACAATTTGAAATCTCCCGCTCTGCGAATTTGTCGACCATCTGCCACAATGCACTGTATTAAAATGAACTCTCCGTGGCAAACTCTTGGTGGGGCACTTCATTGTGAATTGCCTGAATTGAAGATATTTCTTTCATTCCTGATCTGTTGACTGTTATTGATGATGATTTTGTTTATCCCAGGCATCGGAGGTGGCTTTACCCGGGGAGTCGGAGGGTATCCTAAAAGTCATCAACGCTATTCCGTGTGGCATCGGTGTACAGAGTGAATTCTTCCATGGAGATGTACCCTTTGGCATGGTAAATTAACTTCTTTTAGAAAAAGAGTTCCATGGTCAAATGATTAACCTGTCCATTGGTCACGACATCGCATGGTTACAGTGTCTGACTCGTGTGCGAGGATGTGCATTCGCACTCCGACATGGTTCATGATGCTTGTGTTCTTGGGCAAGACGCTTTACAACAATTGCGTCTCTCCAACCAGGAATACAATTTGATTTCCTAGAGGGTAGTGTGCATTGGTATGTGCATTCGCACTCTGACGTGGTTCATGGTGCTTGTGTTCTTGGGCAAGACAGTTTACAACAATTGCCTCTCCCCAACCAGGAATTTAATTTCCTAGAGGGTAGGGACTAGTTCCTGAGCGCACTGATCCCAAACCGCTGCATAAATCAGTTCTGCAATTCAGGCGATTACAGTGCGCCACCAAGAGTTTGCCACGGAGTGTCTATTTTTGAAGTTTTACGGTCGACAAAACATGAACAATTTGAATGAGTGTCAGTAGACAACTTGAGCTATTTGTTATAGATTTGGGCATAGCGTTCTGCCGCCTTACAAAAAACACGATATTGATAAAAAAAAAAAAAAAAAGGGCAAACAGATCTCGAATCATACACTTACAAAACTATACTGACCGGAAAAACTAACAATTTCAAGTGTCCCCTGCGCTGCGAATTTGTTGACCATCTCCCACAATGCACTGGGAAAAATGAACTCTCCGTGGCAAACTCTTGGTGACGCACTGCATTGTGAATCGCCCGAATTGGATAAGAACCAGTAACAAGTACAACCACTCACAAGTTTCCCTGTTTTTCCCTGTCTGTGTGATCAGGCCTCCAAGCCCATCACCTTTCCTAAGGGAGATTACGACGCCATCTTTAGTACAACCTGTCCCGGTATCACTGACGGTCCGCCATTCACTGTGTCTGTACGTGGAGAGGAAGGGGACGACATTATTGTATTCAGTCAAGACGGTACCCTGAACGCAATCCAGGCAAGATTGTTATTTCTTCTCTAATAAAAATATCTTGGCTAATTTTTCATGGCTCTGCTTACCACAGAGTTCTGGGCGTATATTCGCCATTGACTGCACTGAACACATGAAAGTAGAGAATCCTAATACAGTGGAACGCTGCTATACCGAACATTTGGCTATACCGAACATCATCCTTGGCTCCCGGTTTTAATGTACAAAACGTACCGAACATTGTTGTTGAAAAACGTCAACAGATTAACCCCCCAAAAAAACGGTTGTACATGTATTAAACACTGTTTGGGCCACTTTTAACTCCCGAACATCAAACGACCCATGTTTACATCGTGTTTGAATGTTGAAGAGCGATAGATGGCTATTATTTGCCCAAGGAATAAAAGGGAAAACCAAAGCTAAAGTTTCGTGACGACTACTCGTGCGGCCGCGGGATGTGAGAAATGCCAGTTCACTATTGGTCAAAAGAGGGTACCGGCGGTTCAAAATCACTATACTGAACGCTCGTTATTACAAACACTTTCTGTGGATCCGACAATGTTGGTTATAGCAGCGTTCCACTGTAGTTGCAGGATGTATGCATGCACACAAGCCATCATTTCTAGCTTACTTGTGATCCCTGAGTGAAGAGTTTTATGCTAAAGTTAGCAGTGATTTTTCAATTACCATATCCACCGCCATGATTTGGGCTTGGGTGATTGTTACATTTATTGACAGGTATTTGTATTCATAACTTTAACTCTGTCAGGTCTTTTCAGTATGGCACTCGTTGACACTGTACTTTTCAGTGTCTTTACGTCTTTCAAGTGTTAGTTTTTTTATTGTATTTTCTTTTGTCATCCACAGGCAGAAGCTCACCTTGAAAAACCCCGCAAAGGCCAAGCATTGGTCAGGTAAGACCTCGACAAATTGGAAAAAAAATTAGAAGTAAACCAAAAAAATATGTCAAGGGGCTGTTGTTATGAAATGAGACACATGGTGGTCACGAAAATATTTTTCTAAAAGTACAACTGATTTCCCAAATTTCCCCTACATGAGGTTCTTCCCTAAATTAGTTCCAAGGCTGGTAACCTAGTTTGTATTAATTACCTCCATGAAATTTGAACCCTAACCACACAAATTAATTTGGCTTAACCCATTGAAAATGTTCATGCCGACAGTTGGTTACCCTCAGAAAATGTCATGTGATGTATATTGCATGTGACTGATTGGTACCCAGCTTATTTTCCCTAGCAAGAAAATTGGATGTCAAAGGTATTAACCTGTTACTCGCTGTACCGTCCAAAACCCCCAGCATTGTGTGGTTGTATACATTCATCAGGCAATAACTACAGTGTAATACAGTGTAATACAATGTAATACAATGTAATACAATGTAATACAATGTAATATAATGTAATACAGTGTAATACAGTGTAATACAATGTAATACAATGTGATACAGTGTAATACAGTGTAATACAGTGTAATACAATGTAATACAATGTAATACAATGTAATACAGTGTAATACAGTGTAATACAATGTAATACAATGTAATACAATGTCATACAATGTCATACAATGTCATACAATGTAATACAATGTCATACAATGTCATACAATGTAATACAGGTGCTAATGGGTTATTATCCTAAACATCTTTCTTGGTGCCCACAGTGTCGGTTTGTTTGTCAGCCCATCGGAACTCCCAGACAACACCAGCGTCATTCTCAAAAGTCGCGAATTTCAGTATGTGTTTAATTCAGGACCGTACAACATCACCGACTTCAAGGCTATCGAGCCAGAAAGGTTTGTTGACTGGAATTGTTTTTTCCCCTTTGAACCTTACTTGTGGGAAGTCAATATTCAAAGCACTATGTAAAACCCTTGAAACCCTGCAGGTCAGTTTTATGAAGTGTTAAACTGTGACACACAGAGAGTCATCACTGCACAAAAAAACAGCACTGTGGAGAGCAGTGAGGAATCTATCTGCTTGCCCCGAGCTTGACCACCACACAAGAATTGATCTATTGCGGTAGAATCACGTCAACGCAGCTTGTGAAATATTTCCAATTACATGATATACAAATGGACGCGGAACGCGCAAAATCTGAGACAAACAAAACTTTTTACATTAGTTTATTGTCTCTTTTCCTCCATTTCGTTTGTTTTTGCGTCTCTTCTTTTGTCCTTGTCTATTTTGCTTTTCTTCTTGTATTGTGCACTTATCTACGTGCTAGTCTGCCCTAAAGAAATTGTGTTGAATTGCTTGTGATGCACTCAATTTGTTCTGTGTTTTCTCCAAAATTAGAATTTGAGAAATGATAATCATGTAAACAATTGTAACTGATGTTTCCACACTTTTGTAAAACAAAACACTCGAAAAAAAAAAATTAGAAAATATTTGTTGGAGAAATCAGCTCACATTTCTCTGTCAAAACCACTTATCCTGAATGCCCCTAAGCAAACTGTCTGGATAAAAAGCAAATAATTGAAAACTGAATGTTATTTTGCAGCTATGATGTGTACATCGATGGCGATGTAAATGATCCCAACGCCAAGCCCTTAAAGACAGTGGAAATCAAGACTGGCGCAGTCTACCGAATGATTCTACAACCCTACAACCAGAGTGCAAGTGTAAGGTTGCAACCTATTCTGGATAATTTCCACTTACGTTCCGTTTATGACTTCAAAAATTGTCATTTTTCTTAGGGTTGATGAAATGCACATATTGCTCCATGTGTAATGTTTTTGTAATGGCCATTTCTGATTTCATGCCCATTTTCATGATGTCAAGAAAGGTGAATACAGAGAAATTGCCTGATAAAATTATTGGATTATTCATTTCTTTAATTGCTAAAACTGTACAAATAAGTTTTTTTAAATTACGTTGAATGGCAGAGTTTTGATCTAAAACTTTCACCGGTGATTTAAGACGTTTAGAAGAACAAAGTTTTAAAACGCAGAGAACAAAAGTCACAATTTCCATTTCCGGAAGTGTTGGGTCCACACAGAACATGTCACAGATCTCAAGAAATCCAATCTGAAAATTTCCCCTCAACTTGGTAGAATGTAGTTGACCACTGTTAACATCGATTGTTTTGCTTTTCTTGGTTTCAGATCTATGTGAATTTGCACGTTGATGTGGAGCCCAATTCAGTCTCCATGTTCCTTCAGATCCCACAGTACATCATCATTACCATGGGCGAGATCTTGTTCTCAATCACTGGTCTAGAGTTCTCCTACTCCCAGGTATCAAAAAAGTCACTTTCTACCCCTCAAGTATCCTGTGTAAAGTACCATTTCCTTTTCTTTATTTTTATTTTATGGCAAAATCCTCTGCTGTTCTAAGCAGTGCTGTAGTTAAATCCATCACAAGTCATCCCATCCCATACCTGGTACGTGTGGTCTAGCGGTGGAGCACAGGATTCATGATCGTGAGGTTGTGGGTTCAAGCCCCGCCGTGGCCATGCGTGTTGTGCCTTTCAGTAAGGCGCTTTACCTCAATTACTCCTCTCAACCCAGGTGTTAAATGGGTACCGGCATTATTCAATGCTGGGAAGGTAACAGACTCGCTGTGGAGGAGGTGTGGCGATCCCCCCACAGCAGCATGTGAGTCCGGCCCAATCGCTAACGAATGAGAGATGGGCACTCCGCTCCTGTTACACAGGTTTATCCACTTCACTTTACCTTTATCCCATTCCAAACCAAGTCACTAACTATTGACATGAATATCACTTATCAGTCTCTTGAGAATGAAATATCAGTCTCCATGCTGCTATTGAAATGTACTGTGACAAAAGCATTCTTGTGTTATTGTTCAACCCCTGTTACTCGGGACTGGACTTGTCATGGACTCGACTACAACACCGGTCATCAGTGAAGATTCTTTGCTCGGGATAAGCAGATTTGGGCCTTGGTTGTATGGGCTTTCCTCAAGTGCCGATGATTTCAGTATTTTTGTTCTTGCCCAATCTCTCCCATGCAGGCTCCGGCCAGCTTGAAATCCTGCGTTCAAGCCGCTTGGCTGCTCACTGTAGCCTTCGGCAATCTCATTGTAATCATCGTAGCTGAGGTCAAGTTTGTGGAAAGCCAGGTAATAAGACTAATAAGTCCCCAGAAGACTTGGTACTCGAACCTGAAGTTTGTCCAATACTTGTGATCATGCCATACAATTTATTAAGAATTTTATTTCCTATGCTTGGCTGCTCACTGTAGTCTTTAGCAATCTCATTGTAATCATCATAGCTGAAGTCAAGTTTGTGGAAAGCCAGGTAAGTTTGTGGAAAGCCAAGTCCTCGAACCTGAAGTTTGTCCAATACTTGTGATCATACAATTTATTAAGAGTTTTATTTCCTATGCATTTGTTGCTCTTTATTGTAAGATAGGCTTTTTTCTCCGACTCTAAAGGCAGGTTTATACTTTGATGTCAAGAAATGTCAACAATGTTCGCTGCATTTTGGGTTATGTTAAACTTTTGCGAATTATAGCAGGAATATTTACCGTGAATTCAAAAATTCGCGTTTTACAAAAACGAAGGTTGATCTCTGTTTTGCTCTTATGATATGAGCTGTGAATCGAAGAATTGATTTTTGTGTGGATGAGGCTACTCAATGGATTCTGTTACATTCAACAGGATACCAAAAGAAGCACCCAGTCAGTGTTTAAGTTTGAAGCAAAATTCATATCAAGGATTGATTGTGTGTGGTGCCTCGGTATGTTTTTCATATACAGGAAATCATTGTGTCAAGGGTGAAGTAGGTCGAGTTAAAGAAATTCATCATTTTTATATTTTGTGTCCGTTCTTCAGGCCATGGAGTTTTTCTTGTTTGCTGGTCTCATGGGTGTGGTAGTGATCATCTTTGCCATCATGGCATACTTCTATGTCTACATCACGCCGTCCGGTCACGACGAAGCAACTCGCGAAGACTTGAGCGGACTAGTCAACAAGGAAGAGGATGGCGGTTACCAGGCTGGTGACACCGGGGAACCGGGGAAATAGACGGGGCACCAGGCAATTGACCCTTCATTTCTGTCAAACAGTGATTGACCAATTAGAGCATGACTTTTGGTCAGGTGACCACGGTAGCTCGGCCAGAGGCACTGTGAGAAATGACACTAATTACAGATGGGTGGATGTTGTATAAAACACAGGTTTTTTTGCAAGAGATACTTGCCATCAAAATCAGAATTGAAATTAAAATTTGGTCATTTAAAAATATTGATTACAAACTTTGATTTGTGTATAAATCGACAACCCTTCTGAATTTTTTTTTTCTCACCTTGTCATTCTGTTAAATGTGAAATGCGTGACATGCAAAGTTTTGTTGTGTCAAATCGCACAATTTTCCAGGCTAAGCCTGCTTTCTGACCAAACAGTACTATGGCTTGAAAATCACAACTCCGTAATGTCTGTAGCTGATTCTAAGTACGTGTAGATCTTTAGCACTTGTAACTGATAAACAGTGTTGTGAACATTGGTGACGCTGCATAACATAGACATGCAACCAAGGTTCAGTGTAGGATCTCTGATTTCATGTACGAGAGTAGTACTCACAACATAAGAATTGTTAAACTTATATATATTTTTTGAGGTATTAAACAAAAAATGTTCAATTAGCACAACAAGTATTTGTTTTCTACAGTACATATATGAAACAAACTTTCATGCTTGATATATATTGTTGTTAGTATCTTGGCTTGTGAGTGTAACTACTTAAGGATAATAAGAAGTAAGTACAGGTATTGTAATGGTACCATGTGGCTCAATTGACGACCTACAATACATGTACACTGTGAGTCATGTACAAATATTTGAGTATAAAGCGTAACTGATTTTCAACCGAGTATTCACAAACCTTTGTGTGGGAGAATTGCACACAAGCTAAATGTTGATGCTTTGCAAAAAAGGCACTGACGCACCCCCATGTTAACAGTAATTTGTCCTATTTCCTCTACTAGGAGTATGATTAGTCAAAAGCATGGACAACTGAAATCAAGTCATCATAATCATGGGCCAAGGACCATTAGTCGACTAGTGGTTGATTTGTGACGTACCTTACGCCTGCGCACTAATAGCAAAGTGCGAATGTCTCTAGTCGAACGCTGGTCAAAATGTCATTGCAAAACGTCTGGATCCTGGCTCCCTGCTGTATGTTATGAACGCGCGCGGCTATGGTTACCAGCGATGCAACCAGCCCCGGTAGGTTGGTTCCAAATAGTCGACTAGCGTAGTTAACCATCGTCGACTAGACAGAGTTCGGGCAAGCGTTAGTCGACCAATGGTTAACTATAGTCCTTGCGCGAACTTGCCCCTAGCTGTCAAGTCATGTTTGTCTCTGTCTAACTAAAATAAAAAGTCAAAGCTTACATAAACACAACAAAAATATATATTCGTCTTCAACATTTAATTTACAAATTTTAATGACTGCACACTGTGAATTCTAATTTCTAATTTTATCTTGCAAAAGAAAATACTTATCTCTTCAATAAAGTCCGCCGCACACCTTTCCGATTTCACTGATTCACCCGATTGCACTGATTTCACTGATTCACCCGATTTTTGTTCACCGTTGCAGAGACCGGAACGTTACCTGCACACATGTCCGATTCATTTCTATAATCAGTGACATGATGACCAGTCACATGATGACTAGTCACATGACGACAAAATGGCAGCCGTCAATTTTGAATCATGTGACTTCCTTTGTGAATCTGATTGGTTAACATTGGATCCGGTGAAATCAGATGCGAACAATTTAAAAAATGTTTGATTTCGTCCGGTTCCTAGGTGTACGGTCGGATCGGTCCGATTTGTCACCTCTCCGATCTGTACGTCAGATGGCCCGATGATGCGGCGGGCTTAAGATACATGCCTCAGTGATACCAAAAGTAAATATGGACATGACGTGGGTAGAAATTGTTACATTTACCACTGAAAACCATTGTTTAATCCATGTTTTGAAAGTCCATCAACTGAAAAGCAGCTCAGACTGAACTCAAAATTGAAAAAAAAAGATGTATTTATTCTTCTATGTTATATTGGTGTAATAATATAAATTGCGAATCTACAAACCGTTTTTTTGCATTGAAAAAGTGTAGATTTGTGTAAACTAACCATAACAAACAAAACCTGGAGTTAATCTATGAAATATATATATTTTGACTTAATGTATGTAACCAAAATGTTTTCAATTGTTGGAATGCTTCCAAAAGCTAAACGAAAGTATTTGTATTTAGACTTAGTACATGTAAGTATCGTGGTATACTGTATGCATCAATGGTTCTTGTCAAGCATTCTAAGTTATACCGGGCACAACGACAGAAGGGTACCTCTAGTGACCCTGTACACACTGTGGACTATTGTCACCTAACACATCCCCTTCCTCCCCTAGATATCTTAAAGAAAAAAAAATCCTGAGATACTTGGAACACAACGACCAACACAAAAAGGAGTGGTCTCTGTCTCATATCTTGCTTCAGCGTTTTTCGTCACAAGTCCTCCAGCCTCAAGTTAAGTGACAAGCTATTCAAATGACTGGACAAAGCTATTCCATGGCCATTGTACATCTCCTGATACTTGTGTTAAAAACACATGGTTCCTTGTGAGGTACAAAGAATAGGAACAACAGGCTCCATCAGTCAGTTTTAAGAAATCTAGGTGCCCCCTCCAGGTAAGATTTCAATAGAAACACATGCAGGAAAACCAAAGAAGGAAAACAAAGGTCTTCCCTACGCTTGTATTACATATTTCCCAAGGACAGAAATGCAGAGAGAGAACAACAGATTCTTTATTGTCCTCGGGAGTTCATCTTTTGTTGAAAACGGTCCTCGAACGTAAGTGTGTGTGTGCTTAGTCTATGGGAGAGTGTTATATGATAGGGACAAAGGGAAAGACAATGCATTGTCCTCAAACGCAATGGTAAACAACAACTGCGATCTTACATGCATGTGTGTACATGTATGGCTTTCGGATAGAGGACAGACACACAAAGGGAGAACAAAAGATCTTTTCAGTCCTCGAACGTTGGGTCTTTTGTTGAAAATGGTCCTCGATGGTACGGTTATGTGCTTAGTCTATGGGAGAGTGTTGTATTACAGGGACAAAGGGAAACACAAAGCATTGTCCTCGGGCATATAGAAATTCACAACTGTGTGATTTGACTTGTACAACTGGAGTACAACTTTGCTTCTTGTGCGTGGTTCGTGGCTTGTCTGTGGCAAAAGGCAACCTGTGATTATGCCTCCAAATCCCGTACGTTAGCTGAAGTAAGTAATTTCAAAAGGCCAAATCCCTACTAAATGGTTGTTCCTAATGAAGTGTTATGTCATTGTTAGTGTCGCGACATTTTTGTCAGTGGTTATATGATTTGGCAACGCGCAATTCATGAACTAAATATGCAGAAAATAGATTTTTAATATTCATGTAAAAAGATGTCTTATTTTTGTTGAAATCAGCACTATACTGTTTGAGGGAAGGATTTTGTGTTCTGGGTAATTTAACCTAAATTTACCCCGGTAGTAGAGGGGATTTAATCTATAATTGTCAATTTTAAAAATGTTGAAAAGATTTTTTTTTCAGGTTAATGTGATTTTTTCCTGAATCAGTTGCTCAGATGACACTCAATAAAAGAAATTACTTAACTGTAAGATTTAATTAACAAACTGCTGTAGCAGGTGACAAGATGCTTGTGTCTATGTTAAGTACATGTATAGGTTTTCCCGGCCAATTTCCTTAAATGTTCATTCACTTCTGAGAATCGGTAATTCATTTTTCGTCTGAACTTGAATGCACGTCTTTACTTCCAGTTCAGTTCAACGAAAGTTCAATCGTTTTCATTGTCCGAGCATTCGGTTTTGGTAAACAGACGGCCAATTACGACTTGTGCATTCATTTACGCAAGCAATACCTTTTTGCGCAGAGTTCCGGTATACAATTTCGAGAATGTGCAATCAAAAGTACATTTTTCTCATTCCAAATTGCAGATTGCATCACATAACATTAAACTAAAAGTGAAATAGAATGACCAATTTTGAAATCGCCCTCTAAAAGCAAAAAAAGGGAAATCTTGTAAATCAATCTGAATGAGCATAAACGAAATGTGCTGCTAAATCACTTAATTGATTGAATCGAAATGGAATTGAATGCTCTGGTAGCGAAAATGAAACGCGTGTTCAGAGCAATTCTCAAATTCAGACGAAAATGAACGACCGATTTTCAGAAGTGAATGAACATTTTTGGAAAGTGGCCGGGAAACCTATATTAATGAGTGTATTTTGAGTATTGTTTGTATTTTATTCTTAACAATCCCTATTGCCTTTATGTGTACATTCCAGTATTCTGTTAATGGAAGAAGATATTTACTTGTATTCCGATGACCCTACATCATTTAGGAAGTAAATACTACAAACATAACTGCCTGCCACATATAAGTGGCTTTCCTTTTGCGTGATATTTCTTTTTCAAAGGAATATATATATTTTTTGGCCACACAGCCATGAGAAGGGCGGGTATCAGAGGGTTGAATTTGCTTTCACACAAATATTTCATGGCAGCATTTGACTCGCAAAAATGATGAATATAGCACTGTACTATTGTATCAGTTAAACAGGTCATCAGCTTTGTATATTCTGCAAAATCAAACTGATGCATATGTGGTTTAAAAATTCAAAGTGATGATACTACTTTATATATCTAAGCTGGTGTAAAAAATCATCTTTCCATTAGAATCTATTATTTATTGTAAATAGAGCTATGTTTAATTTGGTATATGGAAAACTGATTTTATTGTCGAGTTTATGAAGGCACAACTTCAACAGATGGCCTCTTTACCAGAGGCACATATACAGGGTGTCTAAAAAAAATGTAGCAGTCAATCCAGAAATATTGAAAATAACAGCACTCTCTTTTTGCAAAACGTATCTATAGAGTCTGAAGGTGTGGTAAATAGTATACTCTACACAATGGTCTTTATCCCATCTCATTTGGACACCCCGGTCTACAGAGATACAGCTAATTAAATGAAAGGACTTGAATTCCACGTTGGGCGACTCCGCTTCTAATGAAAGGCATTCACATACTACAAAGGTGAAGAAAGTGGCCCACAGATTTTGACAGTCTTTACAAGCTTTGCCATAACTTATAAACAAAAGGTCCAAATCACACAGAACGAAAATCCTGTCAAGGGTGAAGGAACACTCTATCATTATCTTATGGTAACTTGTTTTACAAAAACGACTTAGTTTCCTCAGAAAAAAATGTTGTTTGACTCCATTTTTTTTTTAGACATCCTGTTTAATTTGAAAATTTAGGCCTTTTACAAATTAATTTGGAGGTCATCTTTGAATTATTTCTTATTCACGATACTTACAGGTTGAAAAGCCCTTGTGACTCTACCACATGGTCTGTATACGTGTAGTCTCCACTCAATTGGCCTAGCCGATTCACTTGCCTTGAATGTCCAAAATTCATTGCAAAGGCTATTCTCTTATCTTTTTGTTCTTCCATAATCACTTACATTGTGCAAATTGTGACATTTCCATGTTAAGAAATGATATTAATGTTAAAAAAGTTTATTTTTCAAATAGAAAAGTCTTGTGATATTTGTATCAGCATTAGATACACTAGAACTTAGGCTTGAAAAGTGAACGTTGTATATCAGTACTACATAAATGTATGTGCGGGTTAAATGGCAATGTTGGGGATACCTTAAAATGCCCACGCCCCCAAAAAAGATCGACATAATAACCATGTCTGTGGTTGTCATGCCAACAAGATCAAATAAAGCTCTGCGAACTAACAGTTTTTGTAGTCATTTGCTTTGATTTATAGTTTCAATAATTAAGAAGCCAATTTTTTTTGTGTGGCATTAGTTGCAAAGATACCAAATAAGGGATTTCTTGACACAGGCCAAAAAAAAAAAGTCGGTCTCTGGTCAGCGCGCGCGTCGATTTTAATCATGCGCGTCAATCTTTTTTTTCCAAAATGTTCCGTGGTAGCTCCAACAGGAGCACCTCCTCAATTTTTTTTACCAAAGAGCACCACGGAATGGGAAATTGCACCAAGGCAAATGATCGAGAGCACCAAGGCAAATTATGGAGAACATCAGTGTACATGAGGACACCAAAAAAGCAAAATAGTACCCCACCTTGTCTGTACAATCCAAGCTTGAAAAAAAAAAAAGCCGCGTCCCCGCGTCAATTTCGGAACTTTGGTCTGACCAGAGACCAAATAATTTTTTTTTAGGCCTAATGGTCACTTTTTTTTTACAGCCCCCCTCCCCCTCCCCCGCCAAAAAAAGAGAGAAAAGGCCATGAATTTAAACACTTGCTTCATAAAAAGAAGAGAATGTCTGTTTTATTACAAGTTTACAACATAAAGTATTCAACATCAAAGCTTGCAAAATTTTAAGTTCCTGGCACTGATGCAATGTAGGGACACTTCCTTTACAAAAAGCATACTGGTAACGTAATGGCTACACACTTGGCAATGAACTCAAACATTGGCGTTTCATGGGAGAAATTTCGCTTTTTATTGTAACATTTGTCCATATTCAGTTTCCATCATAATTAACATGCGCTGCTGTTTGACACCATTTCTCAAAAGTGTATACCTGCCTCGACTTTCTGAATGCAAGCTTTTAGCAAATAACTCATTCAAGGCTGACAAATAAAAAAAAATTATTTGAAATATGTTCCACATACCGTAATTAAACAAATTATATAAAAAGATCTAATTGGAAAAAAATAATTGCACATATTTAAAAACATTCAACTTATTCGCAGATATATCCTATTTCCTTGATGCGTAATAAATTCCAGACTGATTGGACATTTGCAATATATTGTATACAAATACATTACACAAACAATGAATGTTTATGATTGCAATGATAGGAATAATTTCATGAGGTGACAGATGGAACGTTCGCAGAGTGGAAATGGAACTTTCCATCCGTCACCCCATGAAATTATTCTTTCCATTGCACACATGTGAAACATTCACTATTTGTTTTATATAACACCTGAATAAATCCTCGTCATCTGATTAGTCAGAGCCACCAAAAGTGTGGCTGTTCAATGGAACTTCTATTTTATCGTGGAAGAGAACTTCTATTTTTGCGGTGCGGCCGGGCCAGGTGTTGGGACGAATAATTCAACGACATGTGATCAACGACCCACCAATCAGATGACAGGGATTTACTCCAGTGTTGCGTAAAAAGAAATAAATACAAGTACATATATTGAAACCATCATATATGAAAACTTATAGACCTGTAATAGAACTATATGTTGGCATTGGGCCAGAAAGTCATTATGGAATTGATTGTGCATACGAAGTTCAATATTCTCTGTGTATACATGTCACACATAGTTACAGCAAATGAATCTCTGCGAAATTTTAGGCATGAATTGAAATCAGCAATAAGATATAAAACTGAAGGGATAGGGGAAATCCTCCCAGCATTTGCACAATCACTTGGCAGTTTTGAAGTAAATGAAATTCAACTTTTATAAATCCACACGAATAAACCCCCTACGGAAAATTCCATCAAGCACCTGCTTAGTCTGAAGATGGATGTAAATTACATTTTATAAAACAGAGAGTTGCTCAATACTTGGGCAATTTCTGAAAATTCTGTTCCCTTTAGACATTAACTTCTGAATACCTGTGAAAACAAAATACATTTACACATGTAACACTGAGTGGCTAAACTTGACCCAGAAAAGTGCAATCTTCACAGACGTTTTCATTTTTTTTCTATAAAAAACTGTATGAACTATTAAAGTATAGTATACACATGTAACTTGTAATAAAACACTTGCAGATTCCAATTAGTACATGTACATCACTATTTCTATGTCAATTGTGCAGCCAAAGATAGAGTATTATTCGGTGATTTTTCCACAAAAATTTGACTTCATTAGCAGACCATTCTTTAATTCACAGGCAATTTGAGGCAATATGAGTTCTGAGAATCAACCTTCTCCGTATCACAGGTTAACTAAGGTGAGTCTAACAAGGTTTTCAAAACATTCACCTTGTCTCCCGTTTGGGATTTTGGAGATTCTAGGCACCAGACTTGTGTGTTCTTCTTCAATGTCAAATCCTACAATGTGAGTCCAAAATTGAGATCATTTCCATTTGATTTGGGTGTTCAAGGCCTCTACATGATTTATCAAGCCAGGGATAAAACTGAAGATGAAAATTAAAAAAAAAAAAACATGATACTTGACAAGCCATTACAGACAAGTTTTTCAGCAATTTACAAGGGTGTTTTTTTCAGCAGCATGAAAAACGTACCTCTATTTACATAATATACCCAAGATTGCAATAGGTATAAATACAACAAAATGGGCTTGATATACATGGAATAACAACGATTTATATAAAAAAAAGAAGATACAACTGATTCTTTAAATATACATGAAGTAGCATATGAATTTTTCAATGACTCAGATAACTGAGTAAAACACGAGGCTTGTAGCTTGAAGTCATCTTATAGAAGTATGCTATCAGACTTGATAGTGTTGCGCTACTGGATGCCGACTGGTCACCGATCTGGTGGGCTCAGGGAGGGACAGGAGCATGTGACATTCATCCTGGATGCTGATTGGTTATGGATTCGATGAAGGTGGAGCCAGCCGTAGCTTGAAATCATCCAATAGGAACATGTAACAGTGCTTCTGGATGCTGATTGGTCACTGATCTGATAAGGGCAGGGCTAGCCTCGGCTTGAAGTCTTGTGATAGGATCCTGCTGTCGGATCTGACAGAGCCCCTGGATGCTGATTGGTCACTGATCTGATGGGGCGGGGCTAGCCATAGCTTGAATTTGTCTGATAGGAGCATGCTATCTGATCTGACAGTGCTCCTGGAGGCTGATTGGTCACTGGTCTGAAGGGGGCGGGATAAGCCGTAGCTTGAATTCATCCGATAGCAGCAAGCTATCCGATCTGACAGCGCCTTTTGTTGCTGGTTTGTCACGATAAGATCGGACAACTTCACACAGTACAGCAAGCTAAGCAAGAAAAATATCAACAACGGAATCCTGTTCAATCAATACATTTTGCCTTAAGGTACAGCCATGAAGGTAATTTATTGCTAGTGAATTTTTGTTTTATTCCTTTAGGGTCAAAAGGTCACTCATCATCAAAACTCTAACTCATTTTGGCGGATTTTTTAAATATGAATTGGAATGTTTGCACAAAATATGAATCACTTAACAGCTGCCGATTTTAAAGTTTTTTACTACAAAAATTATGGCCTGGACCAAACACGGACTTAATATCCTACTCAGATATAGAGTCAGAGAACAGCCAACGCATCATTGTCCTGATGACCTCTGACACATTTTAACTTAATTAAAATATGTACATGTGCACAAATAGGCACTGGATTCAAGTTGTACACATACTCGGGAGCTAGGCCAATCAGGCAAAAGGTGAAGGTAGAATTGTCACAGCGCATGGAAACCCAAGAAAATGTCAGAAGCATTCAGGGCAATGCTACACGCATGAGGCTCTCAGTCTAACTTGAAGCTATACAGGGTGAGTAAAAAAAAAAACGAAACCCAAATGTCGGGACCATTGTTTCAGTGAAGTTCTGAATGTAGCACTTTCAAAATCTAGGATATGAAAGCTCAATTAATGAGCTTTCTTTTAGTACAAGAATCATTCATATCACTCATGTACTTTTCAAGTAACAGAATTTTAAACACAACCACCGTTTTAAAGTTCTGTCCGCGGATCACATAAAAGGTGTGTGTTCTTTCAGCAAAACGAAAAAAAACCCCAATTCACATAGGGATGTATGTGAATTGTTTTCGTTTTGCTGAAAGAACACACACTTTTTTTTGTGATCCATGGACAGAACTTTAAAACGGTGGTTGTGTTTAAAATTCCGTAACTTGAAAAGTACATGAGTGATATGAATGATTCTTGTACTAAAAGAAAGCTTATTAATTGGGCTTCCATATCCTAGATTTTCAAAGTGCTACATTCAGAACTTTATTAAGTAAAAGGTCCTGCCATTTGGGTTTCCTTTTTTTTTTACTCCCCTGTACATCAAGTTTCCCATCCTACCTTTGATGGCCCCTCCAGTCGTTTTCTGAGCAAGTCCATGGAGGCAATCTGCTCTGGATCCAACTGCACAGCCTATCAAAATCAATATGAAACACTCCATTTAAGACAATATGAAAAAGTTATTTTACTTTCACATTTTATATGCTGGAAGGCTTACCTGATGCCAAAACATTCCATAACCATACAAATCATGAAGAAATCCAATCTGTTTTCAGCTAAGCATAGATGTAACAGCTTCAAATTGACCCACCTTTTCAGACGCCCCAGCGGTTGCCCCGGCAGCCCCGCCTCCTTTCTTGACCACTGCCCTGTCCGTGGTTCCCTTCCCCGCAGCCACGCTGGCAAAGTGCTGAGACTTCCTCATGTTGAGCATTCTGGCTTTGCCCGTCCGTCGCGTGCTGTAACACTGGTAACACATCCAGTGCTGCTTGCCCTCGATCATGGAGGAACAGCCGGACGTATGGAGGCAGGACGTGTGGTAGGTATGACCGCAGCTACAAATTGGGTACATACAAAAAATATGAAATAAACCATAAAAAAAGAGAAACAGACTATACTTTAATCAGTACATTAGAATGCCACTATACTAGTGGGGCAGATAGGGGAAATATTTGGGGGGATTATTCACTTTGATGACACAAGCATGGCATTTGGCACACAGTCAGAGTATTTCTTAAGAAAGATATTTGGCTATAGGGCCATCGCAGATTTGACCTTTGAAAAACTATAGCTAGGGCCAAGTTCGGGCAAGGACCATTAGTCTACTAGTAGTTGATTTGTGACGTACCTTACGCCTGCGCACTAATAGCAACGTGCGAACGTCTCTAGTCAAACGCTGGTTAAAATGACATCGCAAAACTTCTGGATCCTGGCTCCCTGCTAGCGTTTTGAATGCGCGCAGCTATTGGTTACCAGCGATGCAACCAACATCAGTAGGCTGGTTCCAAATAGTCGACTAGCGTAGTCAACCACCGTCGACTAGACAGAGTTCGGGCAAACGTTAGTTAACCATTGGTCAACTATAGCCCTTGCGCGAACTTGGCCTAGAATAACAAGCAATTTTCAAAATTTTCAAAATGGCTGCCATTGCTTGTTATTCTACATTTTTTCAAAGGACAAATCTGCGATGGCCCTATAGCCAAATATCTTTCTCATGTCATACTCTGACTGTGTGCCAAATTCCATGCTTTTATCATCAAACGGACAATCCCATCACCTATCTGCCATACTATACACAGGCATGCAACTGGGAAGTAACAAAATAAAACCAGGAAACTCCAAGATTTACAAGACTTTATACAATGTTTTTCAATACTTTCATGGCGTAAGTGTGATGTGAAAAACAAGGAAATCAGCTGATGTGAGAAAAAATTGCACGCCTGTATACAGGGTGTATCAAAATAAAAGGCACCCCCCAAAAAAGCCCAATGTTCTGTGTGTGTGTTAGAACCACTGATTTCTAATTAGAAGGTAAAAAACACTTTTTGCCACATTGGACTGATTCGGAGTAGCAAGATGAACCGTCTTACAATGCAACGTCACTATGGACTGTGTGCTGAAAGGGGAGGCTAAAGCCTTGTTCATACTTCATGCGAATGCGAAGCGAATTTGACGTCTCGAAGCATTCGCTGCGAAATTTGCCCGAGTTGAAATGTGTTCAACTTTTACGAATCCGCAGCGCGAATACTCGCCACGACGTCACAAATTCGCGTTCGCTTTCGCTTTTGCACCGAGTATGAACCAGGCTTAACACAGTCCACCGGGATGGGCATTGTCTGGCCAGCTAATGTCATCATAAATCAGACCAACTTGGCAAAAGGAGGGTCTGAGCTGATGGTCTCAGTCAACAATGACTGCAGAGGTGTAAACTAAGGCATCAGTGGCAAGCTCACAATCAACCCATTCCTCTCCTAAAAGCTGTTGGCCCAGACGTGTGAGTGGGTGGGATTTTACTCACTACCCCATTCCACTGTTTTCGCTGAAATGTGATTCCTAGTTTTTCCCCCACCTCTAGAACTTCAAATATCTTCTCCCTCTAGGTTTCCTCAGACTTTTAAACTACAGCGGCCTGGGGAACCCTTTCGTTTCGGTACAGGAAGAAGCTAAACTGAAATTTAATTTAAAAAAAACCCCAATTTCTGACCTGAAGACGACCACTGTTTCGTCCTCGCTGATCTTGGCAAAGCTGCGATTGCAGATGAAGCATGCTTCCTTGCGAGGTATCAGGCCTCGATTGACGGCTTGGGTCAGGTTGTGAAGGGACCAGTACAGATCGTGATCCAGAAGATTGTTGGTGGTTCGCAACAGGGTCTGAATAACATCACAACGTTGTTTGCTTGTAAGTGACAAATTGAATAAAGCCCAGTTCATACTCGGCACGAAAGTGAAAGCGAACGCGAATTTGTGACGTCGTGGCAAGTATTCGCGCTGCCAATTCGTAAAAGTTGAACACATTTCAACTCGGGCGAATTTTGCAGCGAATGTTTTATGACGTCAAATTCACTTCGAATTCGCATTCGCGTGAAGTATGAACCGGGCTTTGGTTGTATTTTCCTACAAGTTGAACACATCATCCATCATCTATCTGTTTATAGTCTGTCTGTCCCCGAAATCCAGGGTGAGACTCAATGACGATCATGTCTGCTTGGCTGGATTGCATTCTTCCACTCTACTTGCTTCAATGCCAGATTTTTATTTTTTTTCACATGTTAGATTTTTTTTGGTTTTGTTTCAAGAAGAAAGGACAATCAATTGCTGCTTGAACAAGCTCGCAAAATATAAAAAGTTGAGATTTTGGGAGGCCTTTCTCTTATTTAAATTTAAAAAACATAATACAGATTGCAAATAAGAGATAATTTGAAAAGTTGGGATGTCTTAAGCTTCCTGTTTATAAACAAGCTTTTCAGTTATTTCAAATTGCACAAATTGAATCCTTGATCGTTCCGAATCAACCTTACCAATGCACTGAATGAAGGTTTACTTTATGCTTTTCCTATTGAGTCATTTTCCTACTGAGACTATTTTTCTTAGTGTCCATGTAAGTGGTGTCAGAGTATATTTTTAACCTTTTCATAGTTATAGGTGTCTAGCATTCCCAGTATCAGCTCCTTGATTTCACCAAACTTGCCAGTGCTGTAAGTTGGATCCTGAAAAGGAAGAAAAGTACATTATTTTTTAAAGTGTGGGTTGCGTCCTAAACCAAGTGAATGTATTTTTGCTCATTAGTTTCCAATAGCTTGCTGAGGTGGGACTAATCACATCAACTCTTACTTGCTGATGAAGACATTGTATTACTACACCTCATAAATATTCATGATCAAATTGGAGCAAGTCATTGGCCGATCCCGCGTGTCCGGAAGTTAAAATGATACACCCCCAGGTAACATTATCCCGGTGAGTATCCAGCTCGCTGCCGTGCGGTGTTTTTTTTCTGGTAGCACCAACAATTCTCTCTGGAACCCGCCTCGTAGACATGTAGTCTGTGGCACGTAATCTTTACGGAACCAGTCTGTTGTTGTAGTCTTTGTTACTACTGCAGTAAAGACACACTAAAGAGTGTTGGCACCAGACTATTTCAACCCTGTTGCCATGACACACGGAACTCAGCAGCTCAGAAACAACAATGGCGTCTACGAGTACGAGTAACGTTACTAGATTTATTGGCAAGGTAGTGGGGCTACTAAAAGGGCAGTGAGGCTACTAAATATTTATGAGGTGCAGTGAAACAAATACAGCATTGTTTATTTCTGGAAAATAGTTGGAATCATGGCCCCTCAGTGTAGGTCAGCCTGACTTCCTCCCTCCGCTTCGCGTTGGGAGGTAGTCAAGCTGACCTACACTGAGGGACCAGTAATTCCAAATACTTTCCCTCAAAACATGCAACTACTGAGCTTGCCAGTGGCGGCTTTCGGATTCCAATCCTATAAAGCAGCGGAAACTACAATTACATTCTCTCTTAGTACTGAACATGTTTAGGATGGACACTGCAATCAGCCCAATGTCATGACGATGAAACAATCACCTGCATGATTTTCTGCAAGACGGATGGCAACGCAATGTATCCCATCATGCTGTTCAGCACATGTCTTGTCAGATCTTTGAAAGCTGTCGAGGGAACCAACAGAAATAGGCCAAGTATTTAGTGACATGATATGACTGATATCAGAAATAAAAAGCTGAGATAAGATTCAGAAATAAAATTCTGCAGAACAAGTGCGAGTGCAGATTAAGCTCTGGCTGTCTTGCATGAAAGTATTGCATGAAATCTATCAAAATGATCCCTGCCAGAGCTGAAAAATGTTACGCTGATGGCACATATGGAACACCACACTTCAGATGTATACCTAGATTTATAGCAATTTGTGATAAAAACTACAGACTATAACATTACTGCACATATTTTGCCTCCATTTACAAACTTTTCATAAACATCTTTCAGAATTGTTGCAAACTTGTTTTTCTTTCTTTTTTCAATTTGGTAGTTATATTTTGTGGAAAACTTATGAGGCTTATTTCGGGGACAGACATATATGCAAAACAAACATGCTTGCGCATCAATTGAAAAAAAATCGGTGATCTGAAAACCGTTGTCAAGAGTGCCTTTTATGACCGCGGCATGGCATTTGGTAAATTTGTCAATTGTTTTTGGTCAATTTGGTTAATTTCCAGGGGACTGACAGACAGACAGACCGACCGACCGACTGACCACCAAGTGACATGTAGTAGCTCCTGCCAGAGCTTAACAATTTTCAAAGACTGTACTGACAGGGCGTAACTTACAATCCTAGCAGACTTTTTTAAAAATCTAAGCTACAAGGCTACAAGAAAGTTTTTGGCAAGGATTGACATCGGCCCTCTTATTTCTGGGATATGATGAAGTTGAATTATCTGTTTTGCTCCTTCTACTAAATGTCTTGTGTATAGATTTACTGATAACTGACAGTAAAAAAACAAATGACAAACCTTCAAAATGGTCATCAGTCAGAGAGGATCTCAGCTTTCTCTGTGATGCCATCATGAGATCCAGGAGAGGAAACCACAAAGCCTGCAGCGAAGAACGAAACAAGGAGGAAAGAAAGACCAGCAATGTTTGTCTGTACAACGCAGTGTGATCCCTAGAATACTGTGACAATTGTCACTCCTTAAACCTTCATAAAGATTTCATCAAGTCTGACAAAAAAAGACGTCTCACTCACCTAGTTCATTTCAAAGTAACCTTCCCCCCTCACCTGTATATAAGTAAAGTCTGTCGCAAGCCAATGTGGCTCATCAGGTTATTTCCGGTTTCAGTAGCATGAAACTACTGAGAATATAATCCCAAACAATCCTCATTTTTTTAACCACTTCATGCCGGGATTATTTTAGCCGAAAATTTCAATTTTCGCAAAAGGCAAAATTTTCCAGCCAACTTCTGATATACAGCCAAACGCCACAAATACTGATTCGCAAGAGTGATTTCAACAGTATTTGTACGATATTTCTTGCCCAAACCTCATATGTTACAATACTCCGGGGTGTGCACTGGAGCGTAAATTGTAGAACAATAGGCCGTGCACAACGGCCAATTCAAGATCAACACACAGTCCGCCTCCACAGACTTCACAGACTTTGTGTGTGTGTGTGTACAAAAGGCTATGTGGATAAGCGTGTTTAGACGTCACCCGGAGGCGAGTCGAGGCAATCTTGATGTCTTAACCCATCAGCCGTGCCTGTGTATAAAAACAGCCAGTGCGTGTTATCCCGTGCTCTGACGTGAACTGGTGAAAATTGACCTTATCTACAGAGATGCTGGTTAGTTATATACCTCCCTGTCTGGTTCATCCAGTTTGGCTGAGTTTCTCTGACACAACTGAATGATGACCATCAAACCTGCCTGCAGACTGCAGATGGAGACACTGGGATCTAGATAACAGGGTGAAATATTAAAAAAAGTAAAACTGTTATAGACAGTACGAATAAGGTTGAAATCATTAAATTGGGGTCAAAAGTTGGATTTATGTCACTATTTTACTTCTTAGGTTTGCTCATAGCTTTGTTTTTGCTGTAAAAGAAATGTAATCACATCATTTGAAGTGACTGACTTCTTCCTTATCTTGATGGAGAAATGTCTACTACAGTGGCTACAGCTGGCTACATATGCGTCTATGGAGAGCGGCTTCTGTTGCTCCCAATGACACGTGTAATTGCAAGCCACAGCCACATCATTCAGACACAGCCTTACTTTTGGCTTTATCAGCAGCCTTATCAGCCTCCATGCTTTCCGATAGATTCCTTATGTTGTTGGATAAGCTTTCCAGCATGATACTAAATGCTCCCTGGATATCTCCCGCCATCTCTAGGAGGTACGCTGTGGCATCTGCTATCTTGTGACGTCGGACAATCTGAAACAGAAACAACAGCATACTTTAACCTAACCCCTAACCTCATACGTGGTAGAAATCTCTATGAATTCACTACGAATGTCCTACGGATATGCCCGGATGTGCTGGGGTTCTGCTAAGGTTGTACTATGAATATTCACGCTTTATTTGTAGAAGAACCTTGGTCATCCGTGGCCCAATCGCAGACAACCGTTGCATTAACGTCATTATTCTTAGTAATACTGTCGATATTCTTCACCAATCGGTCCATATTCTTGACAAACCGTGGTGCATTCCTAGATAAACCGTAGGACAGTCGTGGCTATCCGTCCCGAAACTGTAGTGCATTCTTAGAAAGTTGATTTTTCCGCGAATCTCGACGGTTCATCTGGATTGACTGATTCTTGGTAAACCGTTGATATTCCTAGCTCCAGACCGTAAAAGTGCGACTGTGGCTTTACACAGGATTTAACTTCAACTCTTCGTTGAAATTGGGCTAAGAAATGGAGGTCGAGGACCCAGTTTACAGCCTTAAGGTTGTAATCGAGTACAGTTTGTCTAGTACGGATATGCGTAGAAACAAAAAATACCCCAGTAGAAGCAAGCGTGCATAATGGAGAACGACAACAACGATGTAACCAGCTCTTTATAATAAGACACAGGTTGTTGGAAGTGATGAGAAAATGCCGATTTTGGTGGAAAGTGAAAAAAAAAGGCAAACTTTGGAGGTAAAAAAAAAAAATGACAACTAGGAACTAGAAACTAGGATTTTCAGTTTCATCAACTTCCTACCTGTAAGGTTTCCTCTAGACGATATCCCTCCACATTCCTGATGTAATGATGAACCGATATAGGATTGAACCGACACATCAGATCAATGTACTTCTCGTGCAGATATGGATCAAACTTGGATTCCTACAAAGGAATCACAGATTAAAATGTCAATTTTGAGAGTTAACCCCCCCCAATTAAAAATACAGGTAGGACATGAGTATTTTTTTTCTCAAAAATCATAGCAAAAGGTGTGGGAACTATTTGAAAAATGTTGCAGAAATCCTATCCATCGCATGTACAAAAGATAACATAGTTTTGTGAAACTGGCTGAAAGGGTCTTTTTCATAGAGTTGCCTAACAGCAAAAAAGATGCGTGCACAGTTATAATGTAGTATTTTGTGAATTTCTGTAAAGTCAGAATTGTACACTAAAAACATCCTTACATTACAGCCATGTGGTTGCGAAGGCCTAAGCGTCGTTTATGTTAAACAAAGTTAATCCGATTACGAACTTGGACGCTATAACAGAGCAGTGAAATTCATGCATCCCAAAAAACATGGCTTTTTGAAAGTTGTGTTTGTCAGAAAATATGCTCAGTATGATTGAAATGTTGAATTATAACTGAAGAAGAAATTCTAAACTTCATGTCCGTGAAAAAAATCGCCGTCATCGATGCCGAAACGTCAATACTGGTTACTTGTAAAGCTGAGCTTAAAGTCGGGAAGAAATTGTTTGAAAACGTCCCCAAATCTAAGTTTTTATCTCAATTTCTAGGAATCCCTCAAGTTGTTATTTCACGAGGAGTTGAGCACTTATATCATCTAAGTATATTCCGAATTTCTGCTTAATCTGTAGTTGCAAACGCTTGTGTTACACCTTAAATTATCTCCAAGGAAAATTTCGACAAGGATTCAAAATAAAGTATTAAGTAACCTTTAGAAATCGGCCTTCGCAACCACATGGCTGATTGTGTTTGACAATATCAAAGATCTTCCAAATTTATGTTTTTTTAATTCAACATGTTTCAGTGACATTGGTCCATTTTGAAGGAAATGCCTCACCTTTGGTGCCAGGGCTGTACTGGTTGCATCTCGATATTCAAACACACCCAGTAGGAAATCATACTGCAGACGTGGTCGATCCTCTAAACGATCTATCACTTCCTCTAAAGAGCTGGAGAAGATCTTGAGGACCAACTGGGCTGTTTCCTTGCAGTCAATTGCCACCAAATCCTAAGACGACAACATAAGTAAAAGTGGACTTGACCATGTAGTGAACGTAGCAGCCGTTGCAGATAATAAGTTGAAGAGTATAAACATTCTAATTGTAGAGTTCAGGTACACGGCTTTTAATGTATTCTCTGGGTAATGTAGGTTGTTTTGTAGGAATCAAAAAGTATTATAAAAAAAAGTCACAGGATTTACTTAATTTAGGAAATACTCTAAGATAGACATACAGTGTTGTACATGGAAAAAAAGTGCATTCACTTATTAACCCTAACTCTTCCTGGTGCAACACAGTACATCAAAAATGCAATCTATTATTTCAATTATTAACGAATTTCATGAGTCAAAATTTCAGTCTTATGTGATTTCTAATTTAGAAATGGGAGCACAAGACCTTTAAACTTGATTATCTCCAAAACTGTTTTTGCGTGCCTGGGCTGCTAACGTCCTTTTCCTTGGCACATGACGAGATATGCTTTCTGTGTGTATCTTCATTAGTTATTCGTGCATGACATTACCTGTAGGTTTTCCAGTGCCTCGTTTTGTACAGCGTCTTTCTCTGGTTCAGTGTAATTACTCTCCATCATGACGTCATTGATGTAAGTGAAGACTGCAAACTATAACAAATTTGAAAGATAAAAGAAAAACCAGATATCTTTCAAAGATTAACAATTAACTTCACTTCTTGGCAAGGTCACAAACGCTTTGTGCGGATTGCATAGCAACTTGACCTTCACTGACTCGTTACACGAAATACTCTACACTTCTGGATTAATTTCAAACATTAAGAGCAACATATACGAGGGTTTGAAGCCGGCCATTTTCCTGGGACATGGTACCTACCTTCCTGGATGGATCCCTGAGGTAGCACAGAAGAATCTTGTCAAACTGCCGTCTTTTTTCATACAGGAGCTCAGTCACACGGTAACTGCAGTCAGAAAAAAAAAGAGCAAAATGCCACATTATATCAGCCTTTCAGAAGCGTTTTCCCATGCAGACGTTGTTTTAACCCTTTAACCAATTAGGGCCCGATTATGCGTTCTGTAGGCCATAGGCACCAGTCTTCTGTAGGCCCTACTCCGCCCTAGGCACCTGCACTGCCACCGGCACCAATTTTACAGCTCCGGTAAGCGCCGGAGCCTCACATTTCATGTTGATGCCAAGCTATGCTAAGCTGTACCACGTAAGCCAACTAGGCCAAACTGGTAGCTCTAATGTAATGTATTACTTCTATTGGGTTCGCTACCAGTTACTGGAATGTATTTCATGTATTGAGGTTCGAGGTCGGCTATGTACTAGCTAGTTTGAAACTTTCCCAAAATCAAAAATCTCCAAGAGATGCTAAAACTGTTCTTGTGTCTGCGTGGTGGATTTGTGCGTGTGGGTGTACATGTTCATCTTTTCAAACCGTGGACAAAAAATACAAGAGAACAAAAGAGAGCAATATCGTCCATGATTCCCAGCATACGTTCGCGATTGAGGTCGTGTACAAAACCTATGGGAGTCTTCCTAAAAAGTTAGAGTACAAACAAAAGAGGGACAATGGGACGTCCACGATGACGGTGAACACACGTTTGTATGTGCATGTTATGGCACACTGGTATTTTCGTAGGCCTTCAAATGTTTTGTAGACCCTAATTTCTTCTAATAGGCACAGTGCCTACTGTGCCTATTGGATAATCCGGCCCTGTAGCCAGTGTGGTACATTTGTACACTGATGATCAGTTTGGCCAACGCTGTGTACAGTCTTGTGTTTTATGAATTTAGCTGTGATTGCACAAAACTGCTTGGGAAAAGAGAAACATAATGCCTTGTTATGACAGAATTCAAGTCTTCTACACAGGCCAATCCTCAAACCATGTTCTTTTTTGTCATATTCAGCAATGCCTCAGCCCCGAACCATTTGTTGACCTTTGCTCATTCACACGTAATTGAAAGACTTCAATAGTTTTTGCTTTTCCGCTTTAAAGCAGAAAGGCATTGTTTTTGTTCTGATTTTTTTTTTTTTTTCTTCCCTTTTCTTTTTGTTCTAACCCAAATCCCATAGACTTTGTACACGGTTTATTAACCACGCCACCTTTGACCTAAAACAAACTCGTATTCTGATGAAACTTACAATATATAACAACCCCATAGTGAGCTTGTGTCCCGAAGAGTGATGTCATGATTACGTCATCATGGGTCACGTGCAGTGGTGTAGCCAGGAATTTTTCAGTGGGGGGGGGGGGGGGGGGTTTTCATGGGGGGGCATCATGTAGATCAATGATTAGAAACTCAAAATCTCAGTGGGGGGGACGACTGGGGGGGGGCGACGAGGTTTCATGGGGGGGCTGTCGCCCCCCCATGGCTACGCCACTGGTCACGTGACGTCATCTTAAACATGCAAACTTTAAGACCCTATATCTATACAACTGTAAGTCCGATTGGGTTGAAACTCGGTATGTAGGTTGACCGGGATGTGTTATAGGTAAAAATTGAGGTGACGTCATCATGACGTCACTGTGTCATTTTATATCGGTTTTTGAAGTTTTGGACCTTTAAGCCATATCTCACGAACGCAGTATCCTAAATTCAAAATTCTTTTTGTATTATGTTTGTTAGGTAACAGGTATATTCACAAAATTGTAAAAATTGTGCGACGTCATTATGACGTCATCAAAAATTTAAACACCAATCGTCATGAAACTTGGTCAGTGGGTAGATAATAGTACTAGTACACAAAATCTGAAATGACATCACGATGACGTCATCGGTAGATTTTTAACGATTTTAAAAAATATTCACAATTGTATTCTGATTACAAAAGTTAACACTTTTATTCATCCGATTGACTTCAAACATGCTAAAACCAATATTCTGTATGTATTAGGTTTATTATGTAATAGGTATCTGCACAATTTATTTTGAAAAATATGTGATGTCATGATGACGTCATCAAAAATGCGATTTTTAAAAACACTGATAAGGGTAAGTCCGATTGTCGTGAAACTTGGTGGGTAGGTAGATAGTGTTAAAAGTATGCAAAATCTGAAGTGACGTCATGATGACGTCATCACCTATTTTTTATTAATTTATCAATTTTTTTCATTTTCTTCTAATACAAAATTTGACAAATTTTTAAAATGCGGAAAAGCCTGTGTCCTGTTCATCGAACAGGCAAAGCTCTAGTTTATTATATCTGTAGTTCCCATGGCAGAAAATAAGCCTTCATTGAGTTGGAATCTCGCAAGACTCAGGGACATAACATCATGAAGCTGGAGGCTTGAGGCTCAAGCCAAATCTGGGTTGATGCCAAAGTTTGAGAAAAGGCCGTGGAACTGTTGCTTACAATTTAGCTCCCTCGGCCAGTCGGAGTAGTTTCTGCTGATCGACTTGTTCCAGTCCTCCAGCGTTCACCAATTGCAGCAAGGCTTGCTCCCTTTCTTCATGCCTTGTTTCATCGTCGGGATTAGAGAGAAACTCTAGCACCTACAATCGACCAAAGGTGACACATTAGTCAAAATACTGCCTCAAGATCTCCCTTAAATATACAGGGTGAGTAAAAAAAAAACGAAACCCAAATGTCGGAACCATTGTTTTAGTGAAGTCTGAATGTAGCACATTCAAAATCTAGGATATGAAAACCCAATTCATAGGCTTTCTTTTAGTACAAGAATCATTCAAATCACTCATGTACTGTTCAAGTTACAAACTTTTAAACACAAGCACTGTATTAAAGTTCTACGGATCACAAAAAGGTAAGTGTTCCTTCAGCAAAACGAAAATAAATCACGTAGGGATGTGTGTGAATGGTTTTCGTTTTGCTGATAGAACGCACACCTTTTGTGTTTGAGCCGTGGACAGAACTTTAAAACAGTGGTTGTGTTTAAATTCCGTAACTTGAAAAGTACATAAGTGATTTGAATGATTCTCGTACTAAAAGAAAGCTTATGAATTGGGCTTCCATATTCTAGATTTTGAAAGTGCTACCTGCAGAACTTCACTAAAACAATGGTCCCGACATTTTGGTTTTGTGTTTTTGACTCACTCTGTAGAGTCAGAGATCCTCCACTGTGACACTGTCCTTAAGACCGTTTACACGGGGTCAGCTTAATTTCTAACACCTACACCTGCACAACTAGGTACTGCCTCCCAATGTGTGTTTACTTGAGCACAAGGCCAGTCAGACTACAGAAAATGTATCAGAGTCACAAACAGGACAATCTCATATTTTGCTCACATCGGTGCAGCAAGATTTCTTTCAATTAATTTTGATGGCTGTGATGTGTAACTTGGCATTTTCTTAAAACATACCTACCGGATACATGGAGACCCAAATTATGTGCAAGATGGTATTTGAATGACGTCAATATTGTCACATTCCTTACTGTGATCTTGGCACACGACAGTTCTGAATAAGTAAAATGATGGAGCGCTGTGGTCCAATGGTTACGGTGTTTGACTCACGTGTCAAGGTACGTGGGTTCGAACCCTGACGGGAAACATGGTGCTTGTGTTCTTGGGCAAGACACTTACTACAATTGCCTCTCTCCACCCAGGAGTATAAATGGGTACCTAAGAAGGTAGAGACCAGACTGCGCTGATCTCGAGCTGCTGCAAAAACTGGTCTCATGACCTGATGAACAGGGGTACTATAAATGTGGAGCGCTTTGAGACCTTTAATATAAAGCGCTATGTAAGCACTTATTATGTTTCTGAGTCGTTTCCCTACCTGTTCAAAGAGAAGTCTGTTGACCACAATGTTGTTGTCATTCCTGGCCATCTGCCTGGCCAGAAATGTGAAGAGACATCCCACCTGGGCAGGCTAGGACAAAATAAAGACAACTTTTGATATTTTTCATCTGCCGAAGAAACATAAAATAGCTACATTTGAAAATAACACAACTTCTATAAACTGCTATCTAACTGCACATAACTGTTAAACATAATTTGAAACAAACATAGGGCTGTTTCGGCAACGCTGTTTTTTTTGTAAAGTACAACCTAGCCAAAGACTGACATCGTTGAAAGCAAGTTCACATCTTTTTCCACTTTCAAATTATTACACACTTCCGGTTTGGACCGGAAGGAAGGGTCACATGATTTATCACACATTAGATAAAATGAAGATCCTGGATTACTCTATCAATTTCAGCAAACGTCAAGTTCAGGTCTCTCACGGTTGATTTTTTATTGATTTCCAAAGATTAAATCTATTAATATTTAACGTGACGTCACATGACCCATGATGAAGGCATCGTGAGGTCACTTCAATTTTCATCTATAATACATCCCGGTCTAGGTGAATAATAACTTTCAACACAATCGGACCTGTCGTTCTGTAGATACAGGCATTCAAAATATGCACTTTTAATGTGATGTCACGTATCTCGCGATGACGTCATGATGACGTCAATGTTCGGCGCCCATCTGTGAGTGGCGGTCTAAATGTGTTCCAGGTATAAAAGCAATCGGACTAATTTTAGTGCCCCCAAAGTGCGTTAACGAAAACAAAGGCTGTTTCGGCATGTTTTCCGAAACAGCCAAAAGCAGGCCTCAATAGTTTCTCCTGTCGTCCTCTGTTTCCCCTCTTACACAGTTTCCAGGCATAAAGTAGTTGATATACACTGATGAAAGCGTTAAACTTATTGTTCACTTGATATTTGAAGTAATTAATTTACTTATCAACGAATCTAATCGAAACTACTAACCGAGAAGCCTACGCTTTCCACCATGACTTGGAGTAGGATGTCTACGATTCGTTGCTTAGATTGCAAGCCAGCAGCATAGGAACTGTCACAAGAGAAGGATTCAGGATGGATAAATAAATAAAGAAATTTAAGAACTTTAAAAGGGGATAAATTAATTCTTTGGTTTCTTTCATTTTGGACATTAAAATCCGGAACATTCTGCCAAGCGTTTTGAAAAAAATCCATTTGCAGTCAATTTCAGACATCCTTTCTTAACCCACTTAATCCTTTAAACTGCACCACGAGGTTTTTTTCTTTAAGGATTTTGCAGGACAGCAGATACAAGCCACTTGTACTTTAAGTGGGACTTGCTGTCCCTTGCAGGTTTAAGGAGACGAAGGAGACATTGGTTTCCTACACAGTTTTGGGTATTGGAGGATTGAGAAGGGTTTCTAAGAAAAAAATATCTTAAGGGTTTTAGTAAAGGGCACTTCCATAAAATCCAATTCTCTGTGTACAAATGTACGTCCAACCACATGATGTACAAGGTCGTTAAGGTGGCGGTACCTTAGTTTGGTCTGTAATTGTTTTCTACTCATTATGTGTCACACTATTAGTGATGTGTCACACTAACAGCAGTTCATAAAAGTGTCTGACATGTATGTCCGAGTTTACGGAATTGCCTTAACGGGAAAATAGTGGCTCTACTGACACTCACCTTCCTTGAGATGCAAACTCCGGTTCCTCAAAGGCAAGAGCAAGAACGTTCAGAAACTCCCTGGTATCAAAGTGAAGCAGGGTGCGTAGGGAAGGGTAGACATGCTCCTCTTCGTTTGCTTCTTTGGTGTGAAGAGCTGTAAGACACTTCCAGACCTGAAACAACAAACAAAAAAACAAAACCAAAACTCATTCATTACTGTTCCCCCCACTATAGGCGCCATGCACAAGCACCCCTTAGGTAAGACAGGGAGAGTTGGGGGACACCACTTGGAAAGACATTCAATTGCCGATGACGCCTGTTGCTTACGCGAAGACGTTTTGGTTTTGTGCTCATTCAGAATAAAAGAAGTTGTGCACACTTTGTGCAATACGCGTGTGAATCAGTTCGTGCACGAGGCGAGCCCCGTTCACAGGGCTCACGAAAGTAGTCAAAAGCGCCCTCTCTTGTTCCCGCACACAGCACATATCAGAATGAAAGGCCCTGGCAGACCCTGGCAAACTGGAATGGTTTAAACATACTCTCTGGTGGTAACATGTCAATGATGGCTTTGAAATTCTTACCCCTTCTTTGACAGATTTGGCAAGATGAGACGGGATGTCACCTAAGGGGTAGGCACGTCCAGCCAGACAACAACTGAAAATAAATAACAACAAAAATATTGAGAATGAGTTTTCTTCTGACAGTCTTACTCCAGTTGAAGGAATTCCTGGCTACCTTCTAGCACAAAATGGACCGTTGGCTATTTTGTTGTTGTCAACCCCCCCCCCCCAACTTTAAATTGGTCTGGCGACTCTCATGTCTTTAGTTTCATAACAAACAAAATTTGTTGTATTTAAGAATCATGACTCTTACCTTATATACACCAGCAGCTTGTTACCTAGCTTAATCTGTTGATCTGTAAACATTGGAAATAAGACAACAACAAAAATAAATAACAAAATACTTAAAGAGATTTGGAATTGTAAGAAAGTATTACACCGATAAGAATGCTGGAAATACCACACCAAAACAGTTATTGTCAAAAAGTGCGCATTGCAAGGGTTGGGTGTATGACAAAATAGAAACGAACATATGGCATTCTCTTTGAGATACGATATAACTGTGTCGATTCTTCTTGAGATTGGTGTTCCATCTTGTCACCATGGCGACCCACCTGTGAGTTGTTTTCCCGATCGGACCGCCTGGCCCAGCACCTTCAGTAAATCTTCCAGTGGGGTGATGTAGTCGTTCATGCCTTTATTGTACACGTAGATGATGGCATCGTACAGACCATGGGACCAACACAGAGACACCACCTTCCAAAAAATCAAGAACATCATATGAATGATGCATATTTTAATAAACAATTTTCCATTTGCCACTTTTTTTTAGCGTTATTGACCCTGTTTATCCCAGCTAGACCAAAATTTGGGACTTTCGATAATATGTATGGAGAGTCCCAAACATAAGATAGTAAAAATATGCAAAACAACAACAAAAATAGACTGGCGCATTGGTCTAATACATCTAAAATACTGCACAAGTTAAGCATGTCAGAAAAGACGTCTAGTACCTAATCTCATTTTCATGCCTCCTGACTACTAAATGGTGCATCTTTTGAAGTCTGGAGCATGTGTCAGTCAGTCCGTTTCAAAATTAAATCAATTAACCTCACACTATTGTGTAAAATATTGTGACAATTATACTATGTATTGTGACCTCATATTTCTCTAGACAAAACAGGAGGTTTCGCAAAACCCTAAGGTGTAATTGAGGCCTCATATTTCTCTAGACAAAACAGGAGGTTTCACAAAACCCTAAGGTGTAATTGAGGCCTCATATTTCTCTAGACAAAACAGGAGGTTTTGCAAAACCCTAAGGTGTAATTCAGGCCTCATATTTCTCTAGACAAAACAGGAGGTTTCGCAAAACCCTAAGGTGTAATTAAGGCCTCATATTTCTCTAGACAAAACAGGAGGTTTCGCAAAACCCTAAGGTGTAATTGAGGCCTCATATTTCTCTAGACAAAACAGGAGGTTTCGCAAAACCCTAAGGTGTAATTGAGGCCTCATATTTCTCTAGACAAAACAGGAGGTTTCGCAAAACCCTAAGGTGTAATTAAGGCCTCATATTTCTCTAGACAGAACAGGAGGTTTCGCAAAACCCTAAGGTGTAAATGAGGCCTCATATTTCTCTAGACAGAACAGGAGGTTTCGCAAAACCCTAAGGTGTAATTGAGGCCTCATATTTCTCTAGACAGAACGGGAGGTTTCGCAAAACCCCAAGGAGTAATTGAGGCCTCATATTTCTCTAGACAAAACCGGAGGTTTCGCAAAACCCTAAGGTGTAATTCAGGCCTCATATTTCTCTAGACACAACGGGAGGTTTCGCAAAACCCTAAGGTGTACATATTGTAACCAACTACATGTATACGTTGAAGGTTGAGGATTGTAATTTTTGTATATCCTATCACCTGGTGTATATCCAAGCTGGCTATATCCATATGTACAATACAGGCCTCCACGTTGTGTATCATCATTCGCGTCTTGTAGTGGTCCACAAAATCCTGCATGACGGCTGGCGTGATGGACGTGAGAGTGTCGTTGAGAATGTACGGCTCTAGACACTCCAGGAAGACACCCTTAGCTATGCTGTCTTGTTGGAAGCGGTCGTAGATTGGACCGAAAAGAATATCCCTAGACAAACAAAAATTACGACAGAATTAATGGCATGATAGGTCAAGGGCAGATCCAGAACACAATTTTTGGGGGGGGGCCCAAAAAAATTGGGTCAAAAAATTACGGCGTGGGGTTTGGGGCCCGCTTAAGGGCCCCGAAAATTTTTTGGATTCTAGATGCTCTGTGGTGCAATCTGAGGCAATTTCTGACCACTTTAACCAATGTTTTTTTTGAGGAAAAGATGGTGGTGTACTCATTGCCTGCCTTTATTGCGATGTCACATAAAAAAAAAAAAAAAATTGGTTTCGTTTTTTTTTGGGGGGGGGCCATGGCCCCCTTTGGCCCCCCCCCCCCCCCTGGATCCGCCCTTGTGATCCGCCCTTGTGACATTTTTAAATGTAAATGGATAGTTTTGTCAATTCTGGAAATGGGATCGAAGGGCGACCATATCCCTGCCAGTCCAAACTCTTTTGATTGCCTTAAAAAAAGGTCAAATTTCAAGCAATTTCTAGAACCAAATTCTTCACAAATCAGTAGAGGAAACGAGTGACTTACTTTCTGCCCAGTAGCTGGCAATAATCCACACAAACAGGCACAACTCTCTGTAAAAAGCAAAGGGGAAAAATCAAATTTAAAAAGACTTTAGATACAAATCATCACTTCAACACTTCATGTCAAACAAAAACAACCGTGAGCTCGGTGGTCGAGTGGTAAGACATCTGCACTAGAAAGCAGGAGGTCGTGGGTTCGAGTCCCACCCGAGTGATTTTTTCCAACTTTCACTCGGGAGGTAACACACTGAGTATACAGTGTTTAAACGTCGGTGAAGGGCAAAACCTAATTTGAAAAACAACTTTCACGAAATCATTAAAAAGAAATAACGATAATCAAAGAAAAGTGCTTTTTATTCAATATTCAACATTATTCATCATTCATAAATACCGAAGACAGTTTACGCATTCCTATTGGTCGAGAGCCCATCACGTGGTCAGTCTTAAACGGATGATAAAGTCAATCTCCATAAAAGGGTTGTTTACATCTTACTCGCCAGCTGAACACTCCATTATTTTGCAGGAGGGATGTTTCAAAAAGCATAAAGTGAATTTGTTGAACAAAATCGGGATGTTTTGAACGAATTATATGATTTTTTTTTACCGAAAAGGTATTTATGAATGGGAATAAATATGTGCTCCACCGGTATTTATCACTCTGTTTAAGACCACTTAGAGTCTGGGTGATGATAATTACCCTCGCCTCCGGCTCGGGTAATTATCAGCACCCAGACTCTAAGTGGTATTAAACAGAGTGATAAAAACCTCCGGAGCACACATTTATTCCCTTATTTAATGCTAAAAAAGAGGCACTGATTCTGATTATTATTCAATAATATTTTTAAAAACTGTCGCAATATTTCAAGATGTTTAATTCCATTGCAAACATGAGGGTATTTTACAAGAAAAAGCTTTAAAAGTAAAAATTCAGAGAATAAATGAGCAAGTCTATCATTTTACCTGGAAATGCTCTTCCAGTAAGTGGATTGCCCCCCTCATGGGACCGTGCTTCATAGAGACATCGACATAGGTGAACAATAAATCCAAGATCTGACAATACAATGACAAATAAAAAAACATATCAAGATAAGATTTTTTTTCTTCAAAATACATCACAATCAAAGTTTCAAAAGTGAAGGCAAATTCTTTCTTGAGTCTCTATGACTCATCAGGTGAACTTACTGAACTACAAACCATGTGGAGCGCTGTGGTCCAATGGTTACGGTGCTCGGCCCATGTGCCGTGGCACATGGGTTTAAACCCTGACAGGGATCACTGGGCTTGTGTTCTTGGGCAAGACACTTTACTACAATTGCCTCTCTCCACCCAGGAGTATAAATGGGTACCTGTGAAGGTAGAGACTAGATTGCGCTGATCTCGAGCTGCTGCAAAACTGGTCTCATGGCCTGATGAACAGGGGTATAGGCCATCAGCCTCGGTCCAAAATTTTGGCCACCAGTATCAAATGAGGGGAATAATCGTCATAGCGATTTTTGGCAAGGTATACACCTCCAGAGTTGGAAAATATGTGATAGCATTGCAGCGATGGCAGCTTTTTGGGTGTTATCACTTTTTTTCAAAATGTCCATCAAAATGCTTGTTAGGCCAAAAAAAAAAAATATTCGGTCTCTGGTCAGACCAAAGTTCCGGAATTGACGCGGCCACGCGGCTTTTTTTTTTTTTTTTCCTTTTTTTTTTCTTTCTTCAGCTTGGATTGTACAGACAAGGTGGGTACTATTTTGCTTTTTTGGTGTCCTCATGTACATTGGTGGCCTCCATAATTTGCCTTGGTGCTTTCGATCATTTGCCTTGGTGCAATTTCCCATTCCTTGGTGCTCTTTGGTAAAAAAAATTGAGGAGGTGCGGAAATAGAGGGCGCTGTTGGAGCTACCGCGGAACATTTTGGAAAAAAAAAAGATCGACGCGCATGCTTAAAATCGACGCGCGCGCTGACCAGACACCGACTTATTTTTTTTTTTGGCCTTACCACTCTAGGGGCGGTATACCTTGCACATGCGCACTATAATCATTTATGCCCTGATTCGATACTGACCAAACCCCCAGGCTGATTACCTAGTAGTAATTGTGAAGCGCTTTGAGACCTTTGGTATAAAGCGCTTATACAGGGTGGTCCAAAAAAACCCCAGAATGGCATACTTCCACTACCCTGAGACTCAAACACATCTACCAATACATGGACAATCTTTTTAGGAGAAAAATGAAACCAAGATCGCCTGATTCGGTCCAGTTGTTTTTGCTCTAGAGCCTATTTTGTGAAGCAATGTGGGGGTCATTGTTATCCCGATGAATTACTAAACCGCGCCCGGGAATTCGACTCCCATTGTAAATGATTGAGGGATTGCTATGTAATAATACCCACATAAAAGAAGTGTGCTTCACAAAATAGGCTCTGCATCAAAACCTACTGGACCGAATCGGGAGATCTTGGTATCATAATTCTTCTAAAAGGATTCTCCATCAATTGGTACAGGTGGTTTGAATCTCAAAATAGTGGAAGTATGCCGTTCCGGGTTTTTTTTTGACACTATTATTATTCTCATGCCAGTGTTTGCCTCTTGTTTTCTTGGCAGAAATGACTTAAGAGTATTCCTTTTTCCTTTGCATGAGATGTTGGGGAGTAATAGTCCCCCAGCTAACACTACTTCCCATCTGTACTCATGGATGGGGCAAGGCAAGTTAGGATAAAGTGGCTTGCCTAGGGACACCAACTATAAGGCCATCAGCTGGATTTGAGCCCCTGATCTTTTGATCATTGGTGACTAACCCTAGCCATGACACCAACCCCTAACCCTAGAAATATCAACTTACTCTTCATTGTATATTGGGAACAGTGATGCAAACTTTTCACATTTTATGAGGCTATAATGTGTAAGACAAGAGGGGCCTGATTTGGTAAACTCCAAGGCCTGGTTGGAGTTGACAGGTCTCACCTTTTGTGCTACTGTCTGACGTCTTTCTCCACTGTTTCCATAGAGACCTGATGTATTAAAGGACAGAAAAAAAAGAATTCCGACACTTGAATACAATTTCCAAATACCAAAGAACAATTTTGATTATTGTTATTTAAATCAGGCTTCCAGTGGTTAAAATAGACAGCGTATTGTATGCTTTCGTAAAAAGTACCCTGATGACTGCGATATTATGTCAGTAAACGTACCCAGATGAAGACAATGTTATTTTTGATATTGTCCTCATCCGGGCAATTTTAACAAGACCGTAGAAACTCACAGTTCGGCGAGTAGAAGAGTATACACGCACTGTTGACAACAACCACAATGGCAACTTCGAGTGAAATTTGCTTCGGTAAGCGAAGAATATTCGACGAAATTCAGAGAAATTAAGACAGTGTCCTGAAATTCATTTCTTGCGGATCAAGTCAGCCTGATGTAAATAATAATAATATTGGATGGCTTTTTTTCTGGAGGATACAAAAATATATTGCAATCGCTATACCAATCTTGCGCTCGTCTTCGACTCGTGCAATATTGTTATAGCTCACACAATATATTCTTATATCACTTCTTACTTTCTTGCTTTTTCAGGATCACAGAAAAAAAATATGATTTAACCTATTTCAAACCCGATATCAAATTATGAGAAAACAAAATGTGTGATTGTTCCATGCTTAAATGCTTCTTTGCACATTGCCAATATCCTCAAAAAGGGTGAGGATTTCTCTTTAAGGATTTCTCACCGACTACCGCCCCTGCTTTGCCGTTGTAGAAAGAATGGGCCAATGCCAAGGCTGCTTTGTACTTGTCGTCCTTCACCAGAATTTCTATTCTCTGTCGATGGAAAAAAAAGGAAATAATATTATACTGATTATAAGGTTGGACTTATTATTGGACTTAGATATTCCCTTATGAAAATCATCACTTTTAAATTAACTCACACTTATCAGAGATACTGTGCGAAAAAATCTCCTCTTTAAAATGGAAAATGTATCAAAACACCATTTACTTTTTTCTGGCTTTCACAATTTAGTAAAGAGTGACTTTAAATCTCAGTCTAACACATTAGGAAAACAAGAAAAGTTGTATTTAAATGGAAGGCAACTGACCTCATTCCAGGCCCTGGTGGTCATGACGTGCAACGACTGAAACAAATTCAGATCAAAACACAAGCAATCAGAAGGTGAAAAGTCTTAGGTGTACCACTTGGGCCAAATACCTAACTTCTAGACACATCGTCTGTGACGTCCTGAATTTCTGTTTCCATCATGCCATCATTTTTAATCCCTCGCAAATTTAAAGTGATCAAACCGACCTTTTAGCTTTATCTGAGCAGAATTTGGTGTCACATGTTCTCCAGTCCAAATTCAACTCACAAGCTATTCAAAATGAGCCTTGACAACGGCATTTCTTTATTTGTTCATCCACTGTAATTTGTGACTGGACTTGTGATGGACTCGACTACGTTCCTGTAGTCAACACACAGTTTTGTAAACACCAGGCTTTCAAGCAGACCCAGGTGAAAAAGTAGAACAGTAGAATCAAAATTTTCAACAACAAAAAGCCCACCAGGACAAAAGCAGGACTTCGGAGGCCCACATCAGGATAAAAGTTGGATTTTGCGGGCTTTCAGGAGTAGTTTTCATTGATGCCCACCCATGTCCACTGCATCATAAGCCTCAGTTGGCATGTTCTGTACTCACAACACTTGTGCTCCATCCTCAACTAAGCTCTTTGAAGTACAGTTGCAGTACTCCTGCGCCCAAGCCCTTCATTGTGTGATTTACATACGACAGTGTGTAACACTGTTATGAAATATATTCATGAGATTTCATTTTTAGGAGTTGTGGGACAAAAAAGTACAAAAAAGTAGGAACTTCCAAGAAAAAGGTAGAAAAAGTAGGAGGTAGAAAAAAAAAATGGGAAAAGTAGGAATACTTGAAAGCCTGGAACAAACATGACATGTGAATATTTTGGGTTATTGTCTATTTTGGATTTATGTGTACGGAGGAGATACCTTAGTTCCTAGGATGACCAGTTGTCCCTTGTGTGAAGCGACGGACTGGTAGCAGGCACGCTCACCAGCCAAAGCCTACAAGAAATCACATAGCAAATATGAACAAAATCCGATGACATGCCATAATCTCAAACCGGCATAGACTGGCATCAGTTTTACTTTGGCCAAAAATGAAGAAGAGAAAGATCAAACTATTATAGATCTTAATAGGCAAAACCAAATTTTGAAATGTTGCAAACTTCTAAGATTTATTGTAAAATGAGGACTGACTAATTTGTAAATATTCAGCAAAAAAATCTGGTAATGTTGTAAAAAAACAGCAGTGTGTTTCAGTTACTTTGAGGGTTGTCTTAGTTTTCTGTACTCAAAACCTTCACGTTACCCACAATACTTTGCATTTCCTTCATAATATTTCATTAGAAAATATTGAACAACATCTGACCAATTTCATGGAGTGCAGCACAGAAAGTTGCTCAGCACAGAAAATATTTACTAAGCAAAACTGGGTTACCAGCAAAAGGACAGGCATGGCTTGTAGCTGGCCCCCTGCTGATTTTTGTTATGCACTCAATTTTGCTAAGCTTTATTATCCACTTAGCACCGACATGAAATTGGGCCGAGTCCACTTGGATAGGGTGGCGGATATGAGCAAACCAGAAAGAGACCTCTCCACTGTGTTCCCCCCTCCCCCTCCCCCCCCCCCCCCCCCAAGGGGTGAGAGTGCAGAGGGGGATGGGATGGGGGTTGGGGTTAGGGAGTGGAGAAGGGTAGGAGGGCTGGGGGTGACAGGAGGGGGTTGGGGTTAGGGAGTGGAGTAGGGTAGGAGGGCTGGGGGTGACAGGAGGGGGTTGAGATGGGGGTTGGGGTTGGGGTTAAGGAGTGGAGTAGGGTAGGGAGCTGGGGGTGACAGGAGGGGGTTGAGATGGGGGTTGGGGTTAGGGAGTGGAGTAGGGTAGGAGGGCTGGGGGTGACAGGAGGGGGTTGAGATGGGGGTTGGGGTTGGGGTTAAGGAGTGGAGTAGGGTAGGGAGCTGGGGGTGACAGGAGGGGGTTGAGATGGGGGTTGGGGTTAGAGAGTGGAGTAGGGTAGGGAGCTGGGGGTGACAGGAGGGGGTTGAGATGGGGGTTGGGGTTGGGGTTAGGGAGTGGAGTAGGGTAGGGAGCTGGGGGTGACAGGAGGGGGTTGAGATGGGGGTTGGGTTTGGGGTTAGGGAGTGGAGTAGGGTAGGGAGCTGGGGGTGTCAGGAGGGGGTTGAGATGGGGGTTGGGGTTGGGGTTAGGGAGTGGAGTAGGGTAGGGAGCTGGGGGTGACAGGAGGGGGTTGAGATGGGGGTTGGGGTTGGGGTTAGGGAGTGGAGTAGGGTAGGGAGCTGGGGGTGACAGGAGGGGGTTGAGATGGGGGTTGGGGTTGGGGTTAGGGAGTGGAGTAGGGTAGGGAGCTGGGGGTGACAGGAGGGGGTTGAGATGGGGGTTGGGTTTGGGGTTAGGGAGTGGAGTAGGGTAGGAGGGCTGGGGGTGACGGGAGGGGGTTGAGATGGGGGTTGGGGTTGGGGTTAGGGAGTGGAGTAGGGTAGGAGGGCTGGGGTGACAGGAGGGGGTTGAGATGGGGGTTGGGGTTAGGGAGTGGAGTAGGGTAGGGAGCTGGGGGTGACAGGAGGGGGTTGAGATGGGGGTTGGGGTTAGGGTTAGGGAGTGGAGTAGGGTAGGAGGGCTGGGGGTGACAGGAGGGGGTTGAGATGGGGGTTGGGGTTAGGGTTAGGGAGTGGAGTAGGGTAGGAGGGCTGGGGGTGACAGGAGGGGGTTGAGATGGGGGTTGGGGTTAGGGTTAGGGAGTGGAGAAGGGGAGGGGGCTGGGTGGGGAGAGGGAAGGGGGTGGGGGTTGGGGCGCTTGACTTACCATAGCTTTACTGACATTCCCTCCTGTGGCTAGCGACTTGAAGTGACTGCTGCTGTATACCAGTTCGATGTCTACCAGGTCCAAGACTTCAAGCTCCTCTTCTGTACGGACATCAACGAGGTGAAGACGCTCAGTGGTATCCACGGTAACCAAGGTCTTGGAGTTGAACCACTGAAATGAAATATTCACATCATTCAGAAGTTATCACTTTCAGCTCTGTGTATGTATCACCTTTTTAAAAAAAATTGACTGCAAGTTTAAAGCGGATTTTGTCAAACACATAATTTATATGTGTTTTGTTTTTGCTTTAGATTGTTTTTCTAAGCAGGATATTTCCAGTCTTTGTAACATTAAGAATCACAAAGTTATGGTAAAGAGTACGTTACATTAGACAAATGTACCCAACGTGTGCACAACTTTTTGTGCATATTCAACAACAAGTTTTTGTTAATTAATGTAGGTACATGTTAGCTTTGTCCATTAAGTGGAAGAAACACCAGGTCATATCTAGACAGCTTCTTTTGGTTGAAATGTTCTACATCGACTGGTAATTATCATCATCATCTAGCGGTCGCACCCGAGATCTCATTCACAACGCCACGCCAGGTGTCTTTATCCCTCATTATGTAAGGAAGGTCTTCAATTTCACATTGGGTGTCTCTGCCAATCACATCAATGTAGTTGAAAGGTCTTCGTCATCTATTAGGGCATGGGAGTCTCCAACATAATATATCAGACATGACCTGGTTTACAGCACAGTAGCAGTGGTAATTATTCCTTGATGAATTGGAGAACTTACGTGCAGTGCTATGAGATTGTATGGTAGATTAATTGACTGTAGAGGCAGTACTTTCACCATGCCTTCATCATTGTACAGCACCTGAAAACAAAACGAAAAATGAAGCATGTAGAAAAACCAATCCATCAAAATAATTTATATTACGACTCATACATATTTATGAGTGAAATACCCTTTTCTCATTGGTTAATATTCCAACACATCAGGGAAGTGAAAGAAGCTATTATGCACATGTGGTGGACATACTGCCCTTTAAATGGTTGGAAGTAGCTGGCAAGCAATGCCCCAAGATCAGCTCCCAGACTCCTAACTATGCAAGTGTGGTTGCTGGTTGTACCAGACTAAATTTTCCTCCAACTGGAAAATTGGTTAGTTTGTGTGGGTAAATTCGCAAGGGCCTTGCATCGACCCCTTTACCTGATGAAAATGAATCACGTCGGTTCTTGCAAATGCTAAGACAGGGTCCACGACACGTGTGACATCTGACGACTGTATGATGGCAAACTGCCAGGCCAGCAGGGGGAGAGTAGTCGGGTCGCCCTAGTAAAATGGAGAAAAGCATACCAAAATTTATGATGGGGATAGTGGAACCAGACGTGAAATTGGACTCCATGCGGATGCAACAGAGGGCGCTGTAAGGCTTAGTCACGAAATCAAATGAAGGACACATGGGCCTTATTTACGAGTTGGCCATTTTTGAATTAACTGTTGAATGGGATGGCACCAAACTATTTATGCAGGCATAATGCAGCCTTATTTTACTCTAATTTTTTTTATACTTGACTTTTAGGGAATGTTTAATTACAAATTTTAAATTATCCATTGAAACAGACTGAATTAATTAGAAAATAACTTGCTTTCATTTCCCTTCGCAAGTTCCAAAATTTAAGATTTTTACCTCACTTTCAATTCACTATGGCCGACTTGTGCATAAGGCCCATTGTGAACTTGGTTGTGCACAAGTACAGCATGTAGTGTATGTATATCTAATGTTCAAATGAATGGACACAACGTAAAGCAAATAGTGTTCTTGCTTGACTGAAAAAGATCTGCCTGTGTGCAATGGCAGCAATGGAGCTCAAGTGTCCTTCAACAGAAGTTATGCCTGGCCCTTTACCACTGAGGACATACCTACGTACATAATCCTCAGACATAGGCTTTTCTACTTCAAATCCTTTCAAGTTTTGCCGAAACACTTTTGTTCATAGAGATAACATCCACGCTTCGAAATCCTTTGAGGCAATCTTCAGTAGAGTATGGATAACATTTTAAACGCTCCACATTTCTTTTCTGTGGTTAAGCTCTTAAGGTTGTTTCACACTAGAGTCTCTCAACCCGGGTTGAACTAAACCCTGGGCGAACCCAGAGCCGCCCGGGTGGAATATTTTATTTTTTTTCAACCCTGCAAAATCAATCTCAGGGTTGGCGCAGGGTTGAAAATTTGGAAGTGTGAAACGCCACACGTTTTCAACTCTGTGGATTGTCACACTTCACTGTTGTCTGTGGTAATGGTTTGGGCAGTAACTCTCTGTATGACACAGTTACTTGAACACTTCACAACCCATCACCTGAAGGGTTTTCAAGGGTTTACATTGCAGTTACCAAAATTCAACATAACTTACATATTAACAGAAATTAAGGTATTTGTCAACATATAAAATGCAGTTATTAAGTCATAAAAGATGAAAAATTACAAGAGCTAAACCGTTTTACCTTGAGTTGTTTTGTGAATAGGACTGTCAGCTTGGGTCGCACACTGACAAGAAAAATCTGCAAAAAAAGATAAGCAAAATAGGGATATGAGGTCTTGATCTTGGGACAAAACCTGGTCAAAATTTGATTGTTTTGCTTGGAGTTCTAGATTGTCTCCAGTAATCCCGCTACCAATACATACAATTGTTTTAATTTTGCACCAAAAAAATTCTTGTCTGACGAAGTAAAATAAAAGTGTCCTTTTCATCAGCATGCGCTTGTAAGACTCCTAGGCCTACATGTGAGACAGAGCAATTCCAGTCCATTAGCCCGCAATGTTCCAAAAGTTCAAAGTTCAAGACACTATCCTGAAACCCTCACCTCCTCAAAACTTTTGTTAAAAAGCTTCCTGAACCCTCCAAAATCCAGCGCTTTGACATAAACCAACGACACATTCTCTGTGCTTAAACTTTCCAGGGACCTCAAGCCCGATTTGCGGCTTGGCTCTACTTTTGTAAATCCTACGAAATCTTCCAAGACCCCCTAATGGATTCTCATGGATCTGTGACGGGTGTCTGTTTATTTAACTATTTTACCTTGGACAGGGTAGCCATTGCTAGTAGAGCCATGTCCTTCATAGGGTGCTGCATGATAGTGTTCATGTGGAGGGGAGCTATGGTAGCCATCTCACCACGGCTAAACAAAATCACAAAAACATGTGTCGGTTTTACTCCAGACGAATTTTACCAAATGAAGAGTGGGATCCAATTTTAATGGAGCTAGTTAGCAGAAACTTTTGCTGGCACTTTTTTTAGCTTAGTGCGAAATAGCTGGGAACCAGTTGCAGGAAATTTATATCCCATGATATCTTGGTTGGTAACCTGCTGCTAAACAAACTCGGCAGTGTTGAGCAAATTTTGTGCTTAGCAGCATCATGACATTGCTTAGAGTGAATCAAATTTATTGGACTAAAAAATGTTTAGCTCTTACAGGACTGTTACATCATCTTAGAACTTAAATTTATCTGGCAAATTACTGACAAAATATGGAAGTTTGAGCTATAAAGATGGGTTATACAAAACAAGTCATGGTAGGTCAGTCACAATTCACTTAGTCTCAAATCAGATTGTAAGCTATTGTAGCGGACTTTACCAGGCGGCGTCTGCCGCTGACTAATTAATGGGCTTCGGCCTCCACGACGAGCGGTAACCGCAGAGGCCTGAGGGGCGGACTCGTTTGGGGGAAGTCTACCTCCAGGCGCCTAGGTCTGCACACCACGCACACACGCTCACCACACAAGGGTAGACACGTCAACGATTATGCACCACACCAGGCTTATATACTTGAACTGGTTGATTTATTCAAAGTAATACACAGGTTCCTATATAGGCGCTAATTACAGGGTTGATTCGTACACCAATGATGATTATCTCTTGGGGACTTTATAATTAAGAATCACAAACAATCACCAATCGGGTATACTACAATAGACATCGGGACCGATAAGCCCAAGACGCAGCTACTCACCCCGCAACTAGGGTTCACGGGGTACAGCCTAATCCCACCAATCCAACAGCCAGCGAGCAACGACAGAGCGTACTTGCTTTCGTCCGCACGGAGCAAGAGCAAGCAGCGGAAAGACGCCCGCGACGCACGTGCAGCGCGCTTAAATACACTGCACGCAGAGCACCAGCGACGTGCACTGCCGCACGGAACGCAGCCCGCGCACCAGCGCTCAGCAGCTACGGAAGCCCAGTGCGCGAAGCAATATTTCGTTACACAGCCGCACCTCAAGGCTGGTCAGTCCCCTTGACCATTCAGCTTAGCAAAACTTTAAAAGAAATATTGCGCCTTAAGTAAGGTGTCCTAAAGTCTCTTAGGTGTTTGTTTAAACAAGAACAATACTGACCTAATTTTAAAAAGTCTTTAAACTTCAGAAAACTACGTAAGGCTTTCTTATACAAAAATAAAAGGCTACAAATCTCTTTCATAAAACTTTAGTTAAATAACATTAAGACCCTATCCTCAAGAGCCTATACAGGTTTAACTTTAAACCTAAGGTCTTTTACAAAAACTCCTTCATAAAACTTAAGTTAAACAACAATAAAACCTTATCCTTATAAGAGCCTTTACAGGTTTGACTTTAAACCTGAGATCTTTTATCAGAAACATTGACGCCTAACGCTAAAATACCTAGAAGGTCGAACTCGGCAACACTAAAAAAGTCCTTCAAGGTGTTAACATCAAACTTAAAAGTTTAAACGTCCCTGTACAGCTATGGTTTTCTGTTCACTGCAACTCCCGCCTGGAAACTGCAGTCGAAGACCCGCTTTGTCTTGTCCTTCGTTACTCTCTCTCCATCCACGTAGACTTCCCGTACGTCAGTCTCTGCCACTCGCCGAACATTGCCGATCATGGCGTCAACTAGGTCGTTATCCTTGTATGGTGTTCCTGCTTGGTCACCCTCCAACCTCACCAGCCTGCACAGGTGTCGACTCTGACCAGGTGGTGCGGTGCCCGGCTCTTTCCCCTTGGTCTCCACTTGATCAGCATAGGGCCGTAAGTAAACAACATCGAATTCTCGAGACGTTTCACCTTTGATTACCTTGTCGTCGCCCTTGTATAGGTAGGTCTCCTTTACCTCCCTCCAGCGGACCATTTGTCCAGGCAGCAGCTTGTTGATCTGGAAGGGTGTGGATGGCATGCGCAGGCCCTCCGTCTCTGCGGCGCCTTCCACGGGATTTTCTCCCAGACCACGAATCAACCTCATCATGCTTAACGGTTTTCCTCCTGGCCTGACAGGTCGCCATTCTCGCTGTGGGCTCCCGGACCCCTCATTCTCCCACATACTCGGTGATGCAGACACCATTATCTCCGGTACACTCTCATCCTCACCATCCGCTGCAGTTGTGGGTATCTCGACCTCTGTGGCCGCTTGTGGCACGTCTGTGCCCAACAAATCACCTCCTGAGGTGTTTCCTGCTGCTACAGATACCACCACCTGTGTAGGTGACTCAGCTTTCTCCTTTGCTTTCTCAGAGCTGGAGAGCTCCATCGCCTCGTCGTCGGGGGCACGAGAGATCGTGGAAGGAGCCTTCACCCTGCGCGCCCTTGTGGCCGGTCGCTTCTCCTCAACCTGGCGTTCATTTGGTGCTCTTGACACTGTTGCTGGGGCACTTTCACCTCGAAGGCGCTTCTTTGATGGCTTGTCTCCGGCATCAGTCGCTCGGCTACGCTTTCTCTCGTTGTTACCGGCGTCCGGGTGGTCACTGCCCCGTCCAGAAGAGCCTGACTTTGTCTCTGCCTTGCGTCTGGCTTCATTATCCCTCTCGGCTGTGGTAGGGTGGTCCTCATGAGAGCGGTGGCCTGACTCTTCGATGTTAGAGCGCCTAGCACGCTCTCTGGATTCGTACGTCTCAGCTCTAATCTGGCTTACTTCTCTCTGTGCCGATGGGTGACAGTCGCGATAGTGGGCCCGTAGGTTATCCCGTCTGTTGTTTCTGTGCTCACATTGCCCACACCAATAATATTCTTGCGGGCCATGCTCCACCTTGATGTGTCGCTCCAAACTGCGCTTGTGCAGAAACACATCATGGCAGGTGGGGCACTCCACTGTCGCTGCTTCATCAAGGTCCCTTGGTGTCTTCTTCGGCGGTGAGTTTCTCATGATGATGACTCTGTCGACAAATTACAGAATGAAATTACGGTTAGTCCTCACTGCTATCTTAAACCTTTAGGGTGTCTACTTTTCACAACTCATTCACTCTCTCCTCACACATCCACGCCTCAGAGGAGGTGATTCCCTGGATTAACCCTACGTAGGTCCCTCTTTCTATGTGTGATGTTACAAGTAACGTTGTGGTTTACGGCGATTCCTAAGTGGATTTCTTCTCCCGGCTACAGGTTCAAGAGTCTCTCTTTGGCTTTCTTCTTGTACATCTAGGGTTTCTGGTATTTCTTGCCCTGGTTCACTAAGCTCCCTAGCTTCTTCCGCTTCTACTTCCTCATATACAGTTTCTTCTAACGCCTCAGCGTTTTCCTCTTCTACTATCTCTGATTCTCCTTCTTGTCTCTGTAGTTGAGGAGGTGTTCCATGTGGTTCTGTCCCATCCCAAGACACGAGTGGGCGACCTTCATAGGGCTTTAGTCGGTCGAAATGAACAACTTTCTTCTTGCCCCGTCGGTTCCTCTGAATTCTGAAAGTGACCTCCGATAGCTTCTTCAAAATAAGGTAAGGTCCCTCCCACCTCCGTTGCAACTTAGGTGACAGGCCTTTTTTCTTACTCGGGTTGTGTAACCAAACAAACTGCCCGGTCCTTAGCGTCGTTGAACTTGTCTTGTGGTCGTAGTATTTCTTCTGCCGCCTTGCACTGTTTTTTAGGTGCTCCCTAGCCTTTTCGTGCGCAAATCGCATTCCTTCCCTTAAGTCGTAAGCATAATCGCTTCTGACATCTCCCTCATCCTTGTCTGAGGAAACCCTAGTGGTCAAGTCTAGAGGCAAGAGCACCTCTCGGCCTAACATTAGCATGTTAGGTGTTTCCCCCGTAGATTCGTGTGGTGTTGCCCGGTAGGCGAACGTTGCAAGTGCCACCTTCTCGTCCCAATCGCGTTGACGTCGATGGGGTTCTATCATCACAGCAACCATACTGAGCAAGGTCCGGTTGAAGCGCTCTATCATCCCATCCGATTTTGGGTTGTATGGTGTCGTACGCGTCTTTTTAATCCCCAGAACCTTGCACATCTCTCCAAACACCTGGGATTCAAAGTTCCTTCCCTGGTCTGAATGTAGCTCGACGGGGACTCCGAACCTACACACAAATTCCATAACTAACTTCTGAGCCACAGTCACTGCTCTCTCGTCAGGCACTGGATACGCTTCTATCCATTTGCTAAAGTAGTCGCCAACGACTAACACATATTTGTTGCCACGTTCAGTTTCTGGAAGAGGTCCAAGGATGTCCAGTGCCACACGCTGCATTGGGGCACCAACTACGTACTGTTGCAGTGGGGCTCTTCGACGTTTAGTAGGCGACTTCTTTGAGGCGCAGGTGTCGCACTGCCTGACAAAGGACCTAACATCGGCATTCATCCCAGACCAAAAAAATCTTTGGCGCACCTTTGCCAGTGTTTTCTTCTGACCAAGGTGTCCTCCTGTCAGTCCCCCATGAAGTTCGTCCACTACCTCCTGTCGATGTGGTTTTGGCACAATAACCTGGTATCTTATCTGCCCGCCATCATCCGACTCCCACCTCTTACACAAGAGTCCTTTTCTAATTTCTATCTGGTCCCACCGCAGCCAATACGACTTCACTGAAGGCGAACTTGATGTAATCTCTGACCACTCTGGTCTAGGTGTGGCAGCAGCCTTCGCCCTTAGGATCCAACCAAGTGTTTGATCGTCCTCCTGTTCCCGTCTCCACGATTCGTGTGCTACTGTTGGTTCTATTGTCACAATTCGTACTGTAGGTTCTTCCACGGGTTTTGTCTCGTCTCCTCTTTGGTTCACGTCGCCTGGATAGGTCTTTGCTGTTATATCTCTGTCATCCATACCACACTGTGGACACGGCCGGCGCGAGAGACCATCCGCGTTTCCATGGGAACGTCCTGCCCTGTGAACTATGGTGATATCGTACTCGCTGAGTACTTGTAGCCAACGTGCTATTTGGCCCAGTGGATCACGGAAGTTGAGTATCCACCGGAGTGCCCCGTGGTCAGTTCTTATGGTGATTTTCTGTCCGTAAATGTAAGGCCTATACTGCTTCAAAAAGACCACAACTGCCAAAAGCTCTTTGCGTGTAACGCAATAGTTCTTCTCTGGTTTGCTCAGGGCCCTGCTTCCATAGGCAATGACTCTTTCCTGTCCATCCACCAACTGAGAAAGAACAGCACCTATGCCTACGTTGCTGGCGTCTGTATCAAGGATGTAATCTTCTTCAGGGTTAGCCAATATAGGTGCCGCTTGGAGCAGTCCCTTGAGCCGTTGAAACGATGTTTCACAATCGTCGTCCCACATAAACTGCCTTCCTTTCTCCGTCAAGCGATGCAGGGGTCGGGCTATGTCGGCGAATCCCTTTACGAAACGCCTATAATATGACGCCAATCCTATGAAACTTTGCACCTCGGTTACAGTTGTTGGAGTCGGCCAGTCGCGTACTACCCGTATCTTCTCTGGATCCGTAGCAACGCCCTCGCTTGATACGACATGCCCTAGGTACAACACCTGCTGCTTGAACAACTCACACTTTTTTGGCTTAAGTTTCAAACCCGCGCCACGAAGGCGTTGAAAGACCACCTCAAGGCGTCTTAGCTCTTCTTCTACAGTCTTGGCAAAGATGATTACGTCATCGAGATACACTAGGAGCATGTCCCATTGGAGGCCCGCCAAAACCCGCTCCATTAACCTCTCAAATGTGGAGGGGGCATTGCAGAGGCCGAATGGCATGACCCGCCAGCAGTACAGACCACCGCGGACCACAAATGCTGATTTCTTCTTGGCCTCGTCGTCCAGCTCTACCTGCCAATACCCCGCAGCGAGATCCAACGTGGAAAACCACTTGGCCCCTGCCAAGGTGTCTAGTGTATCATCGATACGCGGTATTGGGTATGCGTCCTTTATTGTCAATGAGTTCAGGCGGCGATAGTCAATACAGAATCTCTTTGTCCCGTCTTTCTTGTTTACAAGCACGACATTGGATGCCCATGGACTGTCTGATTGTTCTATCTGTCCACCAGCAAGCAACTTCTGCACTTGACGTGTTATCTCATCTTGTTCTTTTGGCGAATATCTTCTCGGTCTTTGCTTCACAGGCGCTGCATCGCCCGTTTCAATGTGATGCTTGACACAGTCTGTCCTACCAATGTCCTCATCGCCTCTGGAGAACACATCTTGGTTTTTCTGCAATAACTTAGCAATGTCGTTGTGGTATTTTTGGTCCACTCCCTGCTTGCATCTGCTAAATAAATCTGCAAGGTGATCAGGAACGTCTTGTGATCCAGCCGCTTGAGAATGTGCACCTTGTGTCTCCTCTATCTCGTCCACCTCTACAGGCGTAAGGTAGCCAGCCATAGTCCCTCTACGGACTACGCATTCACGCCTACCCGGGTTAAACACACGGATCGGCAGAACACCCTGTTCTGCAGTCACCACTGTCCGTGCTACAAGCATTCCCCTGTCGGAAATATCATTCCGGTCAGCCGGTTCGATTACTCCAATGCCGTTAACCTGCACCTTTCCAGTTACGTGCCCTTGCAAAATTGCTTCGTGTCCAGCAGGCACCCTTGTAGTCCGTCCAATGACGATTCTTGCACAAAAAGCTGACCCCATTCCATCACTACACTGCACCCGCTCGCCATTGACGGATAGTTCTAGTGTTCTGAAGTTAAGTGTTCCGCACGTCGGTAGCAAAAAATCCATGCCCAAAATGCCATCCATGGTCGGACAGGCTCCAAATGTTGCATATACAGCGTGTGTAGTCTTTCCTACCTGCACCTCCATCCAGGCGCTGCCCAGTGTCGCTATAACTGAACCATCAGCATTCTTAATGTGAGTTCCATCTGCTTGAAGGTGGGGTCTTCGTTCGGGTGAGATTTTATAATACAATGCGGATGAAAGGAATGTGTCCGTGGCTCCGGTGTCTATCAGCAGTTTCGCATGCTGCCCCCGTATCACTGCAGGAACATACATGCCTCCCTTTGCGCTCGCCTTTGGCAATCTTGTGTTTTTGTCTGCGCGCTCGCCTGTTACTGGTCGTGCGTCTTGTTGTTTTGGCCCTCGTCTCCAGGCAGCTTTCCCTCGGGCCTCTGGGTCGGCTGCAGCCCGTTTCCCGACTTCTTCCCCTCTTCCGCAGTGGCTCTGCAATTTCGTGCGAAGTGCCCGTTTCTACCACACCTGTAGCACACTATGTCCGCCATAAATCGCCGTCTATGATAGGTGTTACTGTCTTCGTCTTGTTTCTCCTTCCGTAGTCCGTCCGTAGATGTTGCCTTTGCAAGCTGGTTTGTCACCCAAGCTCTTGTTTCGACTTGCGCCTCTTGTATGGCCTGAGCTGTTCTCCGGTAAATATCATCGGCAATCCCCTCCAGTCCATGCTGCAGCGTGTCTGTCTCCCCACCGAGAACTCGAGCGTGTTTCTGTCTATGACCACTCCGTTGTTCCTCTATTTTCAAGAAACTCTCCGTCGCCATGGCCGCTCTGATTGCCTCATCGAGCGTATTTGGCCTCGCCCGAAAAATCCCCTCCCGTATGGCTTGGTCCTCAATTGCATCGGAAAAATGGCCTCTCGCTAGGCGGTCTTTCCCCTCGTCTGCAATCTCCGGATAGGCTAGTGTAGCTAGCTCCCTTATCGCCTGACCAAGTTCCCTTAAGGTTTCTCTCGGGCCTTGCCGCCTACAACGAAGTTCCATTAGATGATTTTCGGACAACTGCCCCGGACCAAATCTCCTTTCTAGTCTGTCTTTCATGTCTTCATACGTCATTTCTTCACCAGTCGGTCCGTTACTCAGCACCTTTACGGCTGTCCCCTGCAGACTGGCAGCTAAGAAAACTTTCGCCTGTTTGTCATCCCATTGATTAGCAAGTTTGCAAGCCTCAAAGTGGTGCAAAAAATCTCTCCATGAGGTTTTCCCGTTGTATCTATCCGGCACAATATTTGGGCGGCGAATTGTCGTAGTCGTACGGCTCTCATCTTTCCCCTGATTTCCCTCGTGTCTCCCTTCACGCTTCAAATCTTTTCTAACTGAAGGCTTCTCTAATTGGTCAGTCGTTCTTCCTGTTAGCTGCAAGGAAGGACTCCTCTCCATCGACGAACCAATGTTCATGATGTCTTCACCGCCTACTCCGTCGACATCAATTACTGCGCCCATCGCTGTAGATGATGAAACTGGTGAATTAACTGGCGCCATCATCACCAATGAAGGTACACGACGACTTGTTCTCGGCTTAGGTGTCGGCCTGCTCCTTGGCACAGGTGTAGGTGATGAACTGCTCCCCGTGTCTCCATAGTTCGCCAGCGTCGAGGCCCTTCCGGTATAATCATCATTATACCTTCCTCTCGAAGGTGGTGATTCAAACTCCATCGTCCCTTCCGGTACTCGTGGCCTCTTGACATCTATTTCACCTAACTGCACCCGTAGTTGGTCTAACTCTGAGTGGAGCTGCGCATACAACTTCTCCAACTGCCGTCTCTCTTCAAGGGACCGTTGGCTAATCTCCAACCCCTCAGCCCGTCGCCTCTCATCCAGCGACGCCGTCAGTGGTCCTTCCGCCCTCTGCTGCTGCTGCTGTTGTTCCATAACTCGCTAGTGTCTAATGTAGGTCCTTAACAGGCGATTGATTTAATTTGTCCTATGCAGGTGAAGTAACATTGTGTGTCCTATACAGGTGAAATGATTGTGTCCTATGCAGGTGAAGTAAAATGTGTCCTATGCAGGTGAAGTAAACCCAACGCCTATCCCACTTCTGACACCAATTTGTAGCGGACTTTACCAGGCGGCGTCTGCCGCTGACTAATTAATGGGCTTCGGCCTCCACGACGAGCGGTAACCGCAGAGGCCTGAGGGGCGGACTCGTTTGGGGGAAGTCTACCTCCAGGCGCCTAGGTCTGCACACCACGCACACACGCTCACCACACAAGGGTAGACACGTCAACGATTATGCACCACACCAGGCTTATATACTTGAACTGGTTGATTTATTCAAAGTAATACACAGGTTCCTATATAGGCGCTAATTACAGGGTTGATTCGTACACCAATGATGATTATCTCTTGGGGACTTTATAATTAAGAATCACAAACAATCACCAATCGGGTATACTACAATAGACATCGGGACCGATAAGCCCAAGACGCAGCTACTCACCCCGCAACTAGGGTTCACGGGGTACAGCCTAATCCCACCAATCCAACAGCCAGCGAGCAACGACAGAGCGTACTTGCTTTCGTCCGCACGGAGCAAGAGCAAGCAGCGGAAAGACGCCCGCGACGCACGTGCAGCGCGCTTAAATACACTGCACGCAGAGCACCAGCGACGTGCACTGCCGCACGGAACGCAGCCCGCGCACCAGCGCTCAGCAGCTACGGAAGCCCAGTGCGCGAAGCAATATTTCGTTACACTATTTACATATACTGGCCTCATTTGTGATTTGACTGGATTCGGGATTGATTTGTAACTTGACTTGCGGTAAACTAGGCTACAACTCTGACAGTAAGCACAGGGTGAATATACAGTATTCCATTTGAATTCCTGCTATTTAGAAGTAAATGATACCTATAAGTATTGAACAGACTTTGTCGGGGGACAGAGCTGTTTTCCTGAGAAATAAACAAAATATGAAATGTCAGTGATCCTTTGAGTATATCTGAATCCACCTGGCTGAAATCTACCACACCAACATACTTCCTCATACCTGCCAGAGAAGAGACATCTGGATTCACAGGTCCTCATGCCCATGACTCGCTTGAAACTCATCTCAAAGACAGACCCGCCACTGTCGCTGCATATAGCCATGGTAGGATCGTCACTGAACTAAAATTAAAACAGTTGAGATCAAGGCAATACAGCCATTACAACAAATGAACATGTGAATGGGTCTACACCTCTAAAGGCAATATTTCTTTAAATGTTGGTTCGTACTTAATGCAAATGTTCACATCATAAAACTTACATGGCGAAATTGACTGGAGTTACAATGTTAAACTTTTGCAAATTTGTATGTAGTGCAACCACTTTGTGTGACAACACAATTCGCGTTGTTCGGGTCCTTTTTTAGGGTGAGTAGATGCTGGATATTGAGTATCTGGGATGGTTAAGGGTGAAGGATAGGACACACGAGCGCACCCTCACTGTTGAGGGCTAATTACAGAACTGAAACAAAACTGCTGAAGTTTTAATCTTGAGGTATAGGATTCCTAACTGTTAAACCCGGTCTCTTGATTGATTTTGACTAATGAGATGAATGTGTTCGATTTTTGTCAGCTAGAATAGGAGGATAAATGCCCATCCTTTCTTTGTGCATCCTAAAGTGTTGACCGAAACTCTATCCATTGAGATCTCACAGAAATAAGCCATCACCAGCGTACTTGATATCAGGGCGGTGGCTACAACTTTAAATTTGTAGTCTTACCTGTATGTGCAGCACTGCTGAGCCTGGTGGGTGGGCATCTGTGATGGTTCGTAACAGTTTACCATTGGTCAGATCCCACATGGTGATCTAAAGTACACAAAAATACCAATAAATTTAAAGCCAGAGTCAATCATTTGCAGCAATCCAACAAGTCACTGGCATAATTATTGCTGAAAAACATACTTGGCTGAAAGAAAGTAAGGAGACTAAACTCCCTGTGAAATTATTCTTTATGGCAAGCTGTCATTTTGAAGAAATCAACAAAAGAAGGCCTTTCCAACGGTGCTAAATTAGTAGTTCGTTTTGTTATTCGGCGAAGCGCGTGCAAGAATTGGCACGACACACACGTGCGCGGTTGCTATAATTCGTCGCATCAGTGCGAGCCATCGCGTAGCTGCAATCGGCTAGTGACAACGTGTCTGGGACGCTGGATTCAGGCCCAATTCAAAACATGATTCAGCAACTTTTGATTTGAAATCGAGATCCTAGAATGTTGTTTTTGTCAAAAAATGCAGCTGAAGCTAAGCCGAAACTTCATCAGATTGGTTGTTCAGCATCCTTCTTCAGCTATTGAGCACTGTTGTTGCTTCAAACGAACAAAATGCACAAATTACAAATGATGGACTATACCTTTAAAATATCTTCTTACAATTAACTGGTTGACCGGTCTCGTTGGTGGATGGGTTACCAGGGAGGCATCACCCCTGTGCTTGGACTGTGCACATGTTTGCCACCACATTACAGTTTAGTCATAAATTGAGATTTGTGCTTTACTTCCGAAGGGATACACATGAATGCTTGCACTGTCACTGAAATAAACTAACACAAATACCTCTCAGATGGCCGATGAATGCAAAGGGTCTATGTATGTGCACAGATCTGATACATCACTACCATACTATTTACCTGTCCCCTTGCAAAGCCGGCCAGAAGCCTAGAGCAGTCGTTGTTTATGCCCAACGCAGACACAGCTCCGTACTGCGTTCCTAACGCCGTGCTACCAAGACACCATTTTAACACCTGTTCTGGATCTGAAAGAAAGACATGAAAACATTTCTGTATCTGTATCATATAGTCGGCAAAGCATCCCGGGGGAAACATCACACCAACTCGATGCATACACATCCTTCCTGCCAGAAACACCGGGGCGAATCCCTTCTCTTAGCAATAAGCGTTACTGGGCTCTTTTATGTGCGTTAGGCCTTACACACGGGACCTACGGCTTTGCGTCCCATCTGAAGGACGAGGCAAGAATGGTTAAGTGCTCTCCTTAAGGGCACAAGTGTCTGCGCCCGGGCTCGAACCCACGTCACTGTTGCCTCTGAGACACCAGAACATGAGTCCGGTGCTCTTAACCGCTAGGCCATGACACCCCCCCATGACACCCTGCAGATTAAGTTGCATCGTATCGTTAACTTAATCTGCAGATTTGGAGCAGCTACTGATCAGATTTACTGTCGCATTGCCAAAGTCACAACTGCAGCGCTACAGGATACACTCACTTACGCGCAAGAATCGCATACATACACAAAAATGGCCACACAAAGTTAGAATTTTGCAAGGATTTTTTTTTGACTTACCGAAAACAAGAATAAGACCGTGTGATGTCCCTACAGCAATGTACTGTGAGATGGCCATGGCTGTTGGGCTACCTGCTTGTACGCGATCCTATGAAAATAAAATAAATCATATAATGTAAAAACTAGGGATTTGGGTTGGATTATGTCCATATCAAATGTGATTGTTCTAATTGAGAAAATCCATTTGCTGAAGACAGCCCAATCCTGTGCTCTAAAATTTTCCAGTAATCCAGATATATCTAATGCAAAATTAGTCAAGCATATGTGAAGCTTAAAGTGCAAGACTGAAAATATACATTCCTGAAAATCTCCGGAACTAGCATTGAAGAATCCGAGCATGTGATCACTGTACATTCACGAGGCCCCCTTCAATGGAGAAACCATTGTGCATGCTATTGTACAAAGCAATCGCCCTGTGGTGGATTATCTTAAAGGTACAGTCCATCATTTGTAATTGGTGCATTTTGTTCGTTCGAAGCAACAAACGTGCTCAAAATCTAAAGAAGGGTGCTGAACAACTAACCTGATGAACTTTCAGCTCAGCTTCAGGATTTCGAGAAAAACAACATTCTAGGATCTCCATTTCAAATCAAAAGTTGCCAAATCACATTTTGAATTGGGCCTGAATTCAGCGTCCGAGACATGTTCTCACTGAGCCGATTGCAGCTACGCAATGTCATGCACTGATCCAATGAATTAATGCAACCGCACGCGCGTGTGCGTCGTGTCAACGCTTGCACGCACTTCGCCAAATAAAAAATGAACTACTAAAGGAAATTTCCAAAGGTGCGTCTTTAGACGCATCATTGGAAAGGCCTTCTTTCGTTGATTTCTTCAAAAAGACAGCATGCCAGAAAGAATAATTTTACAGGGAGTTTGGTCTCCTTACTATCTTTCAACTAAGTATGTTTTTCAACAATAATTATATCAGTTACTTTTTGAATAGCTGCAAATGATGGACTATAGCTTTAACAATAGCTAGCACAATACTTTTGCTATGAAAGGGGGCCTACATGTTTGTGATAGAATTAGTAGCATGCCCAGATTGGTCTCAACCAAAAAAGCTAACTGATCTTGAGTATTATTTTTCTGACTTACTGAGGCAGACATGAGCTGAGAGGAGATCTTTTTGAGCACGACATGGCGGATGATAGAGCCATGGACTGGATACTGGACACTCTTCTTTCTATTCCTGCAGGACGAAATATTTGATGAACAACGTTATCAATCGAAAGCACCTTACCATCTACATGTACCTCACTTTCCCTACCCTGTCCCCCTCCACCGCATGCTGCATTGATGCCAAAAGCAGAAGTTAAAATATAGTTATCAGGGTTCCCACAGAAATCATTCAATGAAATTCCACGACTTTTTCCATGGAAAAAAATTAAGGCTTTCCATGACCAACTTCCATGCTGTTTTTGGCATCTGAGGAGCCTTTTTACAATTCACTGGCCAGTCATCACACTGAGACAAGGGACACCACTACCTTTCAGCTTTCAAATTTGACACAAGACCACTGAGCAACACCAAAGAATCACAATGGTGCACTGAACATGCAACAAGTATAGAGGGGTATGCAATAATAAGGAGGACGAGTAATAAACTGAAATGCAAACCGGACAACTGCCACAGCCAAATACCAAGCATCATCCAGTGATGTAGTGCCTTGATGCTGGGCTTTGACCTTAAGGCTGCCTTAAGGCTGGACTTTAGGGCCTTGGCCTTGGCCTCAAGGCTTGAGGACAAAAGCCTTGGCCTTGGCCTTGAGGGATCAGTGCCTTGCAATTTTGAGTCAAGGCTCTTCAAGGCCCATAGATTTGTGCATTTTCCAGATAAATCTGTTTGAAATTTTACCATGGAGGAGGGAAACACCCTATAGATTTGTGTTGGGCACACTTTCACTTTTATAGTTTCATGGATCCCCCTTTTGTTACACTCGGGAGAATTGTGCGTCAATATAGAAGTAAATCATTATTTTGTTTTAGTTAAACCATATTCATGAAGACCTGAACTTATACTTTAATAGATACAATGCAGTCATAAAATATTGTATGTGAACATTTTTATTGCAATTAAAGACAAGTTGTTCTTCTTAATGAGCGATTCGTGATGATGTGTCATGTGACTATAATTAGTTCTATATTAGTGGTCATTTTATAAAACAGGGCCTTGGCCTTGAGGGTTAAGCCTTGGCCTTAGCCTTAAGGCTTGAGGGTCAAAGCCTTGGCCTTCAGGGTCAAAGCCTTTGCTCCAACACTGGCATCATCACATGTGACTTTTGCAGGATTCCGTGACTTAACCATGATTTTTTTCCTTAGAATATCAACATTTAATGACTCCTTATAAAATAACAAAATTCCATGACTTTTCATGATAGCTTGAAATTCCAATATTGAACGAATTTTTTTCCATGACTATGCAAACCCTAAATAATGAAAGGTTTGCGGAAACACCATGTGCGAATAATTTCTCAACTCAGAGCATGGTTCTGATGACTTTTCATGATAGCTTGAAATTCCAATATTGAACGAATTTTTTTCCATGACTATGCAAACCCTAAATAATGAAAGGTTTGCGGAAACACCATGTGCGAATAATTTCTCAACTCAGAGCATGGTTCTGAAAAGAACCAGATCCAGTTCTGGCATCCAAGACGCATACGGGAAGCCATCGAGATCTGCAAGCACAACACAGTTCCGCAAGACATTGGGTTTCACCTCAACGACATCTGGCTCCCACTCCTTCAGACTGATGGGTCTCCTATACCCTAGGTCCTCAGCTATCACCTTAGACTGATGGGTCTCCTATACCCTAGGTCCTTAACCTTCACCTTAGGCTGATGGGTCTCCTATACCCTAGGCCCTCAGCTACCATCTTAGACTGATGGGTCTCCTATACCCTAGGTCCTCAGCTACCACCTTAGACTGATGGGTCTCCTATACCCTAGGTCCTTCCTCTACTGAGACTGCAACCCAACTGTTCCACTTTATTGGGCACACCAAGCTTGCTCTAGGATCCCAGCTACTTGGCATCCACACAGGATGCAACTTCACACTTCACCGATTTCCCTTTTGCTACTTAAGTGTTTACTTTCTTAGAGTTTAGGCACTCTCCTGAAGACGGTCAGAGCATACTGACAGGAACATCAAGTTTATACCTCTGGTTCTTTTCAGAACCATTCCCTTAGTTGAGAAATTATTCGCACATGGTGTTTCCGCAAACCTTTCATTATTTAGTTTCTCCACCATGCAAAGCCTCAAATCTTACTTGTGCAAACCCTGTCAGATGATAATGAAACAGAAACATCAAGTATCAGTTTTTTGGTTCGCTCTCGATATAAGTCTCTTCTCAAAAAGATCAATTTCTTACAATTTGTGTGGAGATTTGCTAGGCGTGTTGGGTTCAGACACAGGCGCTGTGGCATCAGATGCTTGGCTGAAGAGACTCATTGATGGAGCATCCACATCAAAAGGCTCATCATTCTAAACATGAGGGGGAACAAAAACGGCATTTTTTTTAAATAAAAAAGTCACTCCATATGAAGAGTCATAGAAACTAATGTGTACATATGCATATAATAAGTTAGCCTTTCAATCTTTAAGAAAAAGAGTTTAAGTCACATTTGTTTCATCAGTAAAACAATTCATGAATGCAAACTATTTAAAGGAAAATAAGCTAACCATTCAGAGAAAAAAGTTTCTTCAATCTAATTTTCAATTAGAATGACTTGAAATTCATATTTTTCACAGTATTAAGTGAGACCTTCCATTTTGATCCTGGCATTATTTTTCTCATATGATTTTGAGATTTTGATGGTTTTGGAAAAATAACCACAAAAGTCAAAGTTTAAAATATGAAGATATAAAGGATCACTGTATGTTGAACTTTGTACAAAATGTTTAGAGAAAACATGCAAAAAATGTAAAATGAAGTTCACATTAATAACGGCAATAAATTACCTCATTTAGAATGCTATCCAACGTCGGGGCTGTTTCCAATTCTGGGATATCAAACTCATCATCATCAATCTGTGCAATATAAAATATCAAGAGGTCATAATTAATATCAACATGGCAATGTATAGGATATTAATTCTTATTGTTAACACAGTGTGACAGGCTAGCGTGAGCACGCACGGCGTGCTGAATCGCAGGCACAAACCGCGCAGGAAAATCGTGATTTCTACCCCAAGAATCTGTTCAAAATTGCAAAATGGGTGTCATTAGAATTGAGAAAAGTCTGCTTTTGATTGTAAAGGGGATTTTTGAGCAATACAAAACTTTTTTGACTCAAAAATTTGATCAAAACAAAACAGGGGCCCTACACTTCACGATCGCCAAAAATCTTCAGACCAGTCTCATAGGGTTTGTGCACAGGGTGACAAGTGACGGAGCGCTTAACATGCTCAAGTGATGGCCAGATATGGGAATCTTTACTTACAACTCAAATGAAACTAGATAACATAACATTAACAAGACCTCTTCCTACATTGAGGGCGCTCTGTCACCTCCAATGGGAATTTTTCCTCCAAATTTCCTAAGTAATGACTAATGGAGTATCTGTATCTGTATCTGTATGCTACTGCACAAACGCCTATGGTGGGGCTATCACGTGCAGTCAATGTAGGTGAAGCAAATTTACTATATAAAGCAGTATATAAAATTGTATTTTACACTCTATTGCACAATGTATAACTCAGAATCATTACCGTTATGTCGTCGAGGGACAAATCCACCTCTAAGTTCGTGAAATTCTCCATGGAAGCCGAGGTCCTATCGGACCCGTTTTTACTGTCCGCAGTAGTCTCGGCCATTTACCAGAGTGAACCTGGCCGCGTATTCGGCCAGATACCACAGCCGCGTATTCAGCCGTGTATCAGCCGCGTATTCATAAAGTACGGAGGCCAATAACCAACATTATTGATGTGATAAATTTTTATATATTTAATGCGGATTTCATCGAGGAGTGTACCGAAAATGAAGGACGTCAGTATTATGCTTGATGGTCAGATATTTAGGACTCATGGCTTCCTATAAATTATTTTGGTTTCAGATCTAGGGCAATTATGAATCACGTGATACTCGTCTTGAGAAAAATCGTACTAAAATAGCATTTTGCGGAAATTGTACAAAGTGTACCAAACAGTGTAGGAGAAAAAGTCAAATCGCCGATGTCATCTTATAGAGTGAAGGCCCACCTACACTCTATTTTGGTTTCAGGTGTGTGGGTCGTATCTGTCACGTGACAAAGGCTTAACAAAATGGGCTTTCACCGCCAAATTTACATTTATTTTATATTTAGTGCGGATTTCATGAAAAAGTATACCGAAAATGCAACATGACTGAATTATGCTTGATGGTCAGTTATTGAGGAATATAGAGGCTTATATTCCTATCAATTATTTTGGTTTCAGATCTAGGGCAGCTATGAGTCACGTGATGCTCGGCCTTGGAAAATTCGTACTAAAAAATAGCAGTTTGCGGTTAAATAACATTATGCCTAACTTTGAGACAAAGTGTACCAAACAGTGTAAGAGAAAAAGTCAAATCGCCGATGACATCTTATAGAGTGGTAGCCCGCTCACTCTCTATTTTGGTTTCAGGTGTGTGGGGTGTATCTGTCACGTGACAATGGCATAACAAAATGCGCCTTTACCGCCAAATTAACTTTATTTTATAAATTTAATGCGGATTTCAGGAAAAAGTGTACCTAAAATGCAACATGTCCGAATTATGTTTGATGGTCAGTTATTGAGGACTAGAGGCTTCCTATGAACTATTTTGGTTTCAGATCTAGGGCAGCTATGAATCACGTGATACTCGTCCTGAGAAAAATCGTACTAAAATAGCATTTTGCGGTTGTACAACATTAAACTTAAGTTAAACTTCGAGACAAAGTGTACCAAACAGTGTAGAAGAAAATATGAGGTTTACCACTCGCAATCACAGCTGCGGTACTGGAACCGCAACCGATAGTGCATGAAACAGTCATAGGGTGTTACGCATCCGCGTGACGTCATGCGCCAACAGCCAGCGCAGCCGGCAAAAACAACTAGTTAATTCTGGTTCCCAGACCAAAAGATTCTGACTATTCCTGATGAATCTTAGGTCCGGTAGCCTCCGGTAATACAATGTATTACAATTTACGTCACGTGACTAAAACGGGAGGAATTCCTCCTTTTTCCGAAAAATTTCCGAAGTTTGCCGAAGTCGTTTCGTCGACAGTCAGATAGCGCCTGAGTATTTCCGAGTATATAATATAGGTTTAAATAACTGGTAATTGCTTATTAATTTTTTTTTAAAATGAGTTGATAATGAATAATCATTGTTTTCATTCAGAAAACTTGAAATTCAACGACGATTTTGTGCATCAAATATATTCGGATCGTACGGGCGAACTTTTTGCTGCGTCATGTACAATTTTGAATTTGACGACCGTTACCGAGATTTTCCAATACTCATAATCGACATACTCATAAAATATGCGCAGAACAAACATCGCTGGATTTTGTCGGTTTTTTTTGGCTAAAATGATGAAAAATATGCGCCTTTTCCGCACTGAGCCAACCTGACACTTGAAACGTGCACGCATATGATCGAGCGATGATTTTCGGTTCGCTCGGAGCGCGCGCGCCGCGGGCCGGGGGTACGGTACATGCACTAATTGTACGCATGCGCATACTATCATTTCGCTTGTACCGTCCGTACCCCCCGCGGGACCTGCCTACGCTGCTGGGTTACGTGAAAAATAAGCTCCAGCCCCAACCTCGTCCCCAGTGCTAACTTTATTTCCAACCGTGTTTCCAATAGTAAACCCTGGATAGGAAATTTTCTTCCTGTATCCGGCCTGATTGGATACCGCAATTGGCTAGTAATGGATTTTTATCGTGTACTTGGTGCTATATATTCACAACGTGCAGTACGTGTTTTCGCGATCATTCGTCCACGCCTTCTCGAAAATACTAATTTCCTTTCCAATTTGCTCATATTAATATGAAATATGATACTGCATGTTGTCTCGATAAGATCGTAACAGTTTGATTTCAAAAATCGTGTTTTCGTAACTCACGCCGTGCTCGCGCTGCTGCGAATTGACTCTGTTTTTACCCCAGACACCGCATACAAAAACAAACGCTAATGTGTAACGCATATCCAGGCACCAGACTGTTACTCATTTGCATACATGTGCAAAAATCTTGCACATGCAAATGATCCAATACCAGGGTGAGAGAGCAGGTAGTGGTGGGCGCGTACTGCTCGACACCCTGGGGACGAGGTTGAGGTAGTGGTGGGCGCGTAGCGTAATTTTTTTTCCTAGGAGGGTTAGGGGCAATGTCATGAATAATTCAGTTTTTCCTTTGAATCATTGCAAGACTTAGGTTCTCGTTTTATTTTCCCCTTAATTTAAAATTATCTCAGTGATAAATTTGGAGAAGAAAAATAGCTGATGAAAATGAGCAGCGACGACGTGGATTCGAACCAGGGATCTTTGTATCCATAGCTCATCTCGCTATCCACTAGGCTACTGTGTGGTAGCTCGACGACAACCGTTCTTTAAAATGCTTTTGTAACTAGTTGAGTAACTAACAACAATGCTGTTGATGTCATTGTCCGTTCTCATGGATAAACATGAAATATTCATGACATTGCCCCTAACCCTCCTAGGAATAAAAATTACGCGGGCGCGTACCTATAGGGTGCAGACCAGTAAATCGGTCCGAAATTGCCTGCGCCGGCCAAATCACGATTTGCATGCCCTCAAAATCTTCGGTATTTGGGCATGCTGTGGGCCATGAACTTGAGGGTTTGTAAAAAATATAGGTGGAAGCCGTGCACAGGACTGGGAGCTTGCAGTTCTGTGTAATTTTGATGTAATTTGGACCCTAAAAGCGCTCTATTTTGCAATGGAGTGTAGGCATCGTTTTTCAAAATGGCGATGGGCTTCAGGACTATTTTCAGGGGTGATCATCTTCAGATGGAAATTTCTCCTAAAAGTCATCAGTTGACCCCCCGAAAATTGAAAAGAAAATGAAAGATGATGAAATAAGCTTTAATTTGCTGTGCGTCTCGAACACCTTGGAGAGTTGTGAGTATTTTTCCCGAATTTTTGAAGTGGGAGCATTTACCATTGGGGTCTATGGAAGTTTATTTACTGGTCTGCTACCCTAAATGACAACCCAATGAAAAAAATTAGGGCTGGGTAACTAGAGTCCATCCAGCTACGCTGAGAAGGTTTATTGAGGGCAATCAACCGTGACCTCGTAGCCGGCTACGAGGTGGATAGATTCAGTGGCGGGGTATTCTGCAATTGTGCCGAATTCGGTAACAATAAGATCACGAACCACAGATTTTCAGGTTTTTGTAGATCGCAATTTTCTTTCACTTCGGCGCATTGCCAAGTGAACGCGCGCTCGTTCTTAAGAATGCACAACACCGTCAAGTGGTTTAACCAGCTGGTAACCGATTATTATTTGTGCGTCAAAATAGTGTTTATTCGTTTTGAACGTACGCAGGACGGGCATTTACGTCTCATCCAATGAAAAGCTTTTCTTGCCACGCTCCACCCACAGTTACCGCCCACCATGACCGTCTCCTGTCTTTTTTTTTTACCTTTATTATTCAAATTGTTCGCAGCTTGTATTAATCATGATAACAATGCAAGAGGATTCCAACTCGTTGAGCGGTACAAATATCAACATAACAAAAGAACATTCTAAGTGGCAGGATCGGGAACGTTAAATTGGAGTTGTATAGTGTTGTACCTATAGGCGACATATGACGTGATGAAGAAATGCACTGGAAATGTTGTACATTACGTATATATGTGTATAGGACACTCTGTAGTGCACAGCTCAAACTCATGTTGAAATCTTTCGACAAAGTTTGTCAACCATTTTCCTATCAATAAAAGTAAACACAAACAAATGTCTGTTTCTTTGAAGCACTATCGTATAATCTCCGATAAATAAGAACCTGAAATTAACAAAATAAAAGACTTGTTATCAATTATATCACATGTATTATAAATAAATAATTATAAATAAAAATTGGAAGGACTTGCCGAAACTTGGGTCAGCTAAGTTTGTTGATTAGTAGTTTCAGGGCATTGTACTCTTTAAACAGTTTGCATACAAATATTTCTTTTTATTGGAGATTCAGTTAAGGTTAAATTTAAACGTAATGACCCAAACTTTTTTCTAAGCGTCGCTAAACATTGGTGATTTACTCTATAAACCTATGATTTACTGTTTTTAAACTTATGGCGATATGCATTTAAAACAAGTGCCCTCTCCTCATTGATATTCACACGGGCACATTTGTCGAACGTTCCCCATTTCGTGCCTCACTTTCGTCTTGCTTTCAGAGTGACAGTACCTGACGGTGGCCTTTAGCTTTTACAGGCGTACAATGTATATGTCTTGTTAATCTGAATACTGACTGTACCCTGCGTAAGCATTTATAATCCTATGTGCCGTATTGTTGTTCTAAGTAGCGCTCGTACCCTGCCTTAGGCCAAAAAAAAAAAGTCTCCGGTTTCTGGTATGCGCACGCGTCGCCGTAGCCATGCGCGTCGGCAAAATGAAAAAGTTTTTTTTTCAATACAAGATGATGTCTCAAAACCGCCAAACTCACTGGTTTGACTGGAATCCTGCTGCTGCACAATTTTAACGTGTTTTTAGATGGGGCTATGATCGAGAATAAGCTTTATGTGGCCTCTCTGGACTCCCATATATTTGCACTAAGTTTAGTCGGGCACCATTTGCAGTCATCAGCCGACATTTGAAGCCCCCCCCCCCCCCCAAAAGAAAAACAGGTAAAAAAAAAAAAAAAGCTGCGTCGCTGCACCACTTTTGGGGCAAGCTCCATACCAGAAACCGGAGACTTTTTTTTTAGCCTTAGCCTTATTATTTCCTTGCGTTCCGAGTGTATTGTTAATCTGAATACTGACTGTTCCCTACGTAAGCCTTTTTAATCCTACATAGTTTCTATTGTAGCGCCTGTACCCTGCCTTAGCCTTATTCTTTCCTTACGTTCCAAGTGTATTGTAAATCTGAATACTGACTATTGAATACTTCTATTGTAGCGCAATCTTGGCAAAGGTGCAGGCAAACAAAATATGCCCGTGCAGAGAAACCCATGAACAGAGTGTTGAAATAATTCCAAAGAAAAGCCAGCTCTTCGTCGAGGAAAAAAAATTAACAAGGGGTACACTTATCAATAACAGAAAGTAATAATATAGAAAGGAACATGATTGTGGCCACGAGATCCATGACTAAAGGCAGTATGTGCGTCAGTAGGCTTAAATGCTGAGAGGACTCCCTGCAGTGTGAATTCATATACCTGCACTAAACTAATTACGTGCGTAATTCTGTTTGCTTTACCGACTAGATTTTGCTCAAAACACATCATGTACAGTGTACATGTATTTGCAAAACTGCTTCGACCTTCCTCCATGGATAGATTCAGCAGGCATTGTATCAGACAGCTTTAATTGTAAGAGATCCTCTTTTGCTATTTAGATTTTTGTACCGCTGAACGAGTTGGAATCCTCTTGCATTGTTATCATGATTGATACAAGCACAATTTGAATAATAAAAGTAAGGCTGTGGACGGTCACGGTGGGCGGTAACTGTGGGTGGAGCGTGGCAAGCAAAGCTTTTCATTGGCTGAAACGTAAATGCCCGTCTTGCGTATGTCAAAACGAATGAACACTAATGCGGCACTAGAAGTGAGCGACTGAAAGTGAAAGCACGACATCACAGTGAGTTCGTTTTTTAGTCAGAGCTTGCGAGTACTGTACGGCCAGACGCAGTCGGGCTAGGCCTAGTCTAGTATTCAGTATTGGGGTTTCTTTATACGTTACGCTTAGCGATACCTCGTTTGGTTTTTGCATTGGGATTTTTTCTAGAAATTAGGAAAACAATTTTTTTTTCAATTATAAATTATGCAAAACTTGGTCACGGTACTTGGCTAATTATTTGAAAAATATGCCGACTGACACTGTTCACAATGTCTGCCAAAAAATCCCAATGCAAAAACCAAACGGTCCTTTCTGTATACCTCGTATTTCTCAGAGAACACCGAGTAGGTAGGAATGCTATCATCCAGCTTGGATTCACAACCAAAAATGATGTCTGGCTGGTGTTGTGTTACTGCAGCTCCGAACTTTAGTTTGCTGTTTTCCCCTTTGAGCCCATTGCAGTTAATTTGCAGACCAAGTTACTTTTTCTTCTCCGTGTTTCTGCTTGGCTTGGATTTAGATGGCGTTGAAGTATGAATTGGTCTCTCATTACGAGGCACAGGTGAATTTGTGGAGTAGACGGTCCCAGAACGATCTGGTGTCTGTATTGTGTCAAACAAGTTGGATGAATCGACAATGGAAACAGAAGTTGGCGCAGATGATGAAACGTTTTGGGAGTCACATCCGCATTGCCATGGCAATTTACTGTCTTCACATAGGTTTCTGTAACGTTTCTGTAACGTTTATCTGATATTCTCATGCAAGCACAGTGAAACCAGGCACTGCAATGGTCACCTGCAACGGCGTGATGATGGTCGAGCACTTTCTGGTTGCACCTGCCACAAGGATAGAGTAGTGATGCAGAGGGTAATGGAAGGACTTCGGTAGAAGGATCACCATTACTGCGTGCAGATATTTGGGTATTTATTGTGGAAGGAAAATGTGTGATCTTACTTTTCTGTTCCACAACAGCCTTACCGGTACATCTCTGACAGTGGGAATTAACCCGCTCGTCTTCCTCTGGACCGGAGGATGCCAAGTTTCTTTGCAGCATTAAACTGGCCTTGGGGCAAGATTTTACTTGCACAGGATCTCCAGTTTAAATTCCCTAGATGGAATATTTCGGAGGACCACAAACCAAATACCAAGATCTCAGAGCAATGAGTTGTAATCTTGAAGTTGAGTACAGTACATGTGCATGTACACAATGTACATGCATAATTTGGCTTGTACATGCATAGTCTGTTCTATTGATAGTGTGGTCCCTGTGAGTAGAGGTCATTATTGTCTCTTCTGTACAAGTGGCTGTAGATTAATTACTAAATTAGTCTGTTGGGCTAGTTAAAATTTAACACAACCACAAAAACGAAAAAAAAAATTATCGGAAAATTTTTTTGCAACCTGACACCACTTTTTTCTTCATAGGGAATCTGGGACTGAGCCTTGAACATTTCCAATTTTTGTCAGGAAATATTCATAAAATTTTCTTGACTCTCCATCTATTATACACAATCGCAGAAGTGGCGTCAGCCTTGCAACATTTTGTTCTAATTATCTAGAACTGTAAATTAACAATTAAACATAGAGTAGAGAGTCACCCAATATTTTTAAAACTGATTTCCATGGCGGTCCCAAAAAATTACCCTATAACTATTAAACTATAGGTCTACCTCTTAGCAGAAAATGATGTACTCTCAACTATATAATGTCTATTTGACAGACTTCTTCACTTTAAAACTTTCCTTTGTGACTACTCAATCAATTTGTTTTTTTCTTTGTTTCGTTTCAAAGGATAAAGACAAAGACACCATGTCACATAGCAAGGGCAACACCAGCATTGAACTGATCAAAGAAAAGATGAAAGAAAAGCGACGAAAGAAAGCTCTGAATGACAGTAATACATCGTGGTCCAGGTCATTCTCAAAACGTAAAGGTAGGAAGACCCGGATGATATCCAATACACTACAATTGGCTCCAATGATAAGTAGGCCTATAATTGGCCCAAAGTCCGTAATTCATCTCAATTCATTGTCAGCTCCAAAGAATTGTAATTACCTAAAACTAATATTTAAAAAGCAAATCAGACAAGTGTGAATGTACTCAAAGATTGAAATGTTTACAATGGTGCATCTCATTTTACTCAAACATTATGAAATGCATGGTTGTGGGTGTAGAAAAGCCCCTGCTGATTCCTTATGTTACTTGTAACAAACCAGTATTCTTTTGTTACCCACAGGAACAACTGCATCAATCATCCTGATCGCCAGGTTGCGTTCTAACCTGGCTGCTTCCAAACGCGATGCTCAGCAGGCTCGTCAGAATATCTTGGAGCTGCAGCGAGAGAGACAGTTTCTGCAGCAGGCCAACTCTAGAAGGATGGCAGAGAAAGAATGCACTGTGAGCATTGGACTCTTAAACATGACTTGACTTCCAGAAAAATCCTACCTACTTAAAATCAGACAAAAATGAAAACAAATTGTTTCCCTGATTACTGGCTAATAAGCCCTAATAGATTTTAAAAATTGTTTTGAACTGTTCTATCTTTCTTATCTGGCTGCCAGCAACGCTTTGGAAACATCAAACAAGTTCTGTCCAAAGTGACTCCCAGCTTGTTGGATGCCGTGAAATCGATTGGACTAGCCATTGATCTCTGCTCTTCCTTACCCTTGCGGGAGAGTAGCTTGGGACTTATACCGAGGGCCTCCTCGACATCAGATGATGATTCCTTCAGGATTATGCAGAAAGCTGATCAAGGGTGAGTGCGGAGTCCTTGCAGGAACTGCGAGCTGCAGTGAATGAATTAAGCACTTCACCAAGTACTTGGTGATGTGCTTATTGCTTTAGACAAGGGGTTTGCATTTACAGATAGTATGCGAATCAGGTACCCGATTGAAAAAAACCAAAATACAAAGTGTGTACAGTGAGCTGTGAAGCCTTACGGTGTAAAAGGCATTTTCACAATCTTCATAAATGTGAATCTGTGTTGTTGTTTGTTTTTTTCATGTAGCCTGGTTTCCATTTTGAAAATGTCCCATGAATGACATTCGAAACCTTTCTTTTTCATTGTCTGAGAAGTTACTAAGTCATTTGTAAAGTTGATTATGGGTACTCAATTCCATAATCTGGAATCTGGAGTCCAAATACACATTTACAGTCACTTTTGTTCCTTCTCAAAAAGGGTCCATGATACCAATTTGAAAAGATGGATGTTTTTTAAACTTTTGTTATGTAAATCTGTCACATATTGTAGGCAAGCTCAGCTCTCCTCGGCCATTGAGAGTGCAGCCTCTCATGTGATGCAGGCAGCGGATAGCACAGGGAACTAGCACAGAATTGATTCCAGAGTATGGTAACTGTAATAATTGCTTCTTGAATTTTCTTGTTTTGAAGAGAGTGTATCACTATGATTTGAAGTACATTTTATTGGTTATACCCCAAAATAAACAATTTTCTTAAAAACGATAAACTGTCATTGTGCCCCATGATGTCGTTGGGGCCAATACAATGAATTCTAAAAGTGTCGTTTACAGGTTCATGCTTAGGATGTGGGAATTATTTTCAAATAGTTTTTAATAAATGTATATTCATGTTGTTCATGCCTCCTAAGGTAGTTGTAGTTCCAATTCCAGACGTCAGTCCACTCACCTGGAGCCACCAGTGAAGTGTTCCCGCACTAAAAAAAAAAAAAAAAAGCCGCGTCGCCGCACCATTTTTGGGGCAAGCTCCATACCAGGAACCGGAGACTTTTTTTGTGTGGCCTAATCCAGCTCACAGTTAAATAGTTACATATGTTATGTTCTACATGTAAACGTTAAATTAGTTACTCCATATTGCTTTGTGTTAATAAGAAAGCCACAAACAATAAGATGCTAGTGATGCAATCTACGTTGAAAGTGTAAAAAAAATGTACATTTAAAAAAATGGTCACATGCGGAGTTCCCCAAGGATCCATACTTGGGCCCCTCCTATTCTCCATTTATATTAACGATTTTGTGAAATCCTCTGATATTTTCTCATTTATTCTTTTCGCAGACGATAGTAATTTATTTTACACACACCCTGACACTAGTGAGCTCTTTAAGACTGTTAACAAAGAACTAAGGAATGTTTATGAATGGATTAAGGCCAACAAACTGTCCCTAAATATTAACAAAACTCACTTTATGTTTTTCCGTAAAAAGCAAAATATCCATTTACAGGATATTTTTATTGATAACACACCTATTAAAAAAACAGATTGTGTGAAATTTTTAGGACTGTATATTGACCAATCTCTGTCCTGGAAAAAACAAATTAACAATACTTGCTCTGTTATTTCTAGAAATGTTGGTGTTATTAACAAACTTAAAACCTTTTTCCCTCAGAATGTGTTATTCACTCTCTACAACGCCTTAATTCTACCTTACATTAGCTATGGTGTTTTAGCATGGGGGAATTGTGGAATTAGTAATATTAATAGAATTGTTGCCCTTCAAAAAAAAGCTCTGAGAATAATTAACCGTACCGACTTTCGGGCCCACAGCAATCCTTTATTTTATAAACACAAAACACTAAAGGCCAATGATATTTACCTTCTACAGCTTGGGACCTTTATGTACCAGCTTTCCAACAATAACCTGCCTAACACTATCTGTTCAATGTTTTGTAAAAATCAGGATGTTCACCGTCATTTTACTAGGCGTTATCATGATATTCACCAGATCTGGGCTCGTACAACTTTAACTCAAAAATCTGTTAAACATGAAGGCCCCAAGCTGTGGAATTCTCTCCATCCGTCTCTTCAAAAGGTGTCAAATGTGTCATTATTCAAACGCAAATACAAAACCCAATTAATTAACAAATATGTGGTAGAATAATCCCATATTGTAAGACCAAATAACTCTAGTTTTATTTCGTATTACTAGCTCTGTACCAACATGTTTTTGTCATTTAACTCCTATCGTTGTACTTGTACTTGTAATTAATTGTAATTGTAATTGGCTTTCCCGCTTATTTGCGGAAAAGCCTTTGTTTCTGTACTTATTTTCAATTTTTCTTTTTTTTCTTTTTTGGCTTTTCCGTTTAAATGCGGAAAAGCCTTTGTTTCTGTACTTATTTTTTTTTTTTTTTTTTTTTTCCTCTTGGGACTTGCAACCAAAATGCCATAGACTTTGTGCACGTTTTTTTCTCATCGGCACTTTTTGCATAAAGCATACTCATATAACATTGAAACTTTACATAGTCGAAGAACATATAGCAAAGGTCTTTCGTGAAGATAGACGCAATGATGACGTCATCATGGGTCATGTGACGTCATCTTAAAGGTGCATACTTTAGGGCCCTATATCGCGAGCATGGTAAGTCCAATTTGGTTCATACTTGGTATGTAGGTAGACCGGGATGTGTTATAGGTAAAAATTGGAGTGATGTCACGATGACGTCATCGTGTGATTTTATAAGAATTTTTGAAGTTTTGGACCCTCAAACCATATCTTATCAACGGAACATGGTAAATTCAAAATTCTTTTTGCAATGGGTTTGTTAGGTAATGCATACTTGGACCAAAAAAGTGAAAGTGCATGACGTCATGATGACGTCATCAAAAATGCGATTTTTGTATTTCACATATAAGGGTAAGTCTGATCGTCTTGAAACTTGGTGGATATGCAGATACAGTTACTAGTATGCAAAATCCGAAGTGACGTCATGATGACGTCATCGCTTGATTTGTTATAATTTTTTTAAACTTTGACATTTTCTTCTACTTGCAAAATTGTACATGAAATAGGATCATTATTAACTTTAAACTACGCACAGTACAAGGCCCTTCGGTAAAGTTGGTCTTAAACAAGTCACATCATAATGACGTCGTCATTAGTCATGTGACCTCATCTTACAAATTATAATTTAAACATTTTATACCTATCGTTCTAGCAAGCCAATTGGGCTGAAACTTGGCAAATATACAGTTATGTGTATGTTATATTTAAAATAAAAAGTTTCATTACGTTTTTCAATTGACAAGTTCGGAATTATCTTGAATCCGATCAATTACAAACTTCGAAACAAATTTAAAAGAACCAACCTATAGCCAGATTTTCCAGAAATTTAAAGGAGACTTTTTAGTCTAAAACGGACGAAATCACGTAATTCCCGATTTTGGGCAATAATGTGCACGTAGAGCAAGTATTTCTTTCGCCAACAGAGGGCAGCATATACATTTAATGGTTAGTTTTGTTTAGCATTCGGCAGCTAGGGCCAAGTTCGCGCAAGGACTATAGTTGACCAATGGTTAACTAACGTTTGCCCGCACTCTGTCTAGTCAACGGTGGTTGACTACGCTAGACGACTATTTGGAACCAGCCTACTGGGGTTGGTTGCTTCGCTGGTAACCAATAGCCGCGCGCATTCACGACGCTAGCAGAGAGCCAGGATCCAGAAGTTTTGCGATGACATTTTGACCAGCGTTTGACTAGAGACGTTCGCACGTTGCTATTAGTGCGCAGGCGTAAGGTACGTCACAAATCAACCACTAGTCGACTAATGGTCCTTGCCCGAACTTGGCCTATAAATGCAATGCAAGTTAAACATTAAATGTATCTGCTGCCCTCTATTGACGTAAATTATATACTCACTTGGCTGTACTGTACGCACTTGGCTATTGCCACTCAACCGTGTGTGCATGGCTATCGCCGTTGAAATGATTTGCCGCCCTGTATATTTTTCTACTATAGAAGTTAACTACGCCAATGTTATTGATTGCAATGATCTATAGCCCTCTACCCGTCTATTTTATTTACTTTTTTATTAGTAGAAAATGTCGTTATTAGTATTTGAAGTTTTGAAATATAAGGAGTCCTGATTGCATCAGATTGTGCAGACCAGTAGTTGCTCAAAATGGCATTAGTATGGTAGGCCTATATGTCAGAAGAGGGAAAAACATATCTGTATGCTACATGTTGTGGAAAACAATAAATGAAACAGGCAGAATTTCTTTTACTTTAATAATCTTTATTAGACCTTTGATAAGTTTAACAATTGATATCTTAATATCTGGCTGCACATGTTTCTGCTGCAGAGACAAAATGAAATGGTAAATGTATTTCTCATCATAAAAGAGTTATTGATACATGTATGTAATTGAAAGTTAATTAACACAATTGAAATCAATTGTACATCGATTGTTGTACACATGCAATTGGTAAACATGAACAAATTAAATGATTGAGGCCATGGCCAAGTCATATTTGAAGTTATAAAAATGTTAGTAAATGGCCATCAGGTTGATTTTAAGTAAAATGTGATGGCATTATAACATTTATAAGGAATTCTTGCACTGCATAAATTGTAATGGAACTGTATGAGTACCGCTGTCTATAAACAAACCTGGTGTACAAAAAATTTCATTCACTGACAGTTTAACAGGGATGTGATTTACATGTATTATACAAAAACAGTAGAAATTGTTTCAAGTGGTCATTTCTTTGATAGTATTATACAGAATGTGACATTTAATAAATATTTGAAGTGTTTGAAGCATAGGAAACGGGTAAGTTCAGCTCTGAAAAATTGAAGTTGGAAACTGTTAAATACCAATGAAGCTTAACAACTGACTGCTGTGTCAGGGCTAAACATTTGCACGTTTGGAATTATATAACTGCTTGATCGCGATTCCACATTCACGTGCTAGAAATCACGTTTTCGAAATTCACTTGGAAAAAGCTGGTGTGACTTATGTGGCTTTTCATTTTCAAATAATTTAGCATTCTAGTATTCGAAATTGTGTTAAACCGAATATTTGAATATTCAAAGCTTGCTGATCATTTGTTTACACGTGCCAAATTAAGTTGCATACTGCACCAGTTAAATGTTCCAGGCAGAGAGTGCAAGGGTTTTGCCTGCAGTATTCAAAATTATGGGGCGGTCGTTGACATTTTGTGCACACCTTTTGTTGTATGAAAATTATCAAGCACACTTTACTGTTAAAATAACATAACAGGCATTTGTGTAGGGCGTATATTTTTTACTCGACTATTCGAATCATGAAATTGCTTTTCAAATGTTCGGTTGTTGATCAATTATTCGATATATATTCAAAACAGCTCTAGTGAATTAATAATTTCGGAAATAATTATTCGCTGACCTCGATAGCTCTGAATACTCTGGCATCTGCCGACAGGAAGGGTGGCAATAAGGGTTGAGTAAAGAAAGAACTTGATGGCTTCAGAGCAACAAGCTGCAGATTGAAGACTTCAACACATTGTCCTGCATAAAAAAATGTCTGTTAAACTGTTTTATGAATTACAACCAACAGAGAATTGAAAACTTCTTGCTGTTCTTTTACTACCTCACAGTTGGGGGATGTAATAGAAAAGATTTATGTGCCATTTTCATGTAACGGTGAGGAAGATAACTCTACATCCTCCTTACATATGTAACAGTTACACTTTCATGTTACCTATGCATTATTCAAAGAATGTTTTGAATTAGAGTTAACTGTAGTGTGGAGTAATTCCTTAAGCGAAGCACATGTAGTTCAAATCTGCAAGAAGATATCTTTACAACCCCCCCCCCCCCACTAACAGTTACACTTACCTGAACAGTATATCCTGGCTGCTTTATTTCACAGAGGTTAGCTGAATCATCTGTCCTTGCTCTATGGCTGAATAATAGCGGCGTCGCCAGGATTTTTTCTAGAGGGGGGCAAAACATATTTTTCCCCAAAAAATCTTGTATTTCTGAACAAATTCTCGATTTCTCAGTTTTAGACGGGGGCAGGGACATTTTGCCCCCCCCCCCAACTCATTAAATTTACACCACTATGACTTCGCGCCTCTTTTTCTTTCTTTTTTTTTCTTTTTTTCTTCCTTTTTAATTTTTTTGGTTGCTTTTCCAGGGGGGTGGGGGTGGGGGGCAAGGCCCCCCCCCCTCGCGACGCCCATGCTGAATATGCATGAGGTAAAGTAAAAAAATATAACATGGTTTATTTCGGTTGACGAACTCAGTTTGTCAACTTCCAATACCCCTGGAAGCTAAAATCGATTATTCAACCTCAAACCATATTGTATACTATTTGATAACCGTGTTAAACTACCTTCCATGCAGGTTAAACATTTTCCCCCACTTTTCTGCAATAATTTGAACAGTAATGCAAATTCTGATACTATGGGAAATTCATTTCTAATTTGTTATCATCATTTATGGCCGTTTTTTGTTCAGGCCTTAGCAAAAACAAAGTATTATAGAAAACAAAATCAACCACACGTTGGTGACCTTTCCGCGCGAGACTTACACACTCTATAAGCGACAATATGTCGATCCTACATGGCGCTATATTGGGTCCAACTGATTTGCATAAAAATGGCCGCGTGAGGTCGCTGTTCGCGCTGTATTTTTAATGCACTGTACTGCATGCATAGCGCATAGACATTATGACTGCATGCATTACCGCGCCACGGCCGGATAAAAAAACAACTAGCGCCTTGACCAAGGCTATGAATGCTGTCATTGTGGTCGTTATTTTTTCAAAATGATTGTAAATGACCGAAGATGTGAATAATGGCAGGTTGTGCTATGCAGGATACAGGCATGCAACTTTTCCTCGGATCAGCTGATTTCCTCTTTTTTTACTCCTCATGTGTGCCATTGAAAATAGAAAAACACTGTACAAAGTCTTGGAAAGATTTGAATTTCCCCTTTTTTGTGAACGTAAAAGCAACATTTTCTGAGCCTTAACGTGGCAGCTAGATCATAGAACACGCGCAGTCCTTCAATTTTTCAAATGTCACTACGTCACGTTTGAGCAAAAGCGCGCGTGCTTAATAATAATATGACGCAACAATGGAAACAGGCATGGCACATTATAGGGCACATGCTTTGAAGGGCGATACCATTGTCCAGTATGGGTGAATAGCACTGAATACCATGTTTCCTTATGACTACACGTACATGTACGTGAGTGGCTACACGGGCACATGCATTTTGCAGTCGACTGCATGAGCAACCATCACTGTGTAGGCGCGCGGTCGACTAAGTAACCCTTACTGTAGGGCGATACCATTGTCCAGTAGGGGTAAATGGATGACGACATGTGTGCGTTTAACCTGCGAGTGTGCGTTCAACCTGTGGAAGCACCATTGAATAATGTGCGTTGCTTGCAGAGCTGCAGTTCTCAACTGCCCTTTCCAAACAGGCACATTTTCGACTGGCCCTGAACTAGTTTTCCTTAAATCGCATTCATAAATACCTCAGACAGTTTAGCCATTCCTATTGGTCGAGAGCCCGTCACGTGGCCGGTCTTAAACGGATGATAAAGACATGGCTAGCTGGTCTTAAACACTTTTCCAGTGTCACAATAAAATGTGGACTCCTAAATCCAGTGCCTCTTATCGTTTCATTTGTTGAACGTTCACAATCCTCACGTAAGCATGCGCAACACTACCAGGGAGTCAGAACTTTATAGTTCTAAATTCAAAACGCAACGCGCCAGGTGCGTTCTGCGCGACATCGCGCAGAACATGATACGCGCGCGTCAATCTCCATAAAAGGGTTGTTTACATCTTTACTCGCCAGCTGAACACTCCATTATTTTGCAAGAGGGATGTTTCAAAAAGCATAAAGTGAATTTGTTGAACAAAATCGGGATGTTTTGAACGAATTATATGGGTTTTTTTGTTACCGGAAAGGTATTTATTTACCCGCCTCCGGCTCGGGTAATAATTATCAGCACCCAGACTCTAAGTGGTCTTAAACAGAGTGATAAAAACCTCCGGACCACACATTTATTCCCTTATTATATAATAAAATAAAAGTAAATTTGGCGGTAAAGGCCACTGATCTCTATATAAAGACTGGATAGCGGATATGCATACAACATTCACACAGTAGACTTTGCATATTGACCAATTCGCCCCGGTCTCACGAAGATGGCCGCGTATAATACGAACGTTCTACGCGTAAATACGCGCGCGTTGTATCAACAGTTGACGCGCATTTTGGTCACGTACACATATTCTGATGTTCTAAAAGGAACACATTTCCGTAGTGATTATTATTTCAAAAACGCCGAAAAAGTGATTTGCGGCATAATAAAAGTAACCACTACGTTAGAAAAATTGTAGTAAACCTTGGTCAGTTGGTCAGTGGTGGTGGCCAAAATATAAGTCAAGTGAGCCGCGACGTTACAAAAGAAATCAAGCTGTCTATGAACACGGCAACTTGTCCTTTGTAGATCACCAGCCGGTCTCACCAATATGGCGTCAAATTCGTACATTGTGCGGCTCTTTATTAGCTATCCAGTCTTTATATAGAGATCAGTGGTAAAGGCCCATTATGTTATGCCATTGTCACGTGACAGGTACGTACATCTGAAACCAAAATAGATTGTAGGCGGGCCACCACTTTTTTAAGATGTCATTGGCGATTTGACTTTTTCTCCTACACTGTTTGGTACACTTTGTCTCGAAGTTTAACTTAAGTTTAATGTTGTACAACCGCAAAATGCTATTTGTACGATTTTTCTCAGGACGAGTATCACGTGATTCATAGCTGCCCTAGATCTGAAACCAAAATAATTTATAGGAAGCCTCTAGTCGAGTCCTCAATAACTGACCATCAAACAAAATTCGGACATGTTGCATTTTCGGTACACTTTTCCTGAAATCCGCATTAAATATATTAAAATATAAATTTGGCGGTGAAAGCCCATTTTGTTATGCCCTTGTCACGTGACAGATACACCCCATACACCTGAAACCAAAATAGAGTGTAGGCGGCTCACAACTCTTTAACCCTAAAGGGGCCGGGGGGGGGGGGCGGAATCCGCCCCCCCCCCCCCCCTCAACATTTTCCGCGATAGCTTCTAAAAAAAAATTTTTCGCGACCCGAGCTGTTATGACTTTTTAGCCTCGAGCTTTGCGCATCTTTTGATACCAAAAACATAAAAATTGGACCACGGGTTGGCCCGTAGCGAAATTTTTTCCGGCGCTACGCGCCGTGAAAACTGAATTTTTGCATATACATCGTGTACACCGAGCAGAATTGCCATGCATACATATGAATAATTAATTAGCCATAATTCCAAAACCCTTTGACCTATAGTCATGAAATTTCTTGGGCATGTTTAGGAAGAGTTGCTCTATGCATGTGCTGAGTTTCAAAATTTTTCGTCACTCGATGGCCGAGATCTTAGGGGGGGGGGGGCGGAATCCGCCCCCCCCCCCCCCGGCTGAGAGATGGTCAAAATAACCCGGCCCCTTTAGGGTTAATGTTTTCGGCGATTTGACTTTTTTTCCTACACTGCACTGTTTGGTACACTTTGTCTCGAAGTATAAGTTTAATGTTGTTCAACCGCATAATGCTATTTTAGTACGATTTTTCTCAGGACGAGTATCACGTGATTCATAGTTGCCCTAGATCTGAAACGAAAATAATTTATAGGAAGCCACGAGACCTAAATAACTGATCATCAAACATAATACTGACGTCCTCCATTTTCGGTACAGTCCTCGATGAAATCCGCATTAAATATATAAAAATGTATCACATCAATAATGTTGTTTATTGGCCTCCGTACTTTATGAATACGCGGCTGAGCTGAATACACGGCTGAATATGCGGCTGTGGTATCGATATCTGGCCGAATACGCGGCCAGGTTCACTCTGGTGGCCATTTTGCCTGATGTCTTGTGATAGACAGGTACCCTATTAAAACCATGACGAGAACCATAGCGTCGTCCAGGTATCGCACCAAATTTACAATTAATACCTTTGGTCTGGTTTCACTTGACCTTCATAAATTTTCTTCCTATTCTGAGTCCTAACGGAACGGTACCAGTCTCATTATGCCAGTGCAGTGCAGAATAAGTACAAGTGCAACTGCTACATACAACTAGGCTTACAAAAACGGAAGAAAAACTAAAATAATCGGGTAGCAAGAAATGTACGAAATTGTGATGATGGTGAGTGTTGATTTTTCTAGGGACATGGTATGATGGTTCAGTATAGATTGTATTCAATTACTTTATGATGAGCTCCAACATTATGCACAAGTTTTGCACTTGCAAAATGCATGCAGAAAATACACATGTAGTCTAGCCGCCTAAATAACATGGTTTTAAGTCAAAGTTAATTTGCCATGTGCAGACCATGGAGAAATAATGTGCAGACCAACACTGCACTGCACTGGCAATGACACACTGAGTGAGTGAACAGCAAAGAGAATTTTTGACTTGAAAATTTTTAAGTCAGGAGTAGGAAAGAATGTAGTAAAAAATTAGTAGTATCATGATTCATGATGCCATTTCTTTGGTTGTGTACATTACAAATCTGTGGAGAGTTGAGTGCATTTTCAAAGTATTTTCTAACAAAATTGGTAATTTTTCTCAGTCCCAGATTCATGCATTTTCAACATTTTTGCAGTGACTGACCTTCATTGAGGTAATATGTGATTAAAACAAGTGGCGTGAGGATGCAACATTTTTTCTCAGGAGTATTGTCAATGTCAAACAATATTTTATACTGGAAATGATGTCGTAACGATGTTTGTTTTTTGGCAGTGTATATTTTGCCGGAGACGGCAAACCTTTAGTAAACGTTAGTTTGCCGGATATGCACTGAACATGCGCAGTTACTGTTTTTTTGTACTCTAACATTTTCCGGCGACAAGTTTTAGTCTGGCTCCATGCCAAAATTATCGTTGTTACCTCGTATTCACAAGTTGGGATTCAGACCATTTTATAATTTCGGACTTTATTTCCCTTTTAAAAAAAATCCTCCAGAGCCACAAATCTGAAAAAGAAAATGTAATACTCTGCAAAAAATGTTTGAGACATGTTAAAATAATAAAAGAAGAATATTCTTATTTATTTGGGGATGAGAAAAAAAAACTTTAAAATGTGGTGCGGTCGGAATCGAACGCGAGTCATCCTGCTCACTAGAGCCTTTGCATAACCACTACACCAAACGTGCTACACAACTTTTGGTGGGAATTTAATACATCTTATAATTCAGCCCTATTTTAAAGAGTACAGCACCCTCTGTTGATATGGATTGCCGCCGGCAAACCTTTAGTAATCGTTAGTTTGCCGTCATTACCTCCGGCAAAATATCCACTATCTTGTTTTTTTCGCAGTGGCTATCGTTACGGCAGCCGTAACGCATTTCCCATTTTCTATCGTTACGGTAGTACTGCAACTTTTATAAAAACATGAGAAGAAAATATAAAATTAGAAGGAAAAAAAGTGAATTTGAACTTTATGAAATTCGGACTTTATTTCCCTTGTAAAAAAATCCTCCAAAGCCTCAGGTTAGAAAAGGAAAACAATTCGAGTGCAAAACTGAGATGCAAACCCACAACCTCGCGGTGCAAAATCCTACCCTCTATCGACTGAGCTGTCACACTGCTCGCTAAAACGTGGGGAAACAAATAATTATATACCTGCGTGCGTGTCAAAAAAGTATCGTAGAGGGCGCTAAACAACGGCTGCCGTAACGATAGCCACTTCGTTGTTTTTTATTTCGATGAAAAAAACTATCCAACTGTAGGGGCCTACGTGTATTTTTTTTCTCCCCCCCCCCCTTCCCCCCCCTCCCCCCCCTTCCCCCCCCCTCCCCCCCTCCCCCCCCCTTCCTTTTAAACAGTGATATCATATTGTTTCACCTGAAAGTGTAAGTGTAAGTGTTGCCCTTAAAGTATTACAAATTTGGGAAAGAATGTATCTTTATTAGTGGAGGCCTTATCCGAAATTTCAGGACTCTCAACATATCATTTATCGCTTTTGCACAGGATACTGGACTTGGTCAATTGTACGTGGACAGTCTGAATGTCAACGATACACAGCAACTACTGTGCAACCTAAAGTAAGTATCTCACACTGATGTATTGCCCATGTTGTGCCCATTCTTGAAAATCACGCATTCTCGAGAATGGGCATGCACATTCTTGAGAATGTGCAACTGGATCCTTGCTCAATCTTGGCAAAAAATAACTCTTCCAGATTGAGCGCACATTCTTGAGAATGCGCGACAAGATAACGGTCTTGTCGATGCCGAGCACCGGCTGCGCTTGGCAAGTCTAGCTGAATCCTCGTTCACTGATTCTCAATAATTATACTGTTGCAACGCAAGGCGCTGAAAAGTAGAGTGGATATGATAAGTAAAGGCGTATTGATATGGGGGGGGGGGGGGGGCGGACCGGGAAAATATAAGAGACATAATAATACTAGTGCAAAGAATTCTGATTTTTGGGATAATAAAAGCGGGGGGGGGGGGGTGGGGGGGGACGTAAGAATGAAGAATGTGAAGAATGAGAATGAATACTGCGACATCCCATAGTGCTAATGCTATTTCCCATTTAAATTGCCACCAATTTATTGTTCACATCCCACCATAACGTCGCAGAGCTGGATTCTATCTAGTCAAAAGAGCAATTTTGGCAGCTTCTGGACATCGTTTTTTTTTCGTGGCACGCATATGATACATGCAGGGACTTGTAACTTGTCTAGCCTAAACAAAGCACTTCCCAGACTAGTTCCCAGTCCTCCGTTATTACAAAACTTCCCATAAGTGGGCAGAAAAAAGCAATAATAACAGGTTTAATTTGATTCAAATTATCGTAGTTATACGAGTACAGAAGTATAGCACATTTTGTTTCCTCTTTATATGAATTGTTTCCCTTTTAACCGCTATACAATTCATTTAACATAATTATGTCGTGCAATGTTTGTTAAGATTGGGCAAAATTCACAAATTGTGCACGTGATATTCCCACCCAATCTTAAGAATGAGCGCTCATTCTTAAGAACGCGTGCTCGTTCTTAAGAATGAGCGCTCATTCTTAAGAATGCGCGCCCATTCTCGAGAATGTGCATGCCCATTCTCGAGAATGCGTGATTTTCAAGAATGGGCACAACACCCACATCACCCCACGGTGAGTTGGAATTCTTATTGACATCAAGTGACCGTTCCAAATCGACTGTGCTTAATTGTTAATTGTTCCAAACAGTTTTGTTAACCCTAACTGCCCTGAATCCGTCAAAATCCTCTTTGCCAAAGAGGAGGAATTTGGAGGATTGAGGTTACATGGCAAAATGGCGTTACTGATTTTATAGGATGTAGATTGAAATAAATGTTACTACTACTACTAGATAGAATTTCAAGCATAATCCAGGCATATATGGATGCATGGCTGAGCAAAAACAACACAAGGTCTGGCCCTAGACCTTGACACAGTGCATCCTACGAAATCAGTAATGCACTTTTGCCATGTAACCTCACTCCTCCAAATTCCTCCACTTTGGCAAAGAGGATTTTGAAGGATTCAGGGCGGTAAGGGTTTTAATGTGTAAATTTCTCTGTCAGTTAGTTGGGCATTTTAATGTTCAATTTTTTTTAATGTCAAGTAATTCGTAACTTGAATTAAAAAACAAAAATCTCAGGAATCAAATTGAAAGTTTGTAATTATGAGTGCTGTTGTCTTTGTGTACTCAGACAAATGAAGAATGTTGTGATTGGCAGTAACAGACAGAAGGCCAACCTGATGCTGTGTGGTGCTGTGCCCAGGTAAACCGCCCCCTTGTTCTCATCTGCTCCGCCCCTTTTTTTACCACACTGAAACAGGATGTTTTGGACCACATGTGAAATACCACTAAAGTCTATATGTGGGTTTTTGCCTAAATCAAGTTTACATATAGGGCAAAAATCCAATGAAAGTGTACATATCCCAGAAAGTTCACCGTTCACATTTACTGGTAGAAATCATTGACTTATTGATTGTTTCTAGCAGAATCCTTTTGGACTGAAAAAACATTCGCAAAAGTATTTCTATCTAAAAGATAGCACTGTAGATCCATAAACCCTGTATGAACTCTGCACGTGAGATGTAAATTTGCATGTGACAGATTGCTTTGAATCCAAAATGGCCAAACAAGTGATCGCAAATTATGTTACACTAAAAAAGGATTGAATACAGTTTAAAAAAAAACACCACCATTTTTATCTGCCATTCTTCATGTGCGGTTTTTACAAATTGATGTGTTTTTTGCAACTTTTGTTAACTAGGCACTTGTTTTTTTTTAAAACAGATTACTGAACATTATTACAAGTGAAAAGTCCCCCGCAGTGCTAGTGGAATGTGCCATTATTCTTGGAAGCTTCGCTAAAGGGTCAGAGGTCACAAGAAGAAAGCTTCTGGAGGAAGGGGTCCTGTCCATTATGTTACAAGGTAAGGCAGGCCTAGTCTAATCCTAACCATCCCAAATCCTCTAAAATCCTTTTTGCAAATTGGAGGAATTTGCAGGATTGAGGTTACATGGCAAAAGTGCGTTACTGATTTTGGAGAACGCACTGTGTCAAGGTCTTAGGCCGAACCTTGCGTGTTTATGCTCAGCATTGCATAAATTTAATAATAATAATAATAAAAGAACATTTGTAAAGCGTCGGTATCCGCCAAAAATAGGCGCTCATGGCGCTAGCTCGAGGAGAAAGTCAAGTTAAGATTGTGTGATGTGAGAGTAAGCTTGTTTGTACAGGTGAGATTTCATGTTTGTCTTAAATGTTGTGATGGATGGAGATGATTTGATAGCCAGAGGGAGTTGATTCCACACTCGGGTTGACGCTGCAGCAAAGGATCTGTCACCCAACAGAGTGGAGGTCCTGGGCTCGTGAAGCATCATGAGCTCACTGGAGCGGAGTCCGGTGCGTGCTGTTGAGTACGGGTGGATGAGGTCGATGAGATACTCCGGCGCATTGCTGTGGAGGATTTTGAACACGAATAGGCCAAGTTTGTATTTAATTCTGTATGATACTGGAAGCCAGTGGAGATCTGCTAGTACAGGAGTGATGTGAGAATGTTTACTAGTGAGAGAGATTAGTCTGGCACTGATGTTTTGTAGTCGCTGCAAACGGTTTAGTTGATTTAGGTTAATGCCATACAATAGTGAATTGCCCATGTCAATTTTGGATGTGATGAAAGCGTGAACAAGTATTTCAGTTGTGTGTTTGTCAAGATATTTTCGTATGTGTCCGATGTTACGGATCGACATGCAGACTGATCTAGAGATTGATGTAAGGTGAGGTTCCATGGATAGAGATGAATCAAAGATAATACCAAGATTTCTGACTTGATTTGATGACATGATGGTTGAATCACCAACCCTTATGGATGGAACATGAACTTTGCACGATTGCTGCTTTGAACCTATGATGATAAATTCGGTCTTTTCATCGTTGAATTTAAGCCAGTTTTGAGTCATCCAAGAACGTACGTCATCAATGCATGTTTCCATCTGCTGGATTGCTGAATCAACCTTGTGTTGTTGAGGGTCTACTGACATGTATAATTGGGTATCATCTGCATAACAATGATAGGATATACCATGCTTTCGAATGATTTCACCAAGTGGCATTGTATACAGAGAGAACAAGACGGGCCCTAGGACTGATCCTAAATTTAGTCCTTGATTATACTTGAAATCCTCCGCACTGCTCCAAGATGTCACTGCCTCTGCCTCAACATATTGACAGTCATAGCCAGAGGATTTTGCAGGATTGAGGCAGTGGTCACCCCTCCAAGGACCACATGCAAGAAATAATGGAGGAATTTGCAGGATTGCGGCTATGTGCTATTTTTACATGGGGGCAGTAGGAGGATTTTGCAGGATTGAGGCTACATCCTAGCAAAATGGCCTAGGGAGTTAGGGCTAAATTTAATGTTATATTTTTCTTAATTGTATCCTGGCGCAAAAGCATGAGTAACTGATCAGTAGGCTAATTTAGAAATTCAAAACTTACTTGGATCATTACTCCTCAAGAAATTTTGCTGAGAACTTTTCCGACTCATCCAGGTGGGAAATATTTTATGAGACTTTTTCTATTTTGCCTGAAGTAAAACATATTTCATTGCAAGGGTTGTTTTTTAGTTAGTCAAGTTGGAAAACATTATTTTTGATTGTTCGTGTCAAGTCTAAACCAGTTCGAGCCAGGATTATTTCGAAATTGACTGGACCCAGACGTGGGATTGTTTTCACAAACCTCGATGCCAGAGAGGTTCAGGCCGTCATCTGTGGGTAGCACACCCTGATATATCTGGCCTCGCTCATTGCTCGTTTATCCGTCATCTGTTCCGAATACAGCAAAACCTTTGCGTATATACACGTCATTCGATGTGAACTGGTTAAGGGTGTTGGATCCTGGAAAAGGACGTAGTCATAGATTAACCCTAATCCTCCTCAATCCTCCAAAAACCCCATGGCGGTTTTGAAGGATTTAGGAGGATTGAAGATGAATGGTGTTTGAGAAACATGAGGATTTTGGAGGATTAAGGATGAATGGTGTTGAAGAAAATGAGGATTTTGGAGGATTGAGGATGAATGGTGTTTGAAGAAGAGGAGGATTTGGAGGATTGAAGATGAATGGTGTTTGAGAAACATGAGGATTTTGAAGGATTAAGGATGAATGGTGTTTAAAGAAGAGGAGGATTCTGGAGGTTTGAAGATGAATGGTGTTTGAGAAACATGAGGATTTTGGAGGATTAAGGATGAATGGTGTTGAAGCAAATGAGGATTTTGGAGGATTGAAGATGAATGGTGTTTGAAGTAAACATGTAAAGGAGGATTTTGAAGGATTGAGGATGAATGCATTTTGACAGACAGGACTTTCTGATGATTTTGAAGGATTGAGGCGCTGGGCATCCTTCATTGAACACAAGTGCAAAATTATGGAGGATTTTGGAGGATTGAGGATGGTTCTTAGCAAAAAGTGCCTAGGGGTTAGGGTTTAAGGTTTTTTTCTGGTAAAGTACTATGTGTCAGGTTTTCTGGTGGGATGTTAAGTTTTTGATACAGTCTAGAATCTCTCTGTTCCAATCAGATATTTGTGAGACAACTTGTAAGTCTTCTTGATGAATTCTCACTCTTGAACTATCAATTGTTGCTGCGTGGTTTCAAGAAGTGCTGTTAGAGTTGTCTTTGAGTTCTATTTTCATATTACTGAAGCTCTTCAGCATGGTCGCTTTTTGTTCTTATTTGCTACGCAGGATTAGCACACGGCGAGTTGAAGTTTGTCGAAGCCTGTCTGCGTTTCTTGAGAACCATGATGACAAGCCCCTCAGCCCCGACGGAAATACTTCACCAGGTATTAAGCACGAAGGTTTAACCCCCAAAACCACTGGCATGTCAGACTGAATTTTTTTTTTTAACTTTAGACCTCTTCTTCTCAAATAATTCTTCTCACTTTATGCGAAAAGAGATTTATCAAACTTCAGAGTGTCTACATTATAATAAACTAACTGACTTCATGGGAAAAAAATCATCCTCTATGTTGCTGTCGCACATAACCTTTGATTTGCAGAATAATTGTACCTGAAAAGTTTGAAATTTAACCCTTTAGTTTAACTCCCGAGGCATATTTCTAGGTACCTGCCTGAATACTGTTTACAGGATCTAGAAGTGCAAGGGATTAATAGTGGTGTGCCCACTAAGGGAAAGTGACCATTCAGCCCTGGTATGAAAAGGGCTGGGACGGTACGGAAGGACTTCTTGGGAGGGGACGAGCTTACCGGGGGGCCCTTTTCATACCGGGGCTGAATGGTCACGGTCCCTAATAGCACGACCGAAGCCAATAAATATGCATTTCTGTTATGTAACATGGAAATCTATGTGTTCATTTTTGTCTACAGGACAGCACCATCATACCACACATGATACAGCTGCTACCACAATCCAAATGCACCCAAGAATGTATAGCCAGCATACTAGCAACATGTTGTAAGGTAGGTCCAATTGAAAACGGTAACTGAGCTTCATTTCATCTCAGACTTGGTATAGTTTTCGTGGCCGAGTGATTTGGGGCATAGAACTTTTTTGGTCAGTTTGCCGATTGTGGGTTCAAGCCCAGTGTGTTGCAGTGCGTGTGTTCTTGGGCAAGGCACTTTGTCACTCCTTGCTGCCCACCACCCAGGAGTAAATGGGTACCTGTGAGGGCAGAGATGCTGTTTGTTTTTGAATGGGGTATTTTTGTGCCGAATCGGCAGCATCAAGTTGTATACTTCCAGGAAGTTGAGATGGTCTTAGGAACATTTCATTGCTGGTGCAGAAACACTCTTTTCATGTTGTTCTTGGCAGAATTCCGAGCATCAAGAGACGTTATGCAGGCATGGAGCCATCAGTGCACTGGCCCCTCTACTAGACATCAACGAAGATAGGGTGAGTGCTACAGCAGGGGCATTCTGTGATATTCCTATGTACACATTTCAGGGACAAACGCAATCCCTGTTTTAAATGCACTAGTACACTGCATAGGCATATCACATTTTGCAACAAGTATGCCTACTTTGAGATGAGCTAGAAACCAACAAAAAATACGATACCCCCAAATTTGTGGATATTTTGTAGAAAACATGTTGGAGTATAATTTTCATCCAAGTTTGTCTCTAAGATCACCTGATCCACAAGGTCAAACTCAAGGTCAAAGTAAAGGTCAAAAGGTCATCATGCTTGAAAAAGCTCGGACATGAAAAATAATGGTAAATTTAGATTTCTTATGATGTAACCTTCCAAAGAAACCAAGATTTAAAAAATTGGCCCACAGGTTACGGAGCTGTGGTCATTTGAAAATTGGCAGCCACGCCCATTTTTTCCAAAATGGCCCAAAAAAAATGACAGGTGGTAGCGAAAACTGTTGGTCCAATGGCACTAAAACTCAAAATTTCAGCTTTTTCAGCCTAAATTATCCAATACACCAAATATAAACCAATTTAAAGGGGGTGCGGTTTAAACTTTCTAATTTCTTGGGTGATTTGACACGGAATGACCCAGCAACAGAGTTGTGATCAAGTTGTGATCAAAGCATGCAGTCACGGGTCAAGACACAAGCAATTCCAATGAAATGTGACAAAGTAATTCCCTGTCACAGTTCATCCCCTGTTACATGTGACCTGCCTTCACATTTGAATTGTGATTTTGCTTGTAAACTGACTTGTGATTTTGAATTATGATTTTGCTGGAATACAGCTCTTCATCAAAGAATGGGATATGGAGGAAATCAATCATTTAAGTCGATATGGGAATGCAGATGTTTTCGTTCAGGAAATAATTGTAGGCAATTACTGGACCAAGCCCAGTCTAATGTGGCTTTCTTAGATGTAGGTAGCTTTCCAGCACTTAACTGGTTCGTCACTCATCACTCAAATTCTGATGGGAGGCAGGTGGCTCTGAACAACGACGCACATACATTGGGGATAGCCTGACTGTATGATCATGGAGCTATAAAAAAAGGCTCCACGGTATGATCAAGGACAAACCATGCACTCCCACCTATGTGCGAACATATTTATGGTCGTTAACTGATTAAAGAGCCATTTTCTCAGTGGGGTGCTCATGAATACGAACCGGGGAATCCCGGGTTGGCGAAAGCCACATTAGACTGGGCTCGGTCAGCTTTCTTGTGTATCAAAAATATGATTTCTGGTTCTTCTCTGAACCACACAACTCACAAAGAGATATCATTCACAAGGTGTTTCCGCAAACCTCCCATTCATTGATCTGTATTACCCATTAAATAATTTTGGTTTCATATTTTGTCTTGTGTGGATTTTTTTATAGATTCAGTTGCCAACACTACGCTGCTATGCTGCCCTGGCTTACCAGAACAGGAACGTCTCATCTGCAATAGCCTCCAGTAAGATCATTTGTTGTTTAATTTAAAAAAAAAAAAAAAATTCTGTTGCAAACATTTAGAGGAATTTATTTGGCTTAATAAATACCTAAGACAGTTTACCCATTCCTACTGGTCGAGAACCCGTCACGTGGGTGGTTTTAAACGGTTGATAAAACACTGACTGGTTTAAAACACTTCCTTCCTGCACCACTGTGTTCCGCGCCACATCGCACAGTGCGTATCGGGTGGGCACAAATCTCCATAAAAGGAGATATTTAGCACTACAGGTGTGACACACGTACCATGGGCTCCGTGCGCCAACGAAAGAGGGCGCCCTTTTACCAAGCAACGACGTCCCATGGGCGGGACATTTAGCTGGCTGACGTGCACCGTTCCTTGTGTGTACTGCACGTACTTCAGGGGATTTGTAATATGTACACGCAGTGGTATGGCCGTGCGTTGCGGCAAAATTGCAGTCAGGCAAGATGTCATCGGTCGGTCACCCCCAATTGTACTTTCTTTGCCTGTGAGGGGGTACTTGTGAACGGAGAGAATAGGTGGTGTTTCACAAAACATGAGGTAAAATTGTTGAACAAAACCGTTTGAAAATTGTGAATTTTAAACTTGTTTTGACTTTTTGACCGAAAGGTATTTATGAGCATACTTGTTTAGAACTGGCCAAGGGCATATTTATTCCCTTATTGAAGCATGTAGTACTAATATCTTTTTTCATTTTCCTTTTTTCTAGCAATGCATAATGGAGAGAGCTTACTTCAAATCTTCTGTCGACTTCTGAACAGAAACCATTCAGTTGCCATGCAGCTGACTGCAGCTAAGTGGTATGGGTGTTAAAGCTCACAACTTGTGTCCTTATGACGTGGGTTTCCATATATTTCTTCTTAATGACTCCGGTGGATTTTTGAATTATAAAAGAAAAGCAGAAACACAAGCAAATAGCCATATTGCCAAATACATCACAAAGAAAAGTGACTTATAAATCAATAGACCATTATCATGTTGCGGCCATCTTGATTTTTTCCCATTCTAATCAACGTAACCAAAGCGAGGCTGGAGGGAAAAATAGTCTGGTTCCTTTTTGCACAAAAAACATCATTCAGTACTGTGATTGGATACAGGGAACATGACTGTAATGGTGGCAGCATGATAATGGTCTATTACCAGAACAGTGCCTTTTTTTTAATGGCTAAATGTGGAATCTCTGCTTACTGCAGTAGAACATATTGGGAATGGTAAGAAGTTTGGGCCTTTTGCACATGTTCATCCAGTAAATATGGAATCTTTGCTTAAAGAGTCAGTACAGAATGTCTGTGCTAGCATAAGCCACAGAATTCCATCGGACTTAGGACTTAAACCAAAAAGTGACAAAAATGTAATTATTGCGGTGCATGTTTCTCTTGCAGCCTTTCCTATCTGTGCAGAGCTGGGGCTGTGGCAGTTGACGACCCTATCATACAATTCAGGGTGAGTTTAAATTGCCGTACATTGAACAGAAAGCTGGCAGCTAGTACTATTTCTGTAGCATGGTATATAATGCTACTGGATTGCTGCTCATAGACTTTATGTTCCAGCTATGGATGGCACTGAGAGTCAGTGAAGGACGAATGGCACATGCATGTATGCAGTATTGTAGTCCAGTCTATTACAAGTCCTCACAAGCACAAGTCCTCACAAGTACGAGTCATCACAAGTCCATCACAAGTCCTCACAAACACAAGTCCTCACAAGTCCTCACAATCACAAGTCCTCACAAGTCCATCACAAGTCCTCACAAGCACAAGTCCTCACAAGTGCTTCACAAGTCCTCACAAGCACAAGTCCTTACAAGTCCACAAGTCCTCACAAGCACAAGTCCTTACAAGTCCACAAGTCCTCGGCACAAGTCATCACAAGCACAAGAAATCACAAGTCCTCCACAAGCCCTAACAAGCACAAGTCATCACAAGTCCATCACAAGTCCTCAAAAACACAAGTCCATCACAAGTCCTCACAAGCACAAGTCATCACAAGAAGGGAGTAGCCATATAGTCCTAATTGGACCCAAGTGTCCTTCAATATCAAAGCTCTATTAACATTTTGACCATTGAGTGGAACGCAGTGCCCACTTGTGTGTAAGTAAATATTTGCATTAGGTTGACCTGCATCATAGGTCATAAGGACAATGCATGCAGATCATTCTCTGACCCTTTACAAGTATCTGTGTGAGATATTGAGGCAGTGTTGGGGAACACGTCGTATGAAGTCTCTGCCCAAATATTTATGTTCAGTTTAAAACCATGATTTTGTCATTTTCTTTGGCATTGCAGGTTCTCCCTTGCCTGGTCAGAATGTGCAAGAAGGATCGCTCTGTGGAGGAGAAAGTGGAAGGGGCGGAGACTCTGGCCTTCTTAATAGAGGAGGATATTGATCTGCAGCGAGTGGCCAGCATCACGGATCATCTCATCATGACGCTAGCGGCGTTCTTGAGGTACATACCAGAAGCAACCAATAAGAATGTGAGTATGATAAGCTGTTTCAGACTATCAGACCACGTCACCTCTGATGAAATAGCTGACGGTTTTAACCAGTTCACGCCAGAGGCTGTGATAACACGCACTGGCTGTTTTTGTACGCAGGCACGGCTGACGGGTTAAGACGTCAAAATTGCCTCGACTGGCCTCTGGTTGACGTCTAAACACGCTAATCCCTCGTGCCTTTTGTACACACACACAAAGTCTTTGTAGTCTGTGGAGGCGGACCATGTGCTGACCATTGTGTGGGCGGTTTTGCACGGCCTATTGTTGTACAAGTACGCTTCAGTGCACACCTCAGAGTGTTGAAATATATGAGGTTTCAGCGAGAAATATCGCACAAATACTGTTCAAATCACTCTTGCGAATCAGTATTTGTGGCGTTTGGCTGTATATCAGAAGTTGGCTGGGAAATTTTGCCTTTTGAAAATTTCGAATTTTTTGGCAAAAATATACCCGGCGTGAAGTGGTTAAACATCTTTTTCATATTTTTCTTCACGGTACAGTGTTATATGACCATTTTTAAACTTATCTCTATTTCAAGTGATGTAACTTTTGTTTTCAATGTTGGTTTCAAGTTACCCTGAGAGGCAGAATATTCAATTCAAATAAAAATCTAAATATTCATAACATTTATCAAATTGTCTAAGCCCGAAACCTTTCAAAGTAAGATCCAGTGGTGTAGTAAGAACACTGATCCAGTGTAGTCTGGCTTGATCCTGAACATTCAGGACAAATGCCGCGTCGATTTGGAATTGACAACCCTCATGCTTTTCCTAATTGGCGAGGTTTTTGTTCTTGTCTCTAGGAGGATTTAAGTACAGAAATGAAACAGGCCGCCTTCAAAGTCTTCGCATCTCTGGGAGCCAACGAGGAAGACATTAGGAAAAAGGTACGGAGCTCAGAATAATTTCTTTCCTTTATCTTTCGTCTCATAGAGAGATGTCAGATTTTTTTTCAGCGTGTGTTCTTTGCTAGCGCTTTTCTTCAAAACGGTACAATGGATATACATGAAACTTTCACTACAATATGTCCGAAATACATATCTCATTTGCAATTGTTTTGATAATTGCTACATATTTTTAATACTTTCTTTAATTTGGGTCTAGATCATTTTGACTCACCCTGTATGTATATTAACATGCATTAAAGCATCCCTATCTGTTCATTAGATATTTGGATATCTATATAAAAAAAACACAACTTTAACCTTGACGTGCCAACCCACTGCTCCGTGGGTTGAAATCAGAAGACTATCTACGGGAAATACACCACAGGACTTAACTTAACTTTATTTTGGGATTTCAGATTATCGACACACAGAGCCTGATGGATCAAATAGAGATATGTCTGTCGGAAACCAACCCCAAGGTCCAGCTCTCTGCTGTAAGGTGAGAACTCATAGAAACTAGTCTGGGGCTGATTTCATGAAAATTGCCTTATCTTGCAACTCATCTTGGGACTTAAGATGAGTCCCCACTCTAAGATCGATCTTAGCTAAGACACGTCCTAAGACCAATTTCACTAAACACATCTTAAGCAAGACGCGTAAAAACTACCAATTTGATGGCTGTTTCATGTTTGATTGTACCGCTTGACAAAACAGTTGTTGAAAAGAAACACGCCAAACTAACTTCCCCCGTGCACACGTGCATAGAACACAAACTTTCATGCGAAAAATTACTCTACTCAATACATTTCACACGCAAGGTAGTTCTACACAAGATAAGATGGAGTCATTCTTGCTCCCCGTTTCATCACTCTATTTTAAAAAGTCGACTAGTTGTTGGTGTATAATTACATTTTGTAAATACGCTATTTTTATCAAAACTACCCACGTATCAGAAGACATTGCAATGATTTCCAGACGATATACAAATAAACGCACGTATTAATGAGATAAGACAACCCTCAGACCGATCTTAAGTTAAGACGAGTTCAGCCGCGTTGCTAAGTAGGTTTGTATGTGTTAAACTCGTCTTTAAGTTTAGTGAAATTGATCCTAGGACGAGTCACGAGTTAAGACGAGTAACCCTTTCTAAGACGGTCTTAGCGTTTTGTGAAATCGGCCCCAAGCCCATCAAATTCAAGCCTGACACAAAATCAGCCTTTGGAACCAGGGCCAAATCTCATGCCCTGATTACTGTTGTCTTCCAAGCTTATGGTGACCATCCAGTGCGCCAGCAAAGAAAAGTCATGCCTACCCTGCAAACACAGAATCTTGAGTTTGTGGATGAACACATGTGCTCATGCTCAAAGTTTTTGCTAGCCTGTGAAATCCGCTGCGTTATTTTAGAGAGTTTGCGTTGTAAGCAAAGATTGAAGTGGCCTAAAAACCCTCTTACATCGTCGATAGATTGCTTGATCTATAAAGCCGCTTTCACAACTTATTCCTTAATACCTCAGACACATTAGTCTAGTCAGTAAGAAATTTTTACAAAAGTTGATAAAGTGTATTGTCTGGTAGAATCCCTTGCCAAGTTTTGTTTCGTGTTCTCGTTGTGCTCTAGATGTCTTCACAGCTTATCAAGATCTGTACAGCAACTACGAACAAGTTTTCAAGACCACGCTGTCTGGAAACCTCTTATGAAGGTAAACTAAACAAAACTAGAAAATTGTAAAAACCACTTGCACTAGATGATCTTTATAAACCCTCCTAAACAACAGATAAATAAACTAACAAACAAGTCATCAAATAAGGTACAATTTAGCAACAAATTTTATCAGAATTATTACACTTTTCATAATTTAGGTTCCTAAAAAATGGTTTAACTTTGAATGTAATTTAAGTCAACTTATTACACAAATTAGTGCTGAGCATGAAAATAACTTGATGATTTTAGTTGTACATTTGTCTGATTTTTTTAATCGCATCAGTTGTTAAGATTGGGCCAACCAGACGAGCTAATGACGATAGCATCTTCAACACTCTGTAATCTCCTGCTGGAGTTCTCGCCCAGTAAAGAGGTAGGATGCAACTATGAATCGTTAGTCACTGAAACACTACTGAGCCCTAACTTCTTAGACTTCTTTTAGCAAGAAACCTTCCTTAATCCTGCAAAATTAGCTTGCGAGAAAACCCACTGGCACATGCCGTCTACTTCAAGTGTGAAGAGCAAACGTCCATGCCTCAGAAGTGTTGAAAAATACAGAACATTTTTAATGGGGCTCAAATTATTGGAAAAGAAAACTTTTTTTAATTAATAACAATGTTCATGGAAGTTCCTGATGCCTAGAGTGCCTGCTCCTGTGTCATGCTCAATCATTTAAGAGATTTTTTTCTGGAGAAAAAAATGAGCCTATAGTATAGCTCATTGTAACAGTTATTGTCGAAGGTTTACTCATTCGTTCGCTGTCATGTACTCTATCAACCGTGAAACAAAAAATAGCAAGATGACTGCAGCAAAAACTTTTGTACTTACATGTAAGCAACCATAATACTGAAGCCTCTATCTGAAATTACATCGCTTTTTGCTATGAATATTGAAACTTGCATTAGCACAAACAAAATATGGGTCGTAAAAAAATCCCACAAAAACTTTTTAATACATAGACCATGAGTAAAGGTATAGGGGACCAAAAAAAATTCATTTTTATTGTCTGGGCCCTTTTAACTCCAGCCAATTGTTGATGCCGGGGCAGTCGAGCTACTGTGCAAGCTGACCGCCAGCCAGAACACACCGCTACGTCTGAACGGCATATGGGGCCTGATGAACATGGCCTTCCAAGCCGAACAGAAGATCAAGAACAGCATCCTGACATCGCTGGGAACCGATCAACTCTTTGACTTGCTGACAGACTCCAACGTTGACATCCTGATGAAGACTCTGGGGTTGCTGAGGAATCTACTATCCACAAAACAGGTCAGTGAAATAATTCAAATAATTTGTTTTGAAATGGTGTGTTGCCTTCACCCAACTGACTCGGAAATTCTGAAGCAACTGGTCATTTTTACTATTTGAACTTTGTGTCCTGTTTCAGACGTACAATACAAAACAGTCAGAGTTTGTTGAAATTGAGGCATTAGTGTATGGACCAAAAGAAAAATCCTATTTTACATGTATTCCTAATACATGAATTTAAACAACACATCAATAAATATTTTTGACTTAACAAGACAAAGCTAAGTAATTTGTAGTGTTCATCGTTTGTAATCAGAATGAAGTGTGTTTCCCCAAAAAACAGTCGAAAAAAAAAAAAAAAATGATCCTTTTTCTTCAAAATTTGTCCTGAGTCAGTCAGTGTGAGACTATCAACATAGGGCTGGATAGCTCAGTTGGTAGAGCACTGGTTTAGTAATCCGGCGACGAAGGTTCAAACCCTGCTCCAGCAACTTTCTTTGTAAAACCTAATTTTGATAAGAATTTTGTTATATTTTGTTTTGTTTCAGCATATCGACAGCATAATGATGTCACACAACAAGCAAATCATGACGGCGGTCATCATGATTCTGGAGGGTGACCATCCGCCTGATGTCAAAGAACAGGTGTGCTACCATGGCAACAAACCTGCATAAAATCAAATTAAAGCCATGTTTTACAGGATTTCTCTCTTCAAATTTGTTTCCCTTTTGTTAAAGCATTAGTCCCTGAACCATCCCTCACTGCCCAGAACCGCCTGCCTGTTACTCCCTGTACCACCCCAAACTGCCCAAGCAATGTTATAAATTCTTCACGGAATAAATACAATGTAATACAATGTAGTACAGGAGGGAATGGGATAATGCAAAGTGCTCCCTGTGTCATTATTATTAGATTTTATACCAACACATCATATGGTTAATGTTTTCTGTTATTTTCCTGACAGACTTTGTGCATACTTGCCAACATTGCGGACGGACATTCAGCTAAAGACTACATCATGTCCAATGAAGATATTCTGAAAAAGCTGACGTACTATATGGTTAGTTAAATATTTTCATTTGTTCGCTTATTCCTGTGTTGATTTTCAGTCTTGTTCTAGATTCAGATCCTAAGTGGACATGTAAATATTATAGGATGTTTGCCTTTTCAGAATTGAAATGTTGTTTTTACTTTTGTTCACATGTTCATTCCACATGTTATTTTTGCATGTTCATTTCACATTTTCATTTCACATGTTCATTTCACATGTTCATTTCACATGTTCCTTTTGCATGTTTGTTTCATATCTTTAATTTCACCTATTCCTTTCTCTTGTTCATCTCACATGTTCCTTTCAAACGTTCATCTCACATGTCCAATTTGACATATCCATCTCACATGTCCATCTTGACATACCCATCCCAAAAAAATGAAGAAGTGCACCAGCATTTCACCAGACAGTGTAACAAATATCATCAGTCCTTTGCTCGTACCACTCTCTCCTAAAATACAGTCAAGCATGAGGGTCCCAAGCTGTGGAACTCCCTAGATGTTTCTATAAAAAAAATGTATGGAATTTTCCATTATTTAAACGAAAATATCAGGCCATACTACTAACTGGGTATTTAAATTTTATTTAGTCCACTCATTCACATATTCTCACAGGGTTAGGCCAAAAACAAATACTCGGTCTCTGGTCAGCGCGCGCGTCGATTTTAATCATGTGCGTCAACCTTTTTTTCTTCTTCAAATTAACACGGAAGCTACAACAGCTGCGCTTCCTCAAATTTTTGTACCAAGGAGCACCAAGGAATGGGGAAATTGCACCAAGGCAAATTATGGAGGACACCAATGTGTAATGAGGACACAAAAAAGCAAAATAGTACCCACCTTGTCTGTACAATACAAGCTTGAAAAAAAAAAAAGCCACCCAAAAAAAAATAAAAACGCGTCGCCGCATCAATTCCGAAACTTCGGTCTAACCAGAGACCGACTATTTTTTTTTTTGGCCTTACAAGACTTACTGTCCTTTCTGGTTTAGTTTACTGTCTTATTGAATGTGTATTTAGTGTTAATGTAATTGTTAATTAATATTAATGGGGGTCCCTACTCGACAAGCAGTTGCTTCTTGGTGACCCCCATCCACATTTACTTTTCTTTTCGTATAATTATACATGTATTGCGTAGGCACCAATTAATGTGGAAAATAAAGAATGAATGAATGAATGCCACATGTTCATTTCGCATGTTCAATCACATGTTCATTTCTCATGTTAACTTGGCATGTTTTCTGCAGAGGATAGAGCATGTGAAGCTGCAGATCGCCGCAGTCTACTGCATCAACAACCTGGTGTGGACAGAGGAAGACGGAGCCACCGAGAGACAAGCTAAACTCAAAGAATACGGAATTCAGAAGCACCTTCAGGCGTTGCTGGATTCTAGCGACACGGTGCTCTTTGACAAGTAAGTCAGCCTGTCATTATCAACCATTCATTCCAAACCCAAACTTGGTTGTGAAAGTTTGATTTAAAACGTTAAAATTGATGGAAAATAACATAATGGTCTGTTTCCTATTATAGAGTCAAGACAGCACTGCAGCAGTTCTCATCTTGAAGGCCGGGAACAAGACTTGGCTGGAACTGTATCTGATCCCTGGCAGACATTTTGGCATTGGATAATGGAATATCGGTGGTGCAACTTTCAGTGGTTTTCATCGCGGAGCAAGTTCGATCGAGCACAATCAGTTAATCGATGGCTAATTCTTGACATAACCTACACCTTTGTGCTTTGGGGGTGAAAGGGAATATACAACATTTGCAAACATCAAAAAACAAAACTATAACATATTATGAAATACCTTTACTGGACTGTTAGTGAACGACAGTCTAAAGCATCCTGTAAAATCATGGCACCTGGTGTGCTGTCATTTTCAAGAAAAGTGGTATTTTTGATCAATTTCCAACATTGGTCGGCCGACCATCGTTGGAAAAAATTTGTGTTTTTTTTTAAATACTGCCCCAAATTATTTAGTTCGTCTGCCTTGTGTTTGCAATGGATTACACACCTACAAACAGGTTCAAGCCGGCTAGACTGGTTCCCTGACCTCGACGTCTGTAAATTGCTCCGTTTAATCTTATGTGGGGTCAGGGAACCAGACTACAGGAACATGATTGTTTTTTCTTGGTTTTTCCAGCATAGAGTTTTAAGCAATGAGAGAATGGCATCCATTCATGAATAATATGCAAGAGGTTTTGTAAATAAAATATTAGCGAAGGGTTTAACGTTACGGAAGAGTCCTAATGATGTAAATATATTCAAGCAGTTGCACATGTTAAAAGAAGTTCATATTTTAGCTACAAAGGAAAAAATATATAGGAACAAGTGGTATAACAGCAATAGCTTCCTGAGTTTGATCCCTTGAATATTCCATTTTCCTGCGGTGCAGCGTACAGAGAATGGGATGCTCCAGGTTTTCCCAAAGGGACTATTTCACAAATTTTGCAAAAAAGCAATCGGCAGTTTTTTGGTTCCATTTCTGACATATTTCACAAAACTCAAGATTTTCAGGAATATATTTTGGAAAAAATGTTGCAACCTGACGCTACTTCAGCGGTTGGGTTTATGGAGAGTCAAGAACATTTTCTATTTATTTCCTACCAAAATTGGAAATGTTTCCCAGTCCCAGATTCTTGTCTTTTCATTATTTTTGCAGTGACTGACCTTCATTGGGATGATATATGAAGAAAAAAAAAGTGTCAGGTTGCAGCATTTTTTCTGATATTTTGATTTCTGGCAACACTCCAGAGAAAATGAAATTCCACACCTTTGGGATATCTCAACTTTTAGGTATATTAAAAAATAAATCCGCTATTAAAATTTTACTGAATCCTGATTGTTTGTTGGACTTGCTCATTTAAGTTTGTCTTCAGTTTTAAGAGTTGGTCTGCTGTCTTGGTCTTGGGCATTTTAAGGGGCGGCATTTTGGTGAGCTAAGCAAAAGGGATCACTATGAAAGAACTAACAGGCCAAGGGTGGATCGGGGGAAGCTTTTCACGTGAACTGTGGCAAAGGAACTCCTTTCTTTGCTTACTAATGACCAGGGGTGACGTCATGTCTTAGGTCTATTCTGTATCTGTATCGATTTCCTGCAGCAAAACGGATACTGCCACATCCCGTGCCATGGCAACTCCAGCGGGCTGTGGCCGTTTTGCTGGAGGAAATCAATACAGAAACAGAATAGACCCGAGACATGAAAACGTCATGCTTTGTTTACATGTGTGCTTTCCTATGGGAGCCAGGCTGGGATGGTAGCCCCAGATTCGACTACATCACAGGACTAAGGTGGGGAGCTGATGATATGAAGAACAAATACTGCAAGTGAAACTTGCGCATTCCCCCTGGCATGCTGGCAGTTATGATACAGTCAGTTAGAACGGATACTTGTCAGTGTCCTTAACCAAAATGGAAGATTTCTATTGTTTTAGCAATAGTGACCTTGACCTTTGACCTGTCAGCCCGAAAAGCAATAGGCTTTATAAGACTACCAAGAGCAACCCACAAACCAAATGTGAAGTTCCTAAAAAAAGTATTTCTCAAGTTATCGTGCTGACAATGTTTCTATTGTTGTAGCAATATTGACCTTTGACCTGTCGGCCCCACAACTACCAAGAACAGCCCACAAACCAAACTTGAAGTTCCCAAGTAAAGTATTTCTCAAGTTATCGCGTTGACAACATTTCTATTGTTTTAGTAATAGTGACTTTGACCTGTCGGCCCAAGTGATAGGCTTCTTCAAGAACAACTCACAAACCAAATTTCAAGTTCCTAAGTAAAGTATTTCTCAAGTTAGTGTACTGACAAGTGTTAACCTAACCAAAACATGACACACAGACACACACACATTTGTTTTACATACGCTATGTGGACATTCCTTTGTTTTCGTGTAATTAAGAAAACTCGGTACAAAAAATAACTTTACTTAAACTGTGAAAACTCTTTCAACCCCAAATTTGTTTTTTGATTTCCTTGAATGTTTCTCTTCATTCTGCGACGATAACCCTTCTATAAACCCAAAAATGCCTCTAAACCTGTTTTCCAGAGAGGGCAAAACGTTATGTGGACATGTCTTAGTCCACATAACGTCAACACAACCTGCATTATGTGGACATCTTTTGTTCACATGTCCACATAGTGACTGTAAGACAAACTCAGACATACACAAATACAGACCTCCACACATACATACACACAGAAAGAATGCGCTATCGCAATATCCTGCTCCGGCTTACAGCCAGGCGGATAAACAGCCAGGGGGATCAACAAAAATGGCACAGCCTAGGTATGGACTGAGGGAAATGGGCTTTGACATAAGGCAGAGGCATATTGCTCACTCACTTTTTTGAGAGAAAGACATAAGAAAAGTGGAACAAGCCTAATGTTTCTCATTAGTGAACGGATTTAATTGGACTCAAAACAAGCTCCTTCCAAGAATTACAAATGCCTTACAACAAAAGGGGGAATATCAGTGTCATGAGAACAACGCTCACAAAAACGCAATCCAAATATAAGTCTACTAATAGGATATTTCGTCTTCAAGAGTTGTCAAGTAATTCTACCAATTTGGCAAACGCAAGGGATTCAGATGTCTTAATTAAGGCACTCGTCCAAAGGAACAGTCAACAAACAAGAGGGTCATTAACGCAAGGTCCCTGAAATAAGCCATCATGCAGTCAAAACACTAGTTAACTCTACACATTTGTATATCTGGTGTTTAAAAGTTTAAACTTGGGAACTATTGCTTATTTTAATATTTTTTTTTTTGTATTTTACTTAATTTACTTATGGCTTTGTATTTACAATGGTTGTTTTTGCCGCATGTACAAGTAATTCATAATTTTCTGAAAAGGTCAAAGGTTATCCAATGCAAGGTACAGTGTGTAAGAAAAAGCGTAGAAAATCACATTCAGAAATTTTGTGGTTTTTTTAAGTACAGTCTATAAGTAAGAAAAGTTTGTAGAAAAGAAGGCATTATTTTTGCCGCCTTTGACCAACATCACACATTATGAACATTTGTTTTCGTTGAGATTCTACAGGTTTTTTTTATACATATTTATAATTCAATATACAGAGTTATCTGATCACAAAAATAGATGAAATATTTATGATCACCTTCAGGTGAAAAGGCAGTTACTCTTTTTTTTTTTTTTTTTTTTTTTTTACACATGAACAATTGAACATTTTGCATTTTCCCGAACACAGCACATTCGTTTTCTTTGCCAATTATAGTGATCTGTTTTACACACTAATACTCTTCTAAAAAAGACTTGCATTTGTTTATCTTTCACAAAAACTGACAGAAATACACTAATGTTTCCTCTTCTCTGCGTTCAATACAAGGAGGAAAACAAAATTCCACTTGGGACAACAATGCAAAACTTTTACCGCCAACAGCATAGAATACACAGATACACAAAACATCCAGCACAAAATTAAATCCAAAGTGGTTCCCAACCCACTCCCCCTATACTACAAGACTCATTTTCTCTCCTGGTTCCCTGTGATGTCTAATTTTCCCCCGATTTGAGGAAGTTTCCTCAAACAATTGGTTTCATTTTATTTAAAATTAAAGCACTATGAGCCAACTCGCTAAAAAAACCATTAATCTTTTTTTGTTAACCATAACAAAACAAGTTAATAATACTTTCCCCAAAAAGAAAAGAAAAAAAAGAAAAAGGAACCATGGCACTTTTTCTTCGCACTTATCTTAAACTCATCAACGTTAAACATCAAATATAACAATCTTCTGGCAGAAAATAGTATCCTCCTTTTTCAATAAAGGCTGCAACATTTATGTCACAAAAACTATTTAATGAATGAAGAAGAAGTGCCTAAACGAAACAATATCAAAGTTGGACACTAATATCAATACTGTTTACTTTTTAAGAGTTAGCTGATCCCGTCTGATAGAAAAATACAAGTGATCTTTTTTTTTTAACTAATGCTTTGATTAAAACAAAACTACAATTCCTTAGACAAGTTACAGCAGGAATGTTTCCGTGTCTAATTACATTTGACATCTAAAGCAAATATAGTGGTCCCTACCTTTGCAACATATCTGATTGTATTATCAGCAAATTGACAACAAAGCAAATTGTAAAACAAAAAATAGTGATTTTTTTTTAATTTTGAAAATATAAAAACATTTGTTCAACTTGAAACACAAAAACTGAATTAAGTACTGCTAGTAATGTACCAATGCTTGCTATCATGCCTATTGATCAATTTGTAGCCTTCCACTGCGTCTACAGACCACATTAAGAAAGCAGTAAACATTCATTCAACAATAGCAAGCTCCTCGGTTAGTTACAAAACCATCACGCCCACAGTGTCCGAGCTCCATTGATAACGTACACAGTGGGCTCGCAAGACGAAAACTAGTCAAAATCTATTTCTGATATTGCTTGCTTATATTTGGAATCTGGTGGTCACCTCGACAAACGCAAGAAGTTAAAAAAGACCACAGATTTGGTTATTTTCTAAATAAACAACATAAAGTTGATTTGGCATGTGTATTTATGTGATGTTCAGAATACAAGAAGCTTATCTTTTGAGGCTCAGGGGAAAAAAAGGTATCTTACAGCAGCCGCACAGCTTATTTACTTAATTTTTTTTTACAAAGAAAACAATTATCATGAATCTCAAAAACGTAAACATTATAATCTTGCCACACTGCAACAGCTACCGAACAAAACTGATGTGAAGAACAATGAGGTGGAAATGACAAGGACAAAAAAGAGTGACATGTTTAATCTTTTTTTTTTTAATTGAGGTAGTCAATCATAATCCCAGATACACAACATGGCTCAAATGAAACCTATGTGGATGAATGAGATGGATTTAAGTAATGTGAGATCCCTGTGGGGGAGTTTTTACAAAGTGATATTACCATGATGTTATTGATACTGGATAATCCCAAAGTGGGATTACATTATTTCCATTTTTTTTTTAAAACTGAGTAAATTCTAGATGAAATTATCTCAAGTAGGATAACTTTTATTTTTTTTATTTTTTCCTTCTTTTGGCACAAAGATGTCTATATTTGTAAGACATGACTCATAATGAAGGCTGCCAAAGTCGATTGAAAAAAATAATCAAACTTTACAGAGACAAAAGAGGAGTTGACAACCACATGCTGACCCATCCCCATGCAAGTTTTCTGTGTCCTCCACTTACCACAGACAAATGGTTCACCATTTATAAAACAAAAATAAAATGTATCATTTCAAATGTACAAATGAGCAACAAATGATCCCGTCATGAGGTAAAGCATCCATAATTAAAACTGACACCCATCTTTCACCTATTTCTGAATATTTAAATAAATTTTCCACGAATAATATCATACATCTAGCATAGTGAGTCCAAGCATTAATATGTAGTTGATGTTTATAAATCTCTCGGCTTTAAAAGAAAAATCTTGCACCCACAACATTTCAAAGATGATAGTCAAAGCTTCTATTTCTGTCTTTTTGAATGCATTTGAGCGAACTAAAGCAACCATTGATACAATACACTGAACAGCCTCTACAATAAATCAATACCTAATAAATCTGTAAATATCAACAAAAATAATAACGACCATTTTGAAAAGTTTCAATTTTATATATTGGCCCTAATAACAATTACTCTAGCTATAATCATAGGCAGCACACACAACTTTCAGTTTTTGTACACGTTTTAATGATGAATATATATTTAATTTTTTTTTTTAAAGAAATCAACAAAATATTCGCAGCATTCAATGTGATACAAGGTTAAAGTAATGAAACCAACAATACCACGAGCCCAGAGCTGAAATGCATGCAATTTTATACGTTAAGTCAATCGGCCGGTATACTACACATACCGCAATACTTGAACTTTCAAGATGTAAAAGGCTCCACGTTTAAGTAGATGACCGATAGATATCACTTTGAGTCTGTTGCAGATCTTCCTCCTTACAGTCTTTTTGTCCAATTCAGACATAAAATATGCCTTGGCAGTTATGTCTGGAATTGTGTAACTAGCAACCAGCAGTGTTGTTTGTCCTCTTTAGCCGGCATTTTGTGCCTTTGTGACAATCAGTTCAAACTCAATACTGTTGAGATTCTTGGACACCGTACAAACGATACAATTGGTTTGTTTGGGCGTTGTTTTTTTTTTCCTAGCTCTCGCCGTTGACCATGATTGGGGACACCTGTCCATTTGTCATGCCGTTCATGGCCGTCACTTCCTTCACCACTTCTCTCACTACTTCTTCGACTCTCTTCCGGTTGCGCTCCTCTCGAGGTTTGCGCTGGGGTAGCGCCTCAGTGGGTGTGGTCTCCGCACTGCTGCTTGCGTTGCCGTTGACCAATGGGCCGTTGAGGTCTGCCTTGGTCTGGTCTCCTGACTTCCCCTGTGGCTGTTCTTTCAGCTTTGGCGAGTCTGCTTTGCTGTCGTGTGAATTGCCGTTAGCCATTGGAAGGTCGCCGTTGACAGCGCCCTCTAACTTCTTGTTGGAATTTACTGGCCCGTTCTGCGAGATTTGAATGCTGTCAGGGCGGGGCACGGCGCCGGACTCATTTTTGGTATCCTTATCTACCCCGCCCTCTGGTTTCACCTCCCCTTGGTCGTGTCGCCATCTGTACTGCTCGCGTCTGCGGATGATTCTGTCCTTATTACGGGGTTCCTCCCTGTCCTTCCCCCGCCCGCCTTCGCCTCTGTCGTAACGCTGTCTGTCGTTGCGTGGTCTGTCGTTGCGTGGCCTGTCGTTCCGGGGGCGGTCGTTCCTGCGCCCTTCTTGCGATGCTTCGTGATGCGATTTATCGTCGGCGCTGCGAGGACTGTGTTTGTTGGGTCCGTCCTGCCGGCCTCGGTTCCCCCGCTGGTCCTGTCTGCTGCCCTCTTTGGCCGACTGAGACTGACCCTGTCTTGGATTGCTACCCTGCTGACCCTGTCTGTCGCTGCCTTGGCGTGGGTTCCTCGGACCTCTGCCTCTCTGGCCCTACTCGGGAAAAAAACACAATAAAATAAGATGCTTTGTTTTAATTGAAATAAGGGAATGCATGCTTGAACAGCAGATAGCAAATTGTGACCACTGGTGATAGCTCCATTGGCAGGACTACTCTCTCCAAACCACTTCAACAATCGCTTTGAAAGAACACCCTACGATTATTACATGGACCTTACTTTAGGGGTGATCAGCCAGTCACTCAAATAAAGGCCAAACTGAGGCGGCTACGGCTTCAAATAACACACAGGTCTATGGGAGTGGCTGCAGCCGCTTCCATAGGCGCCTGTAATATCAAGCCGTAGCCAAGTAATTCAGACATGGCCTAATCCTCTGATAAACAAATGAGCATCCACCAAATCACATTTTTAGAGTCTTTGCATCCTCCAGTGCACTCTTTGTGGAGACTATTGACACATCCAGCTAACTGGCAACAAATTACACCCAAAGAGCAAAGGTTACACATCTGTATCAGACTGGCACACCAGAGTCGCACTGAACTAACTTATTTTCAAAGACTTGTTTTGTCAAATTAAAATGTTGATGTTTTAAACAGTTCAGAGGGACTCTGTCAAAGATCGACTGTCGCAGTCACTAGGAACAATTTCGGAGTCTTGTCTGAAACCCAAATCTATTTGGGTCGACATGAGTCACTCCTAGTACATATGTGGTTCAGCCAGACTCTGGAAAATCAGTCTGCGACAGTTATTAACCAGTGAGTTTGTGCTGTACCTGCAGCGATCGCTGCATCTTGGCGGCCATCTTGGCCACCTCAGAGTCCATATCAGCGTCAGGGGTGGTCGGGGAGGTAGGCGTGGCTGGGGTGTCCACCGTGGAGGCGGATCGGCTCAGCAAGCCACCGTGATCGTCGCTGATGGAGGTGGGCCGGCTCAGACTGTCCATACTAGTCAGGGACGTCAGGGAGTGACGACGAGCAGAGTACACGCTCTTGACGGGTAGGACCTCACCAAAGTTCTTGACGGCCTGAAAGAAGGGATTACAGTAGAAGTTTGTGAAAAAAACACACACAATCGGGCCAACAAAAGATGTTTAGTAATGTAATCATTCATTACTTTTTCCACCAAGAAAGCACTGTATATTTGTACATAAAATATGTGAGCAAAAGTTGATCACGACGGCAAAATGTTTGGTATAGCTGTGTTCACTATCGACCTATTGCCGTTTGCAAGTTATCCACGCCCCTTAGATAACTATGGAATTTTGCACATTAAGTTTTGTTTGTCTCAGATTTTGCGCGTTCCACGTCCATTTGCATATCATGTCATTGGACAATATTTCACAAGCTGCGTTGACGCGATTCTACCGCGATAGGTCAATTGCGGTGCTCTCCTGTCAGGCATGCAACTTGGAAGTAACCAGCAAAAAAAGAGGAAACTCCATTCTTTACAAGACTTTATACTGTGCATTTCAATTTTTAATGGTATAAAAACAAGGAAATCAGCTAATCCAAGAAAAATTGCATGCCTGCACAGTCTAACTTTAACAATTTTTGACTCAAACTTCCAAAACATGTTTTCAACTTTTCAAAACATTTGTCATCATTCCAACTTGAACATTTGGATCCTACCTCCTGTAGCAGGTCTGGATTGCCTGTGAAGCGAGATGATCGCCCAATCTCCTCGTCAATTTTTCTCTCCGAGACAAAGTGCTAAAAAGGGAAAAATAAACATCAAAAAACAAAAATCAATGATCAGACCTTCAACAGGGTCTTCAAAAACATCCTCATCAGCCCTTGGTCACATCTCATTCAATACAGGGTTTTCAAAATTGTATTTTTTTGTCAACAATATTCAAATAAAAGAAATCACCACCTAAGAAAACGTATGGACTTGAGTCCCCCAAAATAGAAACGGGGATGGGCTACAGGCAATCTATGTTCGGAACTCAAGTGGATACCAAAAAAATTGATCCATAAAATTTACCACATGCAGCTGAGCAAAAAGAAAATATTCAGAGACATTTGACATGAAAGGTAATTTACAACATTTGAAAATATCAAAAAACAAAAACGCCAAATTACTACGAAATACACATGTACAGTAAACTCCGGCTAAACCGGCACTCTCGGGACCCAAGAATTTGTGACGACTTACGCGAATGCCGATATATGCTATAAGTCGTCATTTTGCCGACTTACATGAATGGTCTTTTGCACACATGATTCATTGCACTAATTGGCTTCGATTTACCCTGGATTGTCTCCTTAATGATTGAGTTGAATCCAGGAAATTAATCCTCGAATTGTATCATCACGTTTGGGTTATTGATAGTGGAGACCACGATTGTGTACGTGCACAGTAACAAATTAAATGCGTGCGTGGTGCGGTATATACCACGCACGCATTGACTGCAGCAGTAGTCATTCAATAAGACGACCCCCAAAATGGACAGAGCGCATTCGTACAGCCCAGAGGGGGTACTGGTATTGATATGCTCACGATGCATATGCGATGTATGCAGCAAAGATCCTATAACGCCAAGTAGTGGTATGCAGTAGGACACCCTTTTTCGACACTGATGCATGCAGCAATCACGGGCCGTGCGAAACCACTTTTCACTCGACACTTTGCTAACCGCAGTACAGGAAGTCGATGCCAATGCGTGATTTGTTGAATGCCGACTTACACAAAGGATTTTGTAAAGCTTTTTATATAAAAGGGGACCGAGAGTAACAAGACGACTTGAGCGAAATGGCGACTTGTAAAAGCCGACTTAGAAATAAAAAATTCAATGGAAATGCATTACGGACAATCAGGACTTAAAGGGAATATACATCATTTGCTTTTGCTGTAATTTTCAGAAATGGGTGGAATTGGGGGGTCGGAAATATAAAGCAAATATAGTTACACTAACTTTTTGGAGGTTTTGGGTTCGAAAATGCTATAAAAACCAAGAAAAACGATCATTTTCCTGTAGTCTGGTTCCCTGACTCCATATAAGAAGAAACAGAGCAGTTTACATACATTGGGGGAATTGTAAGGTCAGGGAACCAGTCTAGCTGGCTCGTACCCGTTTATAGGTTTGTAATCGATTGCAAACAAGTGCAATGGTCAATTGGGGCCAGTATTTGATAAAAAGCCAGTTGTTTCCAACGCTGATCGGCCGATCAGCGTTGGAAATTGATACAAAAATACCACTTTTCTTGAAAATGACAGTATACCAGGTGCCATAATTTTACAGGATGCTTTAGACTGTCATTTACCAACATCCTGTTAAGGTATTTCGCAAAAACTTGATAGTTTTATTTTTCGTTGTTTGCAAATGTTGTATATTCCCTTTAAGTCAGATGGCCGACTTGAGCGATTTGATGAGTTGTACGATGTCGGTTTAGCCGGAGTTTACTGTACCTTACTTGACTGTAAGTGAACAATAGTCTCAAGCATCTTGTAAAATCATGGCACCTGCTGTGCCGTCATTTTCAAGAAAGTGGGATTTTTTGTATCAAGTTCCAAAGTCGGCCGACCATCGTTGGAAAAAAACCCAGACATTTTTCAAATACTGCCCCCAATTTATCAATATAACAATATTTGCTGTAAAATTCTAACCTCTATTCTGAAAATTACAGCAAAAGCAAGTTTCCTTTAAGTAATAAACATAAGACACTTTGGCAGATATAACATGTATGAGGGGAGGGGTGTGTGTTTCAGAGTATTAAGCATTCAGCCATATGTACCTGCCTGTGTAGCTCTTTGAACTTCAACACAGTTCTACATGAGCGATACATGTACATGTCTAGAGTTACAAGCACAAACATCTGTTTTCCACAGCCAAACCTCCCGGGGGAGACTTATATGTAAGAAAGGGCAACCTTCAACCCAACCTCAAGTCCAACTACAATTCCAACGAGTTTCCTGTACTGAGGGGAAATGTTTCTAACGAGTTTACAATGAGTTGAAGATTTTGAAAGCTCCCTGTCTGGCTGTCAGTTTGCAAAATGTATACCATATGATCAGACGGCTGAAATGGCATTACTAATTTTAGCATTCCTACTTTTGGCATGCACAGTCGAAGGACTATACAACGCAACCTTGCTCTGAAAACGTTTTAAGTCTTAGTCATTATTCCCATGTAATACAGAGATGGGTAAAAGATATTGGAAAGTATCATTAAATCCATTGTTACACGTGTAAAGAAATTCTACTATGAAGCAAAAATACCCACCAACGGCAAGTAGGGTATCTTTACTGTCACTGATAATCTTCCCGGTAGTCTGTACAAGTGGTTTTCATTTCAAAGGAATATTCTTTTACAGTGAATTTTCAATTTTGTACATGTATGTACAATAGAAGTGAATCTTACAGAGTCCTCAATAATGTACAACAAAACTCTAAAAAAAATTGTAGTTTTCTCCAAGAACTATGGACTTTTGAGCTTGGACTATCATTTTTCACTGTCATATTATATATGTGGTTCACTTTCGATTTACAAATGTGCACGACTGATAATAACATACCCACACAACACAATCTTGAGCTACCTAGTCAAAAACACTGCAAGTAAAACTTGCGCAATCCCTCTGGCATCCTGCCAGTTTGTATACATGTACATGTACAGGCAGGTAGTAAGGACAATTTTCAGCGACGGCCTTGATTGTCCACCCGGCAGGTACCAGTTCTCAGTTGAATGGGGAGTTTGGGTTGAATGGGGAGCTTCGGTGAGACACTGGACTAACATATGTTAGAGTCATTAGAATCTCTCCAGAGACCTCGTAAATATCCATATTGGAAAGGATTTTTTTAAACACACACCCACACACAGAAGGAATACGCGATCACAATATCCCCTTGTCTGGCTTGAAAGCCAGGGGGATAAAAAGACACAACGCAGAGATGAATCTTTCCCCCAGCCCCATACCTTGATATCTGCTCTGAGTTCCAGGAGATCAGTGTCCGTCTTGCTAACAGCTCTGCTGATTTCTTGCTTCAGCTCAAAGGCCCGATGCTGCCGATCATCAAGAAGTGAGGCTGTTTAGAAACATTCAAAGAAAATAAGAGTTACGAAAACAAATCAAATCATGAACAAACCTTGAGCTCCAGTTACGGAACTTGGTTTCAATCGCTGAAAAACATTCTTTAAATCCAATTCACGTACTATAATACATAAACGCACAAAACTGAATAAAAAATCAATGAAAAGCCAACTTTTTAGACTCATAACAACTCTATAACTCATTCGTATCATCATGTCGTCACCTTTTGACCAATCCAAAAATGTCTAGCTCACCTCTTCCAGATAATAACAAAATTAAGTTAAACACTGCAAATAAAATCCTGCAATTTGTTTCTTAACTTACTGGCTTGTCGCTTGACTTCTTGAATCTGTCTCATCAGTTCCTCCTCTCGTGATCCCAAACTGAAAATAAAAAGACAAAAAAATTGAAAATTGTTTCCCGAGGCATTTTGCTATCACATCAATTTCTTTGACTCTGTCTTTGTACTTATTTACTAGGAAAGTCCACCAAAGGCGAAACAGAGCAATTTATAGACGTCCGGGAATTGTGAGATCAGGGAACTAGTCTAGCTGGCTTGTACCCATTCACAGGTGTGTAATCGATTGCAAAGAAAATGTGGACTAACTAAATATGATAAATCGGGAGAAGTATTTGAATAAAAGCCATTTTTTTTCTAACGCTGGTCGGCTGACCATTGTTGGAAATTGATACAAAAATACTACTTTTCTTGAAAATGTCAGCACACCAGGTGCCATGATTTTACTTGCTTTAGACTGTCATTCACTAATAGTGAGGTATTTCGTGATAATTTGGTAGTTTTGTTTTTGATGTTTGCAATTTTCAAATGACGTATATTCCCTTTAACTGCATGATGAACAATTTTTTGAAGATTTAGGAAGGTTTCCCAGCAAAAACACTTCGGGAGTTAGGGTTTAAGTTGCTTTCAAGCAAAAGTAAATGCAGCCAGAATTTACCAAACTGAGGAATTCTGGAAAATCAAGCTCTGAATAGATATGCAGAAGGGGGTTCTTGTTTTTTACCTTGTCCTGGCATCATCAAATGATTTCTTCAGTCTTTTCTCAGCTTTCTCTATCTCTTCCGCCAGCAGGTTCTTGTGTCGTGTCAGTGACACCACTGTTCTCTGTAGATCCTTTGATGACTTGTCCAATGAGGAACCTACGAATATCAAACAAATAGATATAGATTCGCAATCTTGACAATCACAAGACACCAGCACACGTGTCACAGGAGAAAAATAAAGTTTTACATAATAGACATGTGACAAGTCTTACACAAAGCATATGGTACGTTTCTTGTTTGTCACTGTTTCTATGTCATTGTGCCTTTCAGAGAGTTTCAGCCATTTTTAAAAACACTAGACACGCAAACTTCTATGATGTTTTAGAAGTAAAATACACTTAAAGCAAAATATCAAATGTTACAAGTGATTGTTCTAAACTTTCACAACTGAATGAAAAGACAAAACATAGCCAAATCTCTTTTCAGCAAGGTCTAAAAGCCTCAGCGTCTGACCAAAATTTGGAATGATGTTCCCTGAGAGCAGTTGAAAAAGCCTCGTTGAATCTTAAGACTTACCTGTCTTTTTGGATCTGGACGGATCGGTCACTGAGCTAGACTCGCTAATATTCCTCTCCCTCTTTCCAACACCCTCTGAACTTTGACCCTGACCCGACCTCTGACCCGAGCCATCCTTGCCTGTCCTTCTGTCGGGTGCCGGTCCCGAGGCCTGTTTGTGACTGTGTTGCTGGCCGGATCTGGCTTGGGTTGCTTCCGATGGATGTTGCCCCTGTTGGGACTGGGCGTGCGCCGGGCGCTGCCTGGGTTCCTGAGGTTTCTTTTGCGTGGCGCCCGCTGGGTTCTCTTTGGGTTTTGACTGGGTGGGGGCGGGCTTCCGGTCGCTATTGGTCTGCTGGGGATTGCGCTGTGGTTTCGGGCTATCAACAGGCTTGGGGGCACTTTGGCGTTGCGCTGGTGCTGGTTTGGCATCGTTGGCTACTGCACCAATGGGCTTGGTTTGCTGAGTACTTCCAGCTTCAATGGGTTTATCTACAGAATAACAAAACGGTAACTGACTATATTGAAGAGGAAACAGGTGATCATTGATGAATGGTTTCCTTTGATGCTGGTTTACCTGACTGCAGGTAACATCTGCAGATGAAAGTCAATACAGAAAAGGTCTTTGATGAGTCACGAGACGGAAGGGAAGGTCATCCACTTCTGCAACTGGGATATTGATTGAGTTATAGTGAATTATGAACTGCCCATAATTTCTTGTATTCACAAATTGTATTGCAATGCAAATGATCTTTAGTATTAAAAGAAGTATGTCTGTACACATGTACACGACACCTGTTTTACATGAAACCTGTTTAATAGCAACTATGAAATGAATTTGGGGTAAAATTGCGCATATTTTCAGATGACTCTGCGCTTTGCATAAAGGTATCAAATTTGGAAAAAGAATATATGGGTACAAAGATCATCTTATTCAGAGAATAGCTGTACATGTATGTAAATTTTATGGGCTGCGTTCACAAAAAAAAAACCTGTTTTCAAATGTTTCACTTCTTTCAATCACACTACAATGGAATCATTGGTAGGAATGAAAACATAATATTAATTTACAAATTTTAAAATACTGCATATGTTCAATCGATTATGTTTTATTCAATTTTTGGGAGCGTGGGGCATATTCTGAAACGAAATTCATGGAAATGTATGTCTGCTCACGTACTGTGCAAATCAATCAATAATTTGATCGTACATGTACATGTACTGGCAAGACTACATTACAAATACCGAATTTCCTTTTGTTATTGACAAAAGAAATATGCAAAGTATGCAAGCCAGGAAACTACTATTGATCAACTTTGGAGATATGAAAAGCTGTTTATAGCCGCTGTGCCAAACACTGCAAGGAACTGAAGACAATGGCCTTGCATTTACAATGTAGTTACACGGACTGTTCAACGTGATTGCACATTCGGGGGAGTTCCCCTATACCAGTTCAGACCAGTGTCAGGCACCAACTTGTATGCCCGTGGGCCGTGTTCATGGACATTGATCATGATGTTTTTATCATCAACAAGTAGCCACAATGAACTTAGAGCGCACGCAAATACAGTGTTTACTACCTGCTTAATTCCGTTTCTATTATGGGTCTGATGGTTAAACAAATGACTCCATTTAACCACATCCTCTGTGTAAACTTGTAAAGGATGTTTAAGTTTTAATTTGATGTGTATAACCATGGCACACAGACATTTCTCACATCATTATTACTCATCAGTTTTGTTTGGGCAGTCAGGGAGGAATTACATGTGTACATGCACATGTACTTCAAATATTCAAAGAATCTTAAAATACTGTCATTCCAATACTTTTTCACAGTAACTGTAAGTTCTTCATTCAAGGCTTCATAATCATATTAAACCCTTACTGCCTGGGGCATTTTGACTTGGAATTTCAAATTCCCCAAATCATCAAAAATCTTAAACTAAAGTAAAACAAAAGCACTTTTTTTGCATAGTCACTGAGGTTTACTGCTAAAAATAGCTTTATCAAAACTGTACAAAACCAGGCAATAATTTTTGATGGATTGAGGTTGCAATGATTAGTATTAAAAGAAATGCTTTAACATGTACATATGCACATGTACATTGTAAGTACATGTATATGATACATGTAATTTCTGGAGAAACGGTGACAACTTATACATGAACCAAATATTAATATATCACTTAATATATCCTGGCGAATGGTGATGAGAAACGTTCATGCTCCAGGCCTAAATGTAAGTTATAATCATTTTCTTTGTTTACGAAACAATACATGCATACCTTCCACAACAATAAATGCCAATGTCTGTGATTTGTGCTTCACCGATGCGACATGCGCATCACATGATTTCATGTGATGTGATGGTTAATAAACACCACATGATTTCATGAAGGTCACGTCTATCCTATCATTAGTTACATGTACATACCACATTTGTCCCTGGGAGGCTTAACAAATTTGCCGAAAAGTCACAAGACATTGTACCAAGGGGATTTTAAAGCCAACCCTAGTCACCCCTACAAAGATTAATGGTTGGTGCTGTAAACTGTTGCTCCAAACTGACCTTGCCCAGCACATTTGCCTTGTCCATTTTTCAAAAGAGGGGAGTTTATTCATAATAGCTGTCAAAATGACAAAGACATGCCAAGGTTGCGGTTTCTGTAGACCTTGACAGTGTACCAACAGAAATTTTCTTGGTAAACATCCACCGCTCACGTACATGCAGCAGAAAAGGTTTGGCATTAATCAAATCACCTGAGAGGGTATGTAAATTGTTGAGTTGCCCATAAACTGCGGCCACCCAGTCTTCATGCCAACTGGGGATTTTTTTTGCCAAACTTGCACGCAGTGATTGGTAAATTATAAGAAAATACAAAGAGAAAGAGGAAGTTACTTGATCCAAATAGGAAACTTTCAAGTCTGATATCCTCCTTAAATTGAAAAAGAAACCAGGTTGTTCGCTAATGACAACATTTTTGCAGATTTGTGCAGGCATGTGAAAACGATAATAATGATAATTTTCAGTGGTCAAGATACACGATGACACCTCTCCGGTTCTTATCATTTTCACCAAAAATAACATAGCACTGTTGTACTTATTATCACGATGTAATGGTACACGTAAATGAACATGTACACGTTGATGGAAGTGTTTATTTGCTAAGAATGCCCCTTAGGATTCTGAAATAATTTGTGTAACAAACATTGACTTACGATGTGATTTCCCTCAAGAAAGTGTTTAAGTTTATGTCTTGGACATAAACTTAGGGAGAAGTACGTAATGCTATTGACAAACAGAATATCTAATTGGTTGTCCCCCTTCATACTCTCAATGTACTACATGTACAGGGTGAGTAAAAAAACAACCAAATGTCGGGACCATTGTTTTAGTGAAGTTCTGCATGTAGCACTTTCAAAATGTACGATATGAGACCCCAATTCATAAGCTTTCTTTTAGTACAAGAATCATTCAAATCACTCACGTAATTTTCAAGTTACGGAGTTTTAAATACAACCATCGTTTTAAAGTTCTGTCCACGGATCACAGAAAAAGGTGTGCGTTCTTTCCGCAAAACGAAAACGAAATACACAGGGAAGTGTGTCAATTGTTTTCGTTTTGCTGAAATAACACGTACCTTTTTTAATCACCCTGTATAATATATGCAAGTGTCTTGATAATTCGGCATGCAATCTAAAATCACTTTCACAGAAAAAAAAGTCCCCTAAAAGTTAGTTTAGCTTGAACAGGTCACGTACAGTGCATGTGAACAGCGAGACAAGCATTCCATTTCTCTGTGGACGTGGGCCTCTCATGATAAATTTTTCTGTCTCGTCTACTTGCAGATTTGGCAGACAAGCACACTTCCCTTGAACAGGTTGATAACAAGCGACAGTTCGTTTCTATTTTTAACTTGGCGATTTTTTTTTTCTTGGGGGGGGGGGGGTGGTGGCTGGCACATACATGTACACGCACTTACCTATGTTGTTATTATTAGGAATGTGTTCTTCCTGTAGACCATTGGCTATGGGTAGGCCGTCTTCCTGGTTTGCCGACTGCTGCTGCTTGCTACGCTTCTTCTTATTCTTGTTATTGTTAGTCTGAAATGCAAGAGAGACGACCAAAAGACAAAAAAAAAAAAACACATCAGACTAAGTAATTATCTGAAATGGCTCACATGCAGCTAGACATGACTGGTCTTTTTTTCTTTGAGGGAAGGGGAAATTTTCATGTCTCACCTCGAGTATAATTACGGGAAATGACGCAATCCTGAACATATTAGCAAAATGAGTTAGAAAGGCTCTTTGCTCGGATCCTGCTTATCAGGGGCCACTTTCAAGGGAGCTGCGAAGCACAAGGATTTGCTTATAACTTGCTTAAAGCAGCCGGCCAATATGTCAAGCAATGCATTTTGCTGATAAATGGTCTCAGCTGATATTTTGTTTAGAGCATACATTTGCTAGGCAAGTTTTTTTGTGCTAAGTTTCTCCATGACATTGGGACGAAACAGAACAGATCCCTAAATGTCCTTGAGGTGAGTAGCAGATACATGTAACTAGACTAGCCACAGCCATTTGAGGCATCACATTTCAATGCCAAAAACATTCCTTCTATCCGTGAGAAAAAAATCGCAGATTCAATACTGACATTCGTACAATTTTAATGAACTGTCTAATTATACTCATATTTACACCGATCCATTGTGCTTCTTCCAGCACAGGATTGTGATAGTTTAAATAGAAAATATTGCTGCATCTTAATGTCAACTTGTCATAAAATGATACTGTGGAGGTACCGGTACTCTACCTTGCGTTTGTTGGGTATATTCCATTCCTTGAGGATTTCTTCTGCTCTGTCTGCAAAGTGAAGTAAAAGAAAAGAACGTATTATTGTTCTGAAAGAACAATCTCACTTGTAAACCAGTACGGTGTCTCACACGGAGGGCAAAGCTAGCCACAAAAACTGCTAGACCATCAATATTGCCTGCCAAATTCCTTCACTGACTGAGATATGAACTTGTACTTTTAGCACAGAACTTGATAGGGCACATTCAGTCAAATATGTGAATGAAAGACGCCCGAAGTCTGAATAACTTCACCTCCTGCTCATGTATCTAAAGTTTCATAAGATTACGAAGTCCATTCATCCTACCTCCAGTCGTACGTTTAACTTCCATTTTGTGCTTTTATTTTGCTGTACTTCAACCACACCACACGTACATACACCACAACCACAGAGCAACCCACAAACAGAGCTCCGTCTTAGATCCGACTGAAGGCAACAGTGAGCAATCCAAGAAACCAAATTGCAGACAGATGCAAAAAATAGAAACTCCCAGAAATTTCTGCTGTGTCTGAAAAAAAGTGTTCCCAGTAGACCGGCCCCTGCCCATACATACATGCAGCAGGTGTTTTGATACCAGGGTTATCATGCAGTTCCTTGAGGAGTTCGAAGCCAGACTTTGGTAGTCTGTTATACAACTGGGCACATATTTTGTAGTAGGGGGTGCATTACAGATTGGGCGAGTGCCTGTTGGTAACAAAGTTCATTCAGATGTCAAGGATTTCCAGGGCAGCTGGATCTCATAAAAAAAAAAAAACTGTGTAAGAAAATCCAGGAGTAATTTGGGAAGTTGGAAGAGTCAGGTCATCAGATGGACAACTAACTCTGTGGTTCAATCAATGTACCAGTTCTTTTCTCAATTCTTGGACGAAAATTTGGAGATCTTGATTTGTTCATCTTGAACATTTACCGTGTTTACATGTAAATAATAATCAAGTTTTCAGAGGGATACTGTGGACACTCAGTCTCCAGTCTTTGGCAGACTTTTTAGACCCTCTTAATGTTTCACAATTCCTAGGTGAAACTCCTAAATTCATGAAACTGATGTTAATATACTAAATGTCCCTACCACTTTTGTCAAGTACAACTGTACGTGTACATTTTACTGCATGTATTAAAGTCAACGTAAAATTTAACAGGAAATGTATGATTTGGAAATTGGTTGGGCAAACATTATTGTTAGTCATGAGATACGTATACATGGTACGAAAGTATATATACAGTATGCATTCAATCAACATAGTTTGTTTTAATGTGTTTTTATTTAGTAATTGTTATAATAAGCTTTTTTATATTATTTTATTTTATGTTTATGAGATGCTTAATTGTACAGGCATGCCAACTGAAGCAACAAGTGATGAAGGAAATGATCCAGAAAGAAGAAGTCAATTTGGTAATCTTTTGCTGAATGTAAATGTATTAACCCTAGTAATTTATTAACCCTAACTCCTTTGGCATTTTTGCTAGGATGCAACCTCAACCCAGCAAAATCCTTCAATTGAATCCATGTAAAAATTGCATACAGCCTCAATCCTCCAAACTCATCCGTTATTTCTTGAATGTGGTCCTTGGAGGGGTGACCAATGCCTCAATCCTGCAAAATTCTCCAGCAATCACTGTCAATATGTTGAGGCAGAGCCAGTGACATCCTGCAGCAGTGCGGAGGATTTCAAGTAATTTGTAGGTCTTAATTCATGCACGGCTGAGCATAAACAACACAAGGTCCAGCCTAAGACCTTGACGCAGTGCATCCTCCAAAACCAGCCACACATTTTTGCAATATAGCCTCAATCCTGCAAAATCCTCCATTTTGCAAAGAGGCTTTGGGAGGATTTTGGAAGATTTGGGATGGTTACGGTTAAGGTTGGAAATTAAACAAAAAGTTAAGAAGTAGAAGCAAAAGACAAGAACGAGTGAAAACCATGTAGAAATCTCTTTTGGGAAAATGTGTGGTTATGAAAAGAACCGGTGGATTGTCTTTTTAGAACCACACCTTTTCTCAAAAGAGATTTCTACATGGTGTTACCGCAAACCATCACCATGCAAAGTTTAAAATCTTAATTAAAAGACAAGAAGTATTGTAGATTTTTAACATGCAGACAAAATAAGGAACAAAGGGAAAGTACATGGTACATGTACAAATTCCCCTTTAATTTGCAAGCCCATGACCCTCACCCGCCCCACCCGTTTTTCTCCTCAACACGAAGAAAACATACACACACTGATCATTTAATGTCCTACCTTCCATAAACGCTTGGATGGTCTTAGGCACATCGTTATCAAAGTGTTGCAGAACAAGCAAAATGTCTTCCTTCTTTCGGTGGGGTACCACCTCCCGTACACCAGCAAGCTGTAAAAAGACGCAAACAATAAAGTTCGGCTGCATCATTAAACCAGTAACCATGGCAACAGTTGCTTACTTATCCCTTTTTCATTCAGCTACAAGAGGAAACCATTTCTATGTGGGTAGCAAATGCTCAAAAAAATTACATAAGGATAAAGTATACGTTATTGACTTGTAACTCTCTCTGAAAATTTCATGCACTTTGCACTCTACTCACACTCTATTCACACATTTAAATACAAACACCCCAAAATTCAGCTGTCCACCACTGTTCATTTACCGTTCTACACATGGATGAATACTCTTTAAATAATAAAAAAAAAACATGATGCTTTCATCCCTCTATGAATGAACAAAAAATTGCACAGGAAAACAGACACAAATCACTATCCCTCTTTTAGGAGAAAAGACTTCATTTTTTCCTCATATTCAAAACACAAAATCTGACCCAAAAAAAGAGAATGTTTCAGTCTTGACTCAACTTATACCAATCTCATTTTTACATAAATGCCTACATGTGTGCAATCTCTGGTTCTCTCTCAGCTCAATAGCTTCAAATGGCATTCCATGGACAGCTGTAAAAATGAGTTCCTTTATTAAAATATGCATAACTGTTCAGAACATGGATCAATTTTGGTAATTTTATTTTTTCCAAATGAGTGGAAGCACATGGTGGTTTAATGCTTCATTGGTGTGTCAAAATTAATTGCTTTTTAAGGGGGAAAAAATCATTAATCCAGGTAAGGCTGCATCAGATTGCATTTAACAGGACGGCTGGATTTAACTCAAGGGTCTATCGCCACTGGCTGCAGCCATGTCCATAGGAGCATGTGCAATTTCCAGTCAAAGCCGAGCAATTTGGAGACAGCCTCACTTTCTTTTTGACTCGCCCACGTGCACATGTTGCAAAACCACCTGTAGTGTAGACATTGTATGCACAAACGTCCAAATTTTGATTTTTGCCTGTAATTGTTAGATGTTTACAGTACGCGTCCTTTTAATTCTGAAAAAAAAAATCCATTTTTACCTTGGAGGGGCACTTTCATTCAAAAAGAATTTTGAGAAACATTTTATGTACATATCGGTTTATATATTTCATATACTTATTAGCCACATTCACAGTCCTTGTCAATTGTCATTAATTGTGTGTATGTGACATCATACATGTAAGTCACATTGCTCACTACACCAACCACAGACTTGTTGCTACAATGAACTTTCTGGATTTTCAGATTTTGCTGCTCTCCCAAATGTCATCCTTTTCATTTTACCAACTTTGCAACAGGTATGGAAACAACCACCCCAACCCCCTTCCCCTGTATTGTAATCTTCCAATTCTCACTGGATCTCTCCATGACAGACCGATCCATTAGCACAAGGAGGGGTGAGGAAAAGGAAACAAATAATTGACCGGTTGCCGATCAATACAAGCTTATGCAGCTGTGAGGATGCATATTTGTCAAACATTAAAGGGTTCATTTAGATATTGATTTCTCCAGTAACCCAAATTTACAATGACTAAAATAGATATTGTATTTGTTCGGAGGGAAAATTGCAGAGAACCTTAGTTATAGAGAATAAAAAAATACTCCATCAAGACCAACTTTATTTCACTAAAATATAAAGTTTGGTATTCTGCCGTATTAAGTGTAAATGTAATGAACAAAAATCAAACACCATAGTTGGTGTTGTCACTGATAACCACATGGAAAACAATTCGGGTGTTTCACAAAACAGTGCGCCACCAAGAGTTTACCACGGAGAGTTCATTTTTCCCGGTGCATTGTGGGAAATGGTCGACAAATTCGTAGCGCGGGACATTTGAAAGTGTTAGTTTTTTCCAGTCAGTAGTTTCGTAAGCATGATTCGAGTATCTGTTTGCCCTTTTCTTTTCTCTTTATCACTATGGTGTTTTTTTGTAAGGTGGCTGAACGCTACGCCCAAATCTATAACAAATTAACTCAAGTTGTCTACTGACACTCGTTCAAATGGGCCATGTTTTGTCGACCGTTAACTTGAATAATGGACTCTCCACGACAAACTCTTGGTCATGTTGGTGGCGCACTGCATTGTGAAACGCCCGAATTCAAGTTCATGTCTACATGTACATGTGATATAGAGTGACTTTACCTTAGGCTTAGAAACTCCATGCAAGAATAAAATAGAAATCATGTCCAAACTCGGAATCGGAATTGTAACTTCACTTCAAGGAAACAATCCCTGAAAAAGCTGATTTTTATTATGTAAGTTGGGTTTTTTTCATTCCCCTGAGATTCAATTCTGGACTTTTCAAAACAGCTTTATAGTTTTATGTGCGAATGATCTCGTTTTAATGAGGAATAATTAATTATCTCTGTAATAATTCACTAAATGTTCATATTTTTGAAGGTTGCCCAAGCTGTTTTTCAATTCTGAAGGCAATCGTGCCCTCTGAATAGACCAGGAACTTTGGACTTCCAAAATGTTGGAATAAGAAAAGTCTGTTTATCTTGTATTTTATAGGCCCCCTAATGCACTGTACATAGCACTTGATGCACACAATCTACTTAACCACACCAGGGAATTCCAAGCTGGAATTTTCCTTAACATTTTTCAGCTCTACCATACATGAATAAGACTTTGATCTCACAGCTCAAGCAAGGCACCAGAACTTGCACCAGATCAACAGAGGGCAAACCTTGTTTATAAAAAATTCCCCTTGAGAAGCAAAATCCCCATTTTGTTCCTTCTGTTATCAACTGCAGGGCCACTTGCTACAGAAAGTGTTGGATTCACATGTAAAAAATACCTACTGGTAGATGTTTTGGATTTACAAATCAGCCAGCTTAACCTAGTAATATCCAAAACCAAACTTGCCATTTTTTTCTCAAGGAATTATAAAAAGCCTTTGATATTAAGCCATGCAATTGGTTTCTGTTCTCTGTTGATGTGATGGGCATCAAATTTAGAGCACTCGCAATTTTCACGCTCTTTTAACTTAGCCTAATTGAACCAATATGAACTCCACTGCATCATTTAACACGAGTCAGCGTGAGTGTCAGTGATAAATTATTATGTCGCGTAGCCACCAGCGATACCAATACATGTACCTGTACTGACCAGCCTATTGGCCGTTACTGATCTCATGCGACACGTATTGTTATCCCCACCACTCCAATCTAAGACTGAAATTGTGAAGGCGTGGAGAACTGTCTATCACCCTTCTGTTCCTCCCTGCAAAGAATTTTGTGCAGTCAAGCTTGCCGTTGTCCACAGGGAACAATCCGGACGTGAACAGTGTTTTCGTCTGTCCAACAATGTTTTTGTCTGTTATACATACTGTGCATTTACACACACAGCTTTCCCTTTTTATCTCTCCTCCGAATAAACGCAGCAAATAAATGTATACAAGGCCAAAAAAAAGTGAACAAATCTGCCATCAGCTTTTTAACATGCAATCTAAAAAAAAATGGAAATCTCAATTTGTACAAAAAATGGTATACCGGTACCACAAAACACAGTAAAGTCACAAGGTTTGGAATTTTGGAGTTACCCCCGGTACTTCAGATTTTTTTTCTTAAACTAATTTTAAGTATCGTTGATACCCAGGAACAACTGCATGTGCATGTATGATTTGACATGAATGTAGCAAATTGTTTATAACAAGGGAAAAACCTGTCTATTATGTGTGCTTCTGCAGTAGGTACAGTGTGTACATGTACATGTGGCAATATTCTGCGGAATCCAAAAAGCCAAGATGCACTATCAGTGTAACTTCCCAGATGTTCAGAATTAAGTTTAATAGAAATAAGGTGGCACTTATATAGCGCTTTACACCAAATGTCTCAAAGTGCTTCACAATTACTACCCCTGTTCATCAGGCCTTAACCCGAACCCCCTAGGGCCTTTGTGCTAGGAACCATCCTCAATCCTCCTAAATCCTCCAAAATTTTGCATCTGCTCAAATGAAGGATACCCAGCGTCTCAATCCTTCAAAATCGTCAGACAGTCCTGCCTCTAAAAATGCAGTCATCCTCAATTCTCCAAAATCCTACTCTTTTTTAAACACCATTCATCCTCAATCCTCCAAAATCCTCATGTGCTAAACACCATTCATCCTCAATCATCCAAAATCCTCATGTTTTTCAAACACCATTCATCCTCAATCCTCCAAAATCCTCCCAAACTGCAATGAGGAATGTGGAGAATTTGAGGTGGGTTAGGGTCAAGACCATCTTTCTGCAGCAGCTCGAGATCAGCGTAATCTGGTCTCTACCGGTACCTTCACAGGTACCCAATTATACTAATGGGTTGAGAGAGGCAATTTTGTCTAGCCCAAAAAAACACAAGCACTATGTTTACCATCAGGGTTTCGAATTCACGTACCATGGCACATGAGTTGATCGCCATAACCATTTGACCACGGCGCTATTGTCCTATTGCTGTTTGCGAGTTAGCCACGCCCTACCTATGAAATTTTGTTAAGTTTTGTTTGTCTCAGATTTTGCGCGTTCCACGTCCATATGTATATCATGTAATTGGACAATGTTTCACAAGCTGCGTTGACGCGATTCTAATGAGTTAATTGTCTCATGAATACATTACCGGTACGTACCTGTTCCTTGACGTTAGCCATTGAGTTATGCGATGTCCGAGTCAGTACTGCCTTGGTTCTTGTGTCAAAGTAAACGTCAGTAGTATCTGCAAAAAAAAAAACCACAAACTTGTCTTTAACGTTAAAGACACTTACGTATTTCTTGCAGAGTTACGCAAGAGTTGGTACCATTCATTTTTTTTTGTACTTGTATTTTTTTTCTTTCGTATATCGTCATTGTAACAACATGGGCAAAGCATCCATGATTCTTTTTCAACACACTTAAACGGTGTCAGTTTTTTAAAAGCACATTGCACCTAAGGAATTCAATTGTTTTATCTTTCAATATATTCAATATTTAGTTTTTCTTTCGTTTTTCATTGTTATCTTTGTGCACTTTTTTCCTCTCATCTGTCATCAGTTTGGTTTGTAATATGACTTTACTACATTGGTTTTGTTTGTCTTTTGTTTGTATGTCCCACTAGTGTCTGTCCTTTTGTTCTTGTGATTACGTCGTATGTGTCCAGGCTGTTCCACCTATAAGCCTTGGCTTATGTAAACAGCCTTGAACTCTCCTATAACTCTTTTTTCTTAATTTTGCTTTCTATTAATCTTCATTTAAACAATTAGCTTCAAAGCATTTTGTTTCTGTTGGTAATTGCCTTCATATTTTTTTTCTGTTCATTTAAATATCACTGTATTATATTATCCAAATTTGTATTGGTTTATTGGAGAGTCCTAAATAAATGTCAACTGAATTGAAAATTGAAAAGGAATAAATACAATAAATCAGAGTCTCCCATTCAAATAACAGAAGTTGGCACAGTTAAAAAAAAAAAAAAAAAAAGAGTGATCTCTACTACTCAATAAATTTGCATTAAATATGCCAAGAAAGACCAACCAGTGTCATGCAGGCAGTAACATATTTTTTCCAGCTAAGCCCACTATAGCCTAGGCTAATAAAAATGATCACTCTTACAAAACCTGTAACAATTTTATAGGCAGTTACATCACAGGATGTGTTCCAAAAACCAGTGACCCCACACAATGTCCATGTAACAAGAATTTGTTCCCCTTATTTGGACGACCTCGACAGTTAAATGCTCCGTTGCCTCCACTCAAAGGCCCAGCTTCAATGAAAAGATACAAGGTGTCATGGCACAGAATGCTCCATGATTACAGTAGGACAATTCAGTCTTGAAGGACAAATTATTGAAAAATACTCTTTTTATTTTTGTATAAGGCCATGCAGTAATAATATATATACACCTGTGAACGGTACATGTACATTGTGTACATGTACATTGTGTACATGCGCATGTTTAAAATTGTAGGCTAATGTAAACCAATATATTTTGTGGAAAAAGTGAGAAAATAATTCCTTGGGTGTATCCATCCCCATGTACCGGGTACATCCATCCCCGTGTACATGTACAAAAATGTATCATACATGTACATTCATGTACATGTATACATCTATGTGCGGTATGTACATGAAGCGAGTATTACTCAAAAACATGTAAATTTTCGACATGGAAAATACATGGTTACTGGTACATGTACATGTAACACAAATAACTTATAAGTTTAAATTATATGTTCATTTGTAGGTGTATACTTGTACAAAATACATACACATGTACCAGTATGTGATATTTCTGTAGGCTGTAGAACTTTACACTTACAAAGTTACAGAAATTCTTTACTACAAGTAAAACTACGAATACATACATGTGTACAGCATACATGCACATACATACAGTACACATCACTATACATACATGTACATGTACATGTACATGTATGGGTACATATAAATGTACATGTTCATAGAAGTCAAGATGTAAAAAATTTTGAGGTTTACGTACATGTACAGGTACCCTACATGCATGTAGAATGCATACAACTGCCATTTTAAAGATCACTTTCTTGATGCATGCCTTTACAAGATAGAAACTGCCCACCCCTCCATCAACACTGTCCAATATTCAAGTCAATGGATTTATATTTAAACATGTTCATTATGCAGCCAGATATCTCCTAATATAATATGGTCATTTCTGGCTCAGCGCACTACACAAGTATTGTGGAAATTCTCACAAGGAAAACAAAAAACCAAGAAAAAGAAACCAAATATATTTGACAAGATATAAAAAAATATATACGCCAGTGCCAGCCTGTGGAATATTTTCCAACAAAACACACACAAAATGAAGACAGGTACAACACACTTGATAGTGCTGGTCATTTTCTTCAACCATTGTTAACCTTATTGTTCACCTTATTGTTCACGCATGAACATGTATTGGCGTGACTATAATGAAGTACGCAGTGTACTACAGTATTCATCTAATAAGCACAGACATACCAGTACATGTAGAGTGGTCTTCTTTCATTGTCTAAGATACTGCTTTTCAATGCAACAGGTCAAGGCAAAACTGGTCTGGGTGAAACAAACAAAACTCTACAAAGAAAAACATGCTGCACATCTTAATCAAAAAGGGAAATTTATGACTAAAAGTATCTGAACCTGCATATTACAGAATGTGTATGGTATATCACAGAATGTGAACAAACTAAACCATTTTGAAATCCGTGTGAAGAGCACGCCTGGACATCCACAAGTTCTCATTTTTTTCCCTCACGAACTGTGGTAGAGTGGAATACCCTGGACGATTCATTAGTCAACGCAAGGTCTTTGATCAGTTTTATTAAGCAGCAACTCCAATAAATCCCCACACATCCCCGCACAAGCCTGGCTATTATACTCATCATAGAGTCGACTATTCAGCCAGTATAAGAGCAGAAGCAGCACAGAATGTAAATTGAAAAAAACAAAAAAACTTCACATTTTTAACCGAAAGGGTAAAAAAAATCTTAGTTTTAGCACGAACCTGAGGCCAAAAAAAATAATAGTTCTGCTTCCAGTTTCCCTACCTACCCTATTCTGACAGCCCCTACCCTATTTTTTTTTATGGGCAAAATGAGAAGGAAAAAAACACCCAAAACCATCAATTTCCAAGTTTTACCCTTGACTAAACGTAGACACCTCCATATGATTGTACACACACAAAAAATGGCCAAAAAAAAAATCCCTACCTACCTACCCTATTTTAGAATGCCATGTAATTGTAATCGGAAGCAGAACTATTATTTTTTTTTGGCCTAATTGACAGTATAGTGTCAGTGTACATGTACATTGTAATGCAACTGTATACATGTACATGTACATGTACATGTAGACTAAATGCATACCGGTACATGTACAGTGTAATGTGCAATGTTCGGTTACATGTACTCTTATAAATTTCTTCTGCACAAACCACAATTTTTTTTTCTTGAATTAGAAAGATATAAATCTAAACATGGAGGTAGGAAACATAATCTGAATCAAACGAATTACAAGTACATGTAGTATATAAAGCTGCAGGTTTTGTTTTTTTTCAAAAAAAAACTACAGGTAGCCACAATCTTACCAGTACCGCTGGCATTCACACGAACCCTCCCATAACTTCCTGAAGGAAAATCTGATGAGAAATCGCAGTGAATCGTGATAACAAGTGGGCACTTTGGCACAGCCTAATCAGCTGTTTTTCTGTTCATGCACAGTAAGCTAATGGGCCTTATGCACACACAGCGTACATGTACCCTACGTCACTACCCAGGTCCAGGTCCGTAGGTCAGTGTTCTAAGTGCCTAAACAATGCATGTTATTTTTGTTTGGTGCCTCCTGCAGAACAATGGCAATAGATCTGTCAAAATGCATGACCCCTTGCTCCTTATCACTGATTAAACACTGCTGTCAAGTAAATTGTGTGTATTCAGATAATTTGATATTTAAAAGCTGGTGGTGCAATACTACTACCAGTGCAACTGGAGCAACACAGATTTGTACCTTTTGGAGAAAGTGTGCCTCAAAATAGTGGACCACATGTTCACAATACATGAACATTTCAGTTAAACCTGCCCTGTGGCATGGTTTAGCACAGTTACCTGCGGTAATGCTTACATGTAAAACATTAAGAGGACAGCACGCTACAAGGTGACAATGACACAATCCTGACTGAGATTTAATCCTTGTATGCATAGAAAAGAACCCCTGATTTTCAGTTTCTATCTGATAACGTTTCTATCAACGCTAAAGGTTTAAACACATTTTACTTTGTAACTTCATGTAGTGGTTGTTAAACAAACTTGATGACAACATCAGTATCAGCATCAAGTTGTTGAAAGCAATGAAAACTGGCCTGGGTGTTACAATGTATCTTGTGTGAGGCAAAAACATAAGTACAAAAAGATTAAGTTCAAACTTTTGTAAATTTCATGAAAATCGTTGTCCTTTTATATGAGTACTACCTTATAAGTTACCGGTATATTCATCATCGTGTATTGTACATGTACCATGTGCATGTACATGTAAGGCCCCCCCCCAAAAAAAAATTATTGTGTTGCCCTCATCTGACCAACCCAAAACTCTAATACATGTATTAATTAATCTAAATTAAATAAACTTTAACCTTACCGTTATTGTTTCTTTGTGATGCCACAATATAATTTTCCATTTCGTTACAAAACGTACAGTTTACCTAAATGGTAGGTTCAAATTTACAAATTTCAAAGGTTCAAATTTACTGTATTTTTGAACGTGTGACTGACGCTGAGGCTTGGGAATGTGGTGTGATGTACTGCATAATGCACTGTACCATTTATCGCATGCATACCTGGTACATGTACACAGTATATGTACGGTAGTTGGCGCGTGCAGTACATGTAGCCTAAACGTTCTGTGCACGTTGGTAGAGGGGAACTGGTAAGCAAATAGAATTCTAAGAAAGGGTACGCCTACAATGTATGTTAACTATATGTTATCTATATGTTAACTATACATGTATATGTTAACTATATAAACACGCCCCCCCCCCCCCCAAAAAAAAAAATCCCCAGATAGACCATTCCTTCCTCCATGGATAGACCAACCCTCCTGATTGTTTTCAAATGAGGGCAACACAATAATTTTGTTGGCCTGATGTACATGTACATGTAGTATGCACATACATGTACATGTAGCTTTTACATGCAATCTCTATGCTACATGTTTAACAACCCC